TTGGAACTGCTTACGTAACAAAAAATGTATCGTCCACGGAAATTTATGGATTAAATTGGACAGTAGCATAAGAACACCTTCCAAGGAAGAATTGTAAGAATACAACAACAAAATCTACACGGTTCTTCGTGCGTAAAAGGCTGTGCATCACTGTTCCGAAAGAATACCATGCTTTACGGTCCTGCGTACTGCCATAAATATTCCCTTAAGTTGACACTTGGGCAATCGACCGAGTTTACGCCTGACCAGACGTCGTTCACCGCGTAGAATTCGTAATCCGTATGGTCGTTGAGCTACATACGTGTCGCGAGCAGATCTCCCTGTTTGGTCGTTTGTGCTTTAATTAAGAAAATTGAGATGAAGCAATCCTCGTTACCTTAAAAAAAAAAAAAAAAAAAAAAATACATTCTGCATATCCGTGGCGCGCACTCGATCACGCGTGCGGTATATAATTGATCGCCTCTCTACAGGATAGTCAATTTCCTGCCACCGTTTTCTATTGCGCAATCTATCAACTGCGTACGGCATGCACAGTGCCAGCAAGAACGAGAGGGAAAACTGTTTGCTCGAAGCGGAACGGACAAACGATCTTTCGTGATTTTTTTCTTTTTTATTCGTTAGCGTTACGTCGATACGTATGAAATGTCGTTTTTCCACGGCTTGAATTTCGCTCGAGGAATTTCGTTAATGTAACGCTGACTGTCAAATTTCAAAACGAGGCGATACGCCGCCGAGGATCCAGTACGAACGCGAGGAAAACTACCAAGCACAACACGCCGAGTGCAACAAGTATTTGTACGGCGAGTAATTTCAGAAATAAACTTTCTATAGCTCCGTCTATTAATAGTTGCTTCTAACTCGCACGTTTTATGTATATTTCTAGGTACGTCTCGAGTAAAATTGATCCAACGAGGAACGTGAATAAAAATATTCAGAAAAATTGACAAGAATTGACAGAAATAATCGCTATTATGTATAGTACAAACGAAACACAATAGGCTCTCAACCAGTGGTTGTCAATCTCTCTTTTTCAAGCGGATGACAAAATATATAAAAATTACTGAAATTACTCGCAACGTGGATACTTTTTTAACACTGGCTGTAGGTGGACTCGTTAGAGGGGCGTTTCTATCGCGTGTGACTTATCGGGAGGGTAACGATGTCACTGCAAAGTCGGTGAAATTCCGTCGCGGCAACGACTAGCGTTAAAAATCCGTTATCCGCTCTTATTCAATTTCCGTGTCTCGGGCTGAGGCGATTTTTCGAAGAAAGCGTGCCAAAAAGACAGTCGCGTCCACGGCTGAATACGTATGCAGGTAACGGGGATCCCCTTCCTGGAAAGAATCGAGCCAACCGATGCAACGTGTTCCCTGTTCGAGAACACATGTGTAATTAAATGCATCCTCGCTAGCCTAAATTTATATAAATAGAATCGTTCCGAACCTCAGAACTAGAGCAATAAAAAGAACATAGTTACCGTGTAATTCACGATTCTTCGAATCTCTTAACCTTGACGATATATTTCAAGGTCACTGAAATGAACGATCTTCTTACCACAAGCCTTTTCCATCGGCTATAATTACTTTTATTTTCAACTTGATCATTTTCTCTTTTGTCGCAACATTACCAATCGTGTCAGAGTACGATGAATCAGGGAATAATGCGAAGGGAAGTTGTATATCTATGATACATGGTACTTGTTACGAATCCTTACGCATGAAAGACGTGATTAATCGCTCAAGATTATTATAGACAAAGACGTTTTTCCAGCAAAAACGATAAAGATCTCCGGTGATTTGTCGATCCTCTTGTACACCTCGTCTACCGGGGATTATGATTTTTCAACAGACGTTAAAACGTCACAGCGGCCGGTGTAAGATAATTGAATTGCGGGATATCGGTGACGGGGCTGCAACGCCGTGACACAGATTCTGTAAATTTTATAGAGAAGCTATGCAACGCAGCGACGCGTAAACACCATCTTTGCATGCAACTGTTGCTTCTTTCTATGTCAAGCATTTATCGATGACAACGTTATTGCCAGCGCGTGTTCGGTATTACATATGTACGTGTACATGCATACTTGGTTCGAGGAATGGAAAGTTTGTTGGTATAACAGCTCTGTTCTCCTACATCAGAATACAATTATTGAACTTACAGAAGAACAAAGACCTTTCGCGGATACTCTAATTTATATTAGCAGAATTGTAACATTCGTATCAGTGTACCTAAAAGATATTCAAAGAGTTGTTAATTATGCAAACTTTTTTTTTCTTTACGAATAATCGTAATAAACGTACCAAGGCGAGCGTGGAAATATTTGGCGGCGAGTTGCGTCTCGGAACCGCGAGTGGAACAAATTCCCAGAGAGAAAATGAGCTTTTTTATTTTTTTAATTCCGGGGGGGGGGCGATCAGGTCGCACGGAGAGGACAGCCGACTAACATTATTTCGAAGAGATTTAAACGGTTTGTGGCTTGAAACCGGTTTTCCCGCCAAGCTTGCCTCTATTCGATGGAATTCCTTTAAGTACCGTTCGGAATATTGCATCAGGACCCCAAGGTCGTTTATGAGTTTCTTCCACGAACTATGTGTTTTGTTTTCAACCCGCGAATTCTGTTATTATTTATGTTATTTCTGTTTAACAACACCGAGCGCCATGGTTCGATATTAGCGCTTCCTGCGTTCGCGGAATTCCTTGCTCTTTCGTTCCAACGAAATTTAGCAACTACTTTCTCTGGATACGCGTTAAAAAAGAATCTGTTGATATTAAGAGTTTTCTAGATTAGAGAGTAGGATCCTTAAAGCTAGATTTATTCTTAAGATTACTGTAATACTTCCCGGTTCACGACATTATACGTCTTTCCTCGAAGAGCAGGAAAATATAAATCATTGTGGCTAATTGCACGTAATAGCCTTGTTCCCTTAATTGAAAAGATGTGTTGTTTTCGAGTTAAATACATCTCTTGGCTTTTGCATCGGTAAATAAAGTTTCAAGCGTCGGAAAGTATTGTGATTTATTCGTGTTTGTTGAGTTTTAGTTGGGACCCCCCTTTGCTAAATTGCTGACCGCTCCAATGGCGGTGGAAGTAAATTTGTACGAATTAATAGCCCGCCTATTCGAGCCTGTTCGTTACCAACGGTGAACGAACAACGCGACGTAACGTCTACTAATGACCACGTCCACGCTTTTACTTTCTATCTGCGATCGTTAAGGCGAAATACTTGGCATTGTGCAACGAAAAATTGAGATTTCTCGCTCGAGCGCGCCGTCAATGTCCATCTTGTTATTTCTACGGTCGAAGATTTAACCGCTAAACGTCCGCATTTTTGCGGTCGACGGTTAGAAATCCTTAAAAAATACCCTGCAAGTACAATCAGATCTCGTTAAGTCAAAGTTGAAGAAAAATAAACTCAGTCTTCGTGGTTTTACAACAAAAATTCAGCACCGATATGGATAAATTTATTTTTTATTATGGCAGAGAAAACAGAGTGCTTACCATAACGTGCATGCAAAGGAGATCGAAACAAATTGCAGTCGATCGATGTCTAGACATAAATCGTTGAGTTGTGTTTCGAGTTGTAGAGGTTAAGTGGCTGTGTGCACAACTTCGAGTCAACTTGCCTTCATATTTTAAATAACAGGTTAACGCTTCGTATAAATTTTCAGACCAAAAACAGTCCCCGAGTGTGCAGAAACTGTGCCACGAATAAATTACGTATGCTACTTTAGATAGACTACGCACTTGTACCGAGAAATATGAGGCAATATTTTTCCCGCCTCTTTCGATCCAACGTTTGCCGGGAAATTCCGCAACTAAACAAACCGAACGCGACCTCTGTGTATCCAGTTATTTTTTCTCCACGGTGGTTCGTCAAATATTCCGCCGTGCACGGGTTACAAAAAAGGCGGGATACTTTCCGATTCAGAGTAAATAGTTTACACACGGTTGAAGTGGATCGATCAAAATTCGTTGTGCCGTCGTTCGCGGTAACGCTCGCCTAAGCTGCAGCTGGACCCCTAGCATTCACGAAGGTAACGCGCTACGGCGTGCACGAGTCACGATTCTTTTTCTGCGATGTGGTCGATTTCGAGCCTGTTCAGAAACGCATGTTTGGGAAAAAAGTAGCGCGCCGCCGCGCGATCGACCTTGATACGTGACGCGAGTTTCTTATACCGTTCGTGTCCCTTTCTAGCGAGCTACGTCGATATCTTTGCTCGGTAATTATACGAGGAATCGGTGAAATCAACTGGCAATAAACGTCCTTGCGAAGAATTAAACTATATCGTGTTGTAAGCAATGCATAGTTCCGCGAAGCCTGACGTAAACTCTGTGAAGCCATAGACAAGCCATGGGGGCAGAGTATGCATCTTATGGGAATTGATGTCCCATGAACTGAAATACCGACCCGGTAAAATACTAATGGTTTCCTAGCGACCTCTTTATTTAAAGAACAGTGATCTTAGGAACTACTGAAGTCAGTAAAGAGTTAATTTTTTTCCCTGCAGGGAACACGGACACTGTTGAAATGCATATTACGATAGAGATGGTTATCCTCGTTTACGTGCCTGCCACAACCGTTTATAGTGATGTAGCAGATGATCGTCGCGTTGATTTCTTGTTACTATCTTGTTGCTGGACTCGTATCTAAAGTAGGAATCTGTTACTTTCACTGCTCCTAAGGTGGAAGTAGTTCTTCTGACATTACTTAATTACGGTATCTTCAAAATAATGATATCGTCAAGCAGGTCTTTTAACACCGGTTGTAACCGAGGCGCGCATATGGCCGCAGGATGGCGCTTTAAGTTTAAGTACTGGTCGACCGTAGGGGAACCCCCCAAGTGAAACTCACAACATCTCTTCTTTGCTACCTGTGTAAATTCGCTCTATGGTTTATTAGACAACAAGAAACCAATTTATTTATAAAAAAAAGCCTGATTAGGAGGATATGGTCAGCGATGATTTATATAGGGAATATAAACGTTTGTTTTTTTTTCAGAACGCCCAGAAGTCGAACGACGTGTCCCAGCACAGCGAGAGCAGCACAGTGTCGGCAGGTGCGACGAGAACGTCGACGAGGAGCGAGAACGAGAGCGAATGCGAGGAGTCCGGTCGGGAGAATGGGAACGGTATTAGGAACGAGACGACGACGGCGTCGATGGGTCACGTGCATGGCACCGGGAACGGTAGCGTCGGTGGCAACGAGCCACGGCAGGGCCTAAACCTGAAGATGAGCGCCAAGGAACTCAGGGCTCAGCTAGCGGCGCGCAAGAAATACGACCCGAAGAAGGAGTCGATCGGTTTCAAGGACAAGTTCGACATCGTGCAAAAGTTATAACCCGACGTGGCCAGCTTCGATTCGACGGCCTTATCGGCTCATGCTACGGTCGCGGTGCTCCTATTTGTCACTCGATATCGGTTCTTGCGATCACGTCGATGTGTTCCGAGCGGCGAATCGATTCGCTCGTTTTTTCGCCGCCTCGGGTTGCATCGATCCACCGCCGTCCTGTTTCGAGGCGCTTCCGGTACACCGGAAGTGCACTCGATCCCCCCCGAAAACCGGTTTCTGTACAGAGAACCGCCGAAAGATACGCGAACGCGTTGCTTCGCGGTTCCACCGACGAAAGCGTGATTCTTTTTATAACGCGTTCCCGTATCGATCGAACGGCTGAAAACGTCTCGTTTCGGTAGGCTTCAGGAGCAACACCACTTTAAAAATCTGATATAAAGCGCTTTTTTTTTTTGGATGGATGGAAAAGTAAGAGGAGGAAAAAATATTCAAGAATGTTATTAAAAAAAAAATATTTATTCAAAAATAGTGCAAAATGACGCGTCTCAAATTCGAAACACGTCTCGCGGGAATGGCTTCAGCGTCATTTTGCACTATTTTTGAATAAATATTTTTTTTTTAATAACATTCTTGAATATTTTTATCCTTTTACTTTACCAAAAAAAATTGCAACAAAGCGTTTTATTTAAGGTATTTAGAGTGGTCTTACCCCCTTCGCTGTTTGTCCCGCTATCTGGCAGAACGGAGTTCGCGCGGTCCAAGGACGATCACGACGACGCGGGAGAAAGTGTAACGTTGCCGCTGCCACACGCCGCGTCGCGTCATTGCTAATTTCTGTTATCTGTTATCAAATTCAGGACACGCGTCGTTCCCCCTATGTATTGTACGTAGCACGAACGAGACACGCTTTCGAGCGAGCGAATGGCTTTCGGGACGCGTACTTACACGCCCCGGCTCGTGTTCCAGCGAACGAAAATCGTTGCGTCGCGCTTGGGAGAATTAGGCGGCTGTTGCGAAGATGGCCCGCGGGTGTCTCGGTACACCGGCGACGGTTTACCCAAGATTCGAACCGCGTTATGTAATTTAAGAAATGTAACATCGCAGGAACACGCCGTCACAATAGTGGGAAGACTCGCGCGAGTTTCCACGTTCGTCTCCCCGGAGTCGCGGGACTCGCAGAAATCGTTGAATATTGTCTCTCTCGGTTGCTAAATATTACGACAACCCGTTGTGCAATGATTCAATTATCGTCGTCGTGATCCTTTTGCGTTTTGCGCCTCGTGGCTTGTGCTAATACTTACGGAATATTTGTTTTGTTTTTTGGTAGATTTCGTACGATACGTATCCGTGTCCGAACACGCGTTCCGTCACGTGGCAAATTCACCGTGCGGCGGTAAATTAAATATAGCGATTTTGCAACAAGCGGAAGTCGTACGAAAAATTAACTATTCCGTCGATCTTCCCATAGGCGTTCCAGGAAATAATTACGTCATCCAATTTTCGTGATTCGCTCGTTACTTTTATGAAAAATAACTCCTGTTTATGGTATTTCGCGTTGCGCGTCGATATCCTCGATACATTGCATTTATTTACACGATCGATAAGTTGATTTTTATGATGCCACCTTTCGCATTCGTCAAGGACGTAACACGAATATTGATACGCGATTCCTGGAAACTTTACAGTAGTTACGTACCACGGAGCCATCCCACGGTTAAAATACGATTTCTTCGTATCGCCGGAGCTATGTTTTATACAACGCGTCTATTGTCTGAGATAATTAGGATCGATATGATCGTCAGGCTCTTTCGTAATTTGAGCAAATGCTATTTTCCAGTTGAAATACGATGAAGATGGTTTTTTTTTTCTTCTTTTTCGTTTTAATCGTTTCCCGCATTCCGTCAAAGTTGCCATGCGTCGGTTTCTAACAAATTTTACAAGCGTACAGAGAGATTCCTTTTAAACGTTTTCAGAGACGTGAGAGTTGTTCGTGTAATAAAATTTCATTTAACCGGGGACTTTGCGTACCGAAATCCGATGCTCTTAAACGGCCCTTTCATCGTACACCATTAACAACGAATAAGGAACGAAATGAAAGTAAAATGAAATTTCGCTCGTAGACCTACGCAAACAGATCGATTGATCGAGTTCAATCAGGGTGAACGATCGAACGGTTGGGAGTTCGTCCATCGTGATCTACAGTCTCGGGTCTTTACGCCGAGCGTGTTGTGTAAATTCTTTGATATTTCTTTTTTGTTTTTATCTCAATACTTTTGTGAGGTCTGATACATAACAGTACTCGCTTCTGTAAATATTAGATCTTCGTGCGTCAAGGTCGGTGCAACGATCGGGGAAAAAAACGATTAATACGTCGTTCAAATTAATATCGACAGGTGGCGATAAATCATGCGTTCGACGCCGGTTTGCGGTATTTCTGTCGCGACTAAAAATGAAATTGACGCACCGTTAATCAATTATAACTTGTCAAAACAGTTCGGAGCGCACAGTTTCTGAAAACGAGAGAAGTTTCTCGTGCGAGCCATTGCACCGGTTCCTTGAAATGTATATAAACATCCCTGCGTAAGGTCCAAATACACACGTTGTTACGATTATTGCACACATGTCCAATGTTATTTGTAAGAGTCTAACTTTAAGCATTATGTTTGGCGACAAGACGACTTAACTGTACGTTATTCGTCAAATTACGTTTACCGCGTACATCTGTGTATAAATATTGTTGTACGTATACCCGTTTGTTGCTTTTATTTCTTTTATCGTACCAGTAAAGAATGTTTATCTTTTACGCTAGGGAACGACGAGGAAGCCAGGTTGGTGTAATGGAAGCAGCTCGGTCCTTGAATAAAAATTTGCTAATCCTGCTAATAGATTTGTCAGTGAGACTATAGAGCAAAGTCTGTTGTAGTTTAAGACCCAAAGGTAAAGTAGCAACAAATTTGTGTCACGAAATTAGCGATAACGTGGGAACTTTTGGGAATGATCGTCTGAAAAGCGCTGTGGCGGTGCATTCACGAACTACTGCACTAGCAAGCAAGTGGCGCCCACTGCACTTTTCGGATATATCGATCGAGGTTGAAATATTCGTTGCAAAGATCGACGGAAACAGGGTCACAAAAATATTTGAACATTTAGAGGTTAAGAGGATAAACACGGTTTTTATATAGAAATGAAAAACGTTGGTAGATTCGGGCGATCTAGAGAAATCGTTAGGGAGTTTTGGGTTTTATTGTGAATAATATTAGTTTGTATAGTGACAATGAGTTACCGCCAAATTATTAGGCAGAAGCATATCTACGCCACATTATACATTCACGATTAGTAGGAAACAGAAAATTATCTGCGAAATACTATGGCCACGTACTGGATCAAATAATCCCCAACGTAAAAAGGATGTTCGTTCCGAATCGTGTCGCAGGATGATACGAAACAATGATTTCGAGGAAGAACCCACTTGTAACGACGAAACGATCTCAGCGGTTCGTTACGAGTTACCAAAATAATTAGTTTAATCTCCTTTTGCATAATTAGGTCTTCGAGTCGGTGTTTCTTATTACGTAATAACGTAAAAGGAGCAATATATTTGGTTTCAGAAGCTCTAATAGGACACGTACCGCGTTGGGAACAAAAATTTGTCTAAACGAAGAAGTCGAGAAGTTGGATTTTTGCCACGGAATACCGGTTTCCAGGGCACGGTGGCGGTGCAATGACAGATAACGTTCGTAAACAGAGAAAGCAGAGATACGTTAAAGACGCGTTACGCCGCGAGAAGTCATCGGTCTAAGTAAATTACCGGTAAATTAACGAGCGTCGTGGTGGCTCGTACGGGCGTCGCGACGAAAAAAACGGACGAGGTGGCCGTCGAAAGGTGGGTTTCCGCCCGTAGGTGGGAAGGAGAGGACGCGACGGGGTTGGTATTGGCGCGAGTGAGAGAGAACGAGAGGCGGACATATATGGTCGCGGGGTCCGAGAAGCTCTCAGGTTACGCCGACGGCGCTAACCGTTTTCACGATGATGCTCGCTCTCCTTGTTTCTTCTTCCCACCCTTTTCTTTCTCGGGCTAGCGCGTATTCTCGCTCCCTCGACGCCTGACGTCCTTTTCTTTCCGACACGTCGATTCGTTGTTTCTGTTGTTCGCGCGCGGTCCGCCATCGCTGCGTCCTCTTCGCGCCACGACCAAAAATATCGGCGGTCGTGCAGCCGTGGGTGAGAACGAGAGGGCGCTACGAGCGCGACGAAGATGGCGAACAGAATCGCTGCGCGTCTTCGCGATGCCCCGCGAGAGAAGGGGCGAGGTTCTCGTTATTTCGAGATTATCGGGGATTGCCTGCTTTTTGGAATCGTGCCGATCGTCTCGACCACTCTCGATATCGAGTCGGATTCCCAATATTGCTATACGTTACCAGAAAGAAATCTCACGAATCTTTGTCCGCCCGCAGGCGACCAAACGAAAACTAGACGATTATTTATTTTTTTTTTTTTGGAACAGTTAATTAACGTTTTTATTATGCAACACGATTATCCTAACACCCACTGTATTTTTCAGCTACATACTTGGACACCTCCAGTTCCAGCCTCTCATATCGTTGCAGTGGAATTACTTGTATCCAAGTATTGCAACAAACGTAATCCACGTGGGATTGTATTACGCATTTTGAGAACTGCCTCTGCGTCCGTTATAAAATTGTCAGATTGTACAGTTTGGTCGAATAATACGTGTCCGAGGATATTGAGTAACCGCGTGGGAGTGCGGTGGACTAAGAATAGAGATACAAGAAATGCAGAATCGCAGAATTTTGGGCCTCGGGTTAATCATTTTCGCGCTTACGTGTGTACATGCGAATCTTTCCGGCCTACCGAGTACTCGAGAACGGAGAAAAGTCGGTCCGAGCGTTTATTTGTCGAGGCTCCGGTGGTAAGTGTTGCGGTCGAAACGACCCGTGACGACGTCGATCAAAATCGCGAATTTTTGCACGTCCGGAGAATCGTCGACATTTTTTTTCTTTCCACATCCGAGCCCCGACGGTTTTGCGTCATCGAAAGCTGTTTACGAGTTTTCGCGCTAAAGCGCGGTGCAGTTTTATTCGCGCCGTGACACGGATATTAAAATGCGGGCGGCTACCGACGCCCGCTCGAAATTACGACATTCCGAGATGCTTGGAATTACAAATCGTTTACTTTATTTAAACGCGAGTGCGTGTCGCCGTCGACGCGCGTTACTCGAACACGCAATAATTCTCTCGAAATAGCCAACGACTCGCGTGAAAACTTTAACGAATACAGGGTTTTAACACGAATGATGTTTGTTTCTAGATCGTCAACAGTTTGTGGTTCGTTGGAATAATCGAGAGACTTCATATGGCCCCGCAAGAAAAGGTCTAACGGCGTTGAAACGCAGAATTTTTCTGAAAATAATCTTATGATCTAGCTTCGAGAAAGTCATCCAATCGGTATCAAAGTCACAATGCATAGGATAGGTGAGTGGGCTTCGATTTGTTTACGGATGGCTGACGATCCGTGACAAATAGTCGCAGTATTTTTCTTGGTAGCATGCACCGCGTGGCACGTCGTAAAACGGTTTCGTCGAATCTGAACTTGTACCTCTGTCGAGAATAAGGCAGGTGTTCACGGAGGAATCCGCGGCTCTAGGGTGGAGCAAGAGGTGGTCGTACGTGATACGCGGTTGTACGCATAATAGGGGCCGGTATCTTGTCCTGTCCTCGCACTCATAACATCTATTTCCAGAGCGGACCAACGACTAAGTTTAGATCCGCTGTTCCATATACTCGAGCCATTCGCCCACTCGGGTCCACTCGCTCGAACAAAATCTGATAATCGAACAAATAAGTGATCCACGTCCGCGCCGTCGGCGTTTATAATCCCCTTCTTCTCCGACCCCGTGCCGCCCACCGTTTCGTTTTTAAAGACCGCTTAAGCGCTAGGAGCATCGGCTGACGCGGAACGCATCGGCGATAAACGCAACGCAAACGTTGGTAATAAAAGTATGGCGCTGAGAAGACGGGATGAAGGTAACCACGGCTCGCGAATCACCATCGCGATACTGTATTTAGGTCGGTCATGAGTAGACTGCGGATCTTTATGCAAATTCATATTTTTATTAATAGAATTAATGAAATGGAAGCTTTGTAGATGATTGTCTCAACCCTTAAATATAATAATTCGTATCTTACTTTAAGTATTTCTTATATTTTTGCATATTAAGTGCATTCTGTAGTTTCTTGAGAGTGCAGCAACTTTTCAGTATTTGTTCAGCTTACGGACGAGTCAAATCTATGGAATTAATTTTTGCTTTCTTTTTTAAAGAGAATTTCTCACTTTCTGATAGCTTTTTACTTTTGTAGGAAGTGCCCGGAATGACCACCGTCGTCCCTAATGCAAGCCTGCAGCCGCCGCGTCATAGAGTTTCCCAATCCTTCAAATATTCCAGATATTTTGTCGGATTCGTTGGCAGCCTTATTGTATACGTCGACGAAGTGTTTCGACACTGGCAGTGGATGTTGGATAAACAAATATTTTCAAGTGGTCCAAAAGAAATCCTGCGGAACGAGTAGGTCAGGTAACAGGTCCTGCTCGATCCATTCATCCATTAAAAAATGGTAATAAACCATATATGCAAGGTCGATGGTAGGAAAAAGATACTTTAACAAAGGTAGAAAATATCCCGAGTCTGAACTAATAGGAGATCGAAGAAACGTTAGCCGAGGAAAACAACGGTCGCGAGAATAAAAGAATCGCAAAATGATAAGTCGAGGGAGTCACGATGCTGTCTCTGTGTTTTTTTTTTCGGTTTCACGGGCTAAAAGTAACTTGTACTAAAAATATTTCGAGCATAAAGTGCGAGAAATTCTAGCGTCGCGATTCATTCGCGCGGTAAAGCACGCGTGACGTTAAGTGTCCTCCCCGGTGATGCATCAAACTTGAAATGCTATATCGCGTATCGCGTGGACGTGGACCAGAATCACCCCTAAATCCTTTCGAACGAGGATGCGACAGGGTCCAACGTTTGCGATCTAGGATCGAATGACGCATGATCGAAGGAATTTCTGCACGCTCTATGAATGGGAGTTCACGGCAGCGAAAACACGATACTATCTCCGGCCACTTACGAACCCGTATATGCCATTACGGTAACGTAAACCATACGCGAAAGATTTTCTCTGGAATTTTTCTCTCTTGACCCGTGTGTGCTTGTTTCCGCGAAAAGATCAGATTTACGTAGCACCGCGAATTTTGATTATTTGCCCACGGCCGTACCGTGTACCCTTCTCCGTAAATCACCGCCGTAAAATCTCGATTCGGACGTATTGTTGTTTTCTTTCGGATTATTCCAGTCAAAATCTCCAATTTTCATATCCTTCCTTTAATATCGCCTCGTTGGTTCCTCGAATCCTCAAGTACTCTGGAGTATATTTTGCATTGTTACAGGTCGATAATAGTTCCTCTGTGGTCGTGTGTCATTATAGGCGAGAATCGTAGGTGACGATAATCTCGTTTATCCGAATCGTCGTGCAACGGGGCCAGAGAGCGTCCGTGAATGCGAGAGAAAGAAAATAGAAGTGCGTTGAGGTTGCTCAGCGAGCTATAAGCAGTTTGATTGATTCTCGTATAACGTCGTGGCGATCCGTGGAACGATGGAAGTACGAGTGTTCGAGTCGTTAGGTATAGATTCTAATACGCAAAGATAGATTCAGCGGTGAGGGGCGATCGTGTATATTTAGAAAAGTGCCTTGGCTTGCCAGAACCGAGAGAGACTCGTATCTCGGCATCGCGTGCGAGATTTCTTCCCCGAGCTCTCGACTCCTCCTCCCCTCCTCGTCTTTTCTCGCACGACGCTCACCGTGAACATATTGTAACACTTTCCGCATGGGCACCGAACGACTTTCTTTCTCCCCCTACCCCCCCTCTGTTTCGCTCCCCCGTTTATCAAGACGAGTCGCGAAACGGTCCCGGCGCTGGAAATCGCTGGGGAAACTAGATCCCCTAAAAATATAAACCCGACACGACTCGTTCTTAAAAATAATATCTGCGCAAAGATATATACGTTGCATGGCCTTTCTCGCGAAACGTTGCCTCCGTTTCTGCGTTTATTGCGATATAAATTATCCGTCACGCGGAGTCGGGAAGATCCACATCGAGAGATATGTAAAATTAAAGTAATGATCAAATTGTAATGGAACGGGGAAATATTATGAAACGACACATTTTATTTTCGAGAAGTGCATAGACAAATTGTATAAATGATAACATTTTTGGGGGAAAGAGAAAGTCTGTTCCGGGAGTAGATATTGTTTTCGTTAGTCAGAGAATCGCAGGGGACTTCGTCGAAGATATCGATACGGTGGGCTCGATCGGCGTTTTGAATCCCTGCCAAAAATGTTTGACAGAAATTAGAATACCTCCGAACGCCGAGAGCCGCGATGAGTATCGTGACTTCTGAATTAAAGGCCGTTATGCACGAAACGATATCAACGGCGACGTTGCTCAACGGCGAAAAAGTCAATTAGTCCTTCGAATTGCCGATGCGAACCGAAAAACTTATTTTCGTCGGGAACACTGGCCAAGACCCACTTTTTCTTCGCACGGTGTTCTATTTCCTACCGCGGCGAGCATCTTTCTACTTTTGCTCGACAATCAAGCTCCACTGTCGAATCTTCCAGAAACGATTCAGTAATTTCAGATGGAAAAATGGACATTCTTTCCCATTTCTCTTTCAAGTACACAAGTTCGAGAATGTATTCTCTAATAATTAATGATTCCATAGAATATTTTCGAACGAACACCGTAGAGCGATTTTAGGTTTTCTACGTGGGAGTTCTTTTGATTCTAGAGTCCAGAATAGTTTCGATACGTACAGAAATAATTTCAATAAAATATGAGCGCGATCGGATAACGTGGAAACGTGTCTGCCACACGGGCCTTTAATTTTTATTTGCGAAACTACAGTCAGACATCTGTGACTCGAACTATAATTCAACCACTTGGCATCCACAATTTGAATATTCTATAAATTTATTGCTACAAGCAGAAACATAATTCGCCAATTTTTAACAGTCTGAACATTCAGAAAATTCATTTAGAATATTTTTTAATCATTTAGAAGCGACAGACTGTACATTTCCATTATAATTTATGGCACTACAAGGTCACCGGTATGTTTTTCAGTGGGTATATGCAGCATTGACCTTTAAGCGACCTTGAATTACACAAGTTTCAGTGAAAATACACATCTATCTTATTCTACCAGACGCTCAAAATGATCGTGGATCATTCTATTTACCGTTAACTTCCGTATATTTTCGAAAACGATGAGCGAGTGGTTGTTTATAGTCTCGATAAGCTCTGGAGCGATGATGGTATTAGTTTCATATCGTTTGATCTTGCGGGACGTGTAACAGGTTAAAGTTAATTGTAATAGGTACATTAATTTTTTATAAGCTGCATTATTGCTCGGAAAACAGAGATCCAATAAGTATTAATCTCTATTAAATAACGTATCCGTGTTCATTTTAATGTCACAGTCGGGACAATAATAGATTTTATGTTTCCTCGGTACTCTTCCATAACTTTTACGAACCCATAATGCACATTTTATGCACGAGGCCATTTTTTCCACGCGTTTTATTACGGAGGAAGCAATACGATTACAGTTTATGATCGTGCTGGTGTCGTGTTAACTTTTAGATAAATATTTCTGCAATCCTTATAATAATTACAATATGGTAATATACATAGTTGTAATATCGTTGAATCATCCGCAACGCTGAGTAAAGTGACATTAACGCTGACGCGTTTCAGAAAAAGGCACGTAACATTGTCGCTATTCTAATTTCGATCCGAGGACGTCAACGTAAAATTCTTGCCCGCTGACTTCTCTCATTGATCGACCCCGTCGTCCGGCTAATTTGGCCTCACGGGCAATTAATCCACTATAAAGTTTATTTTCTTCTCGGTTTCATTTTCGACATCCCCTGCCTTGGAACGTTCGCGAACGTTTCAACGATACATCCTCCGTCCTACTTCTTCGTTCTTATCCGAAACGCCTAATCACAACCCTGTCGCACGGTACAATGCAAATAGATTCGTGAAACGCGACGAGAGAGAGAAAAGTAGCTATTTATGGTCGGAGGGCACTCGAGGGACATAGGGCTGCTCTTCGAGAGTCATCGAATACTTGGCAAAGTTTTTTCATAGTATCAACCCTGGAATTTTTGTCACCGTGCATACACTGACCGAATTTTCTATTAAAACTGAATATTCTGCGTTTCAGGAGCAAAATTAAGGGATCGAAACATCGTCGATCATTCGAGCCACGATGATTTTGTAAAGACAGCATCCTAGGACAATCAACTTGGGCTCGTTTTAAAGCTTGAAGTCTATACTTACATCGGAGAGCAGAGACGGACTCGAGAAATGCCCCGTGGCGTTATTCTCGCAGTCCAGTTTCAAGTTCATCAGGAGGGAATATCACCGCGTCCCCACTAATTACAAGGTTTCAAGTTCAATAGCGAGGGAAGTGCCAAAGGGGAAAGGGGTCGGAGCATCGGGGAACGCGACCGCAAGGGGTGGAACCGCCATTGTTGTTGGAGGCGAATGGTGGCGAAAGGGGGAGGCGTACGGTACGGTCAGGGATCGCGCAGGACACTGGCGTAGGCGCGCAGGACCGATCCTCGATGAACGTGGGTGGAGAAGGGGGGGGAGGTCGCGGTTCTGATCGTGATTTGTCGGGGTGGTTGCGCAGGCGCGGACACAGCGGTCGCGGGCTGGAGGTGTCGCGGCGGTATTTCGTGCGGTTAGTTGGCGCGCGGGGCCCCGGTGACTGGGACGGCCAATACAGGCGCTCCGTATAAAAGGAGAGACAAGAGACAGGGCCGAACGAGCAGGATATAACTGTTTAAACGGAGTGACGACCACACAGTGACGACGACGAAGACGACCGAATATAAATTGTTAGTAATTTTTATTTAATTTTTACATTTTTTTCTTGTTCGTTACGACTACGCGCGAATTAAAAGTGCGCGGGAGTATCGTCGACGGGCCCGCGAGAGCTCGAAGCAAAATCCCGACTTACTCGCTGAATCGTTCCGCCTGCGGAGGGTGTTCGGGAATTCGGGAGACTAAAACAGGATTTCGATCGCGGCGACCAATCGTATCTCTGATTTTCGATTAACCCGACCTCCCAGAACTTTTGGATACATAAGTAACCGCCTCAAGTAAGTCTCCCATGTTTGACACGCTGGATTTTTTAGCAAGGGTGCGTGTGCACGAGCGAGCGTGTGAGAGCGGACGGGGAAGTTCAGTGCGCCCGTTTCCCTTTTTGGTTCCCGCGTTTTTTCCTCTTACCGAACCCCCCACCCCCCCTCTCCCCCCTCATTGGTTTCGTTCCTCGTCTACACGGTGAATCGCGTGTGCATCTGGTGCCAGCAGTGCTTCAAAGTGTTACGTTTCGTTCCGTTGGCGGGCACGCGACCAAGTGCAATCCCCTCTCGTATTCTTGGAGATCTTTGGACCAGGACGGTGCGTAACATTTTTCAATTTTTCGCCACGGATCGCAGCCACGACTTCTGCGCGACGCAGTTTCGTTTTGCGAGCTCCAGCGCTATCGATCGAGGATAATCGCCGCTCCGATCGATTCGACTGCTCGATGTTTGTGATAAGATTTTTATAGAATTCCTTTTTGACTCTTAACTTGCATAGCGGAGCATTGAAATCACCAGAAATATACTATCGGGGGAAAAAGCAGCGATTCCCATGTATAATCGTCTCTATTTTACAATGGATCGTAGTATTAAGTATCTAGCCACTGGGGTGACCGATTAAGGGTTGATTGTAATATGTAGCTCGTGTGCTCGATGATCGATACGATGACCTTGACACGCGTGAGCGTTTAAGGACAATGCCGCGGAAGATAGGGGAAGCGAACGGTTCGAAAAGGCGGACGAGCGGCGGCGATTTCTTTCGTGGATCGTTGTACACGATCGGCGGCTCCGTGACAAATCGCCACGAGTCTCGTCTCGTCTCGTCCAACCACCACGAACTATTCGTAGACTACTATCTAGGTATCTAGGCTCGAAGTCCACTTATTTATAGAAATACGTAACGTGAGGAGGAGAGGACGGGTCGTCGTTCCACTGGTCGTTTCGATCATTTTCCCCGAGCACGTTTTCTTCCGTTTTGTCCGTCTGTCCTCTCGTGTCTTCGCCGACTGGCTCATCCATCATTCGGTTCCTCGCCTCTTCTGGCGTTTCGTCCGATTAACCCCCGTTGCTTCGTCTGCTCGTCCGACGATTCATCGTGTCCACCATTTTGTCCCCGTTGTACGTTTCCAGCGGTTTCCTCTTGAAAAGGTAAACCGGGGAAACCCCGATCGTTCGACACGATCGCATCGATCGCGACGGAGTCGATATGTCAAAAATTCTTGACCGATCTTTCACTCGGAGCGCTCAAGTTTGCGTTATTTATAGACCTCATGGTCAGCCAACCAGAAAATTACACCTGTTGATCGTCGAAGATTGTCGAAATTAGCACGGGATGAGTAATTTATTGTTTTTGGACGTTGTTTGTCACCGTCGAATCATTCCGTTCGATATATCGCTCGTCTTTTTTTAACCCTGTCGATGCCAGCCGCCCGAACCTCGGTTAAAAAAAGCTCGATTAGTCATATTTCTCTAAACGGGTGTAAAAGATCCCTGTGACATTGTCCTTTCCTTCGATCGAAATTAATTATAGAGTAAGTTTCGTTAGGCTAGAGAAATTAGATTTATTACCCTGTGACCGTCGCCATACTCGTTCCTATTTTTCGCTACTATGCAAAGTAATACAAAGAAATGACCCTGTGTAATTTCATATTTCTTTATATAGATAAAATGCTCACTGAAGAATACATTCGTTTTTGTAGATATGTAAAAAATCACGTTGATGGAAGAGCAGATAAATACCGGAAACGGATAAACGTGGACGAAACGCTATTGTATGTAGAACGATCAGAGTAAACAGACGTACTTAACCCTAATCCAACCAAGTTTGAGTACCTGTAGGACCCATAAATAAATATATACCAATGATATTTTAGGTACTATTAATTTATGAAATACATTAACTACCAAATTATAAAATATCATTAGAATATTTGCAGACCCTACAGTCGGTCGAACTTGGTATGTGACACAGTGACATTCCCGTAGGTCCAAGATTAGGGTCAATATTCCCCCGTGAAATTTATTTAATTAGAAATGCTCATTCTCACTTATTCTTACAGATATTTAACCGTGGATCGTACAACCGAATACTCTTAAATAATCGTTGCATTACGAAATAACCAGCAACGGGACATAGTATACGGGAAAGTCGTTGAAAGCTGTGGGAGTGGCGCGGTCGTTGAGGAAGAAAAGACTTTCCACGTTTTCGTGAATTAAATCGGGCAACGTCGATATAGGATTTCGGTGGCGTCGACTCGTGTTAGCGTGGCTTTGAGTCAGTCTACGGAAATAGCCGTTGCGACGGGTGCGATGCCGTGAAAATAGTGGTATAGACAGAAGAAGTGTGCGCCGGAACGCATGCCCCGACCAATAATTATAACTTCTAGGTCGGATATAGTGCGCTCGGTAAGTTTATCTCGGTATTAGCCTCTACGATGACCTAATATTCTTCCCGTCGTTGCAATTCGAGACGTGAATCACTCCCTCGTGACGGACCCACGCCGATGAATTATGTCTCGCAGATTTTTCTTGGCCCTCCGTCCTTAGCTTCCGTCGATTTCGGATGTCGTTGAAACTACCAAAATGTCACTTTGAGTAATCGTTGGCCGTTCTGTCATTGCGTTCGTACATCGACTGCCACGCCTGTTCTCTATCTCTAGTCAAGTTCTCGGCAATTGACCAAATTTTAAAACTCTTTGGTGCAATTGAAACCAGAAACGATCGATATGTAGAAGCAAGGGTGGTCACATTGCTCGATTAAGGGTTAAAACATTGTGGCTGTACGCGATGACCATGGCAGTCAACTTGTTAACACGTGTTGCAATATTGTTTACAATGGAAGCAACCTAACAGAAATTAGAAATGCCGTAGAATAGTGCTTGAGTCATCTAACATTGTTTCAAGTTGAAGAAATGTCGAGGACATCTTTAGATACAGAGAACTGTCGTGGCAGCTAATGTGTTAAAGGATGTTGTATAGTAATTGCAACGAAAGATGCGTGCACGATTAAGTTGCGAGCAACGCGACGACACCGTTTCGCAGACGATATTTTCGTCTCGTCATTGCTACATGGTGCTTCGTTCGTTCCATTCCTTTTATAACCGCATCTACATTGTGCCACTTGTTATTAGGTCAGCTTGTCATCGAATACGTTACATCGCGGGAAGACAATAAAATTAGGTATGCCAAGTCGTAACTATCGTTTCTATACACCGTCCCGAGAACATTGCGGCTGTACACGACGAAACTGGCGCGAAACACCTGTTGGTTCATTAATTTCGACGATGATACTCGAAAGCAGTGCCCCTTCTCTCGATTTTAAAATCGTTCTCCTCTGTCGAATGGCCTCGAAATTCTTACGATACATCAGCGTCTTCCTCCCTGTCAGAAATGACGAACGACCGTAGTTTTCACTACTTATTTTTAGATACATCAGTTTTTCAAAAACAGTAGGATATAGACATCTCCACAAGTCGTTCTTAATATTTAAACGAGAAGTTTTGTTTGTACTCGGTATAACAACCGACTATTTTTATGACGGTCAACCGCGATCTTCGATCTAGGTGATTGCCAAAGTTTCCATTGAATCGAATCGCGGCCATCGTTAACTTCGTCGATCGATTTGGACTTTGAGGGCACGACAATTATGTTGTTTCGATCGAAAACGTCTCGTCGTACCGGTGATTTCAAATCCCCAATTTTTTAATTATTTTACTACGCAATCGTTGCAATTGAAAAGTGGACAAAGAAACGCGAGAATACGAGAGGAAATTATTCGGATTATTTAGGTCGTCGTACGGGTACCTTGTTCGAACGTCCCTTTCGATCTTCGGTCATTCCCTTCTTCACTTGGCACATGCTGGTACGTCCTGTCAAAAGTGTATCTCGAACAAAGAGCAAGGAACTTGCTGTACGGAAAGGTCGGACGAAAATGGAGGTCGTTCACCCTGATCGTTTTCCGATACAAAGTCGTCTCCGTCGAACAAACATTGACCACTTCAAATATTCATTCTGAATTGTACTTAAAACATTATTATCCTCGTTTTCTCTCGAAATCGATCACCAATTTTTCTTCTTTCCGTCAGTTCGTACAGAATGTTCCAAACTAACAATTTTTCGCCATAAGTGCACACACAGAGGCTGTACTATACCCAATTTATCAAGAGGCGATTCCACGTACAAACAACAATGAAAATAATGTTCGATGACGCAAGAGAATCGATCAAAGAAATATTTAACGCGAGTGGGCAAGGTTCAGCCAAGCTGCCTTGTTTTCCACTCCAATTTCGAATTCGGTAGCCAACTCGCGAACGTGACGGGCGTCGTAATGAATAATATTTGATCTAATTAGATGGGAATCGGTCGGGCGAAGTTAACGAAATCGGACGAAAATGAAAATGAAACGGACGGGGAGGGATAGAATGAGAACGGTTGTTACGAAGCACAGCAATCTCGAGAATGTTTCGGGGCTCGTTGCCAAGTCTTACCGTGACGTTGTAACACTTCGTCCGTTCGTTCTGCTTTGCGTTTCTCCGACCCCATCAGACGCTGGTGTTTGCTCATTTTCGCCCCAACTATTGGCATTTTTGTCGTAACACCACTGTACATTTCCAATTGCAGTTGGACTTTGCTTTTACAGGGACTAGGAAAATTCTATTAGCATTATAGAACCATCCCCCTAAAGATATTTATCTCGCTGTATAATTCAAATTGCAAACTTTATTCCACGAGCAACAAATGGACACTAGTGTTATTGGTCTGTGAAATTTTAAGTTTCGATGAATGGTATCCTTTACTCGTATTAAAGTTATGCCCCTCTGTTATTCCAGGTATATACTCGGTGCCCAAGCATGAACTTGATAACTAGGAAGTACGCGTCCGCAGGAAGTTGACGTTGGGAAAGTCTTTCCTACCCTTTCGAAACGTCCGTTCGATTCGCGGGTTGTATCGCGACCTAAATGTCTGCGTTTCCACGGTAGATGCCAAACATAATAACCGATTACCAAGATAACTGGTCCACCTATTTTCGAGCCAAGAGTCGCATTAATAATAGAGGTGTTACGTCATTGTTCGGCCTTGGACGTCTTGGAAAATATGTTTGGAGTCACGGATTCCACGAAAATTCGCCGCTCGCCACGGTCAATCTCCATCCGCTGACTGCTCGTCACAGCTTTGAGTCATTCTTCTCCTATTTTAATCGGTCGATTCACCCCGCCATCGAAAATGGTGGTCGAAATTCGATTTCCAACGACAGAAAATCGTTCCTCGTGATCGAGAATGAAAGACGCTAGAATTTGATGTGTATGAGTCGTATTTACCTTTAGATTAATAGTAGATCAATCACTAACACACTGATGAATACTCGAATAATCGAATATAGCAGGAGCGTAAAGATTACGGCGAGGACGAGGAGCTTCTCGTCGAATTACATAAAGATCTATTTTGAATTTGTTAGCCGCGATATATCATTTCTCGAATTTGGATGTAACGCGTGAAATATTATAATTTGGCTCGCGTTACCAGCGATTTTGAAACTGGAGACTCTCCTCGAAATTTTGTTCCCCGTCCGACTTCTTAATCTCTCGGGCGATTAATCTTGCATTTCAACGGTCGCGCGGCGTTGCTAACGACTATAAAAGCTAGCCGACCGTAAGCTCGGGAAATCCAACAAAAACAGATACACGAAATCCCCGACAACCGTGCACGATGTTGTGAACTCTCGGTAATCCGATATTATTATGCAACGCTGTCTAATGCAACACCGTCGTACAAATTTATTTATCGCGAATAGGATGATACCACCCATTAGCTACCAAGCTTATTCTCCGAGTATAATTATTTGTAATTGATTGCATGGTATCGATATCAGTTTGATCGGTGATGTTTGAAGGAAACGATTGTTAATTGATCAGGTGTAAGGAGGACACTATCGACAGGAGGCGGTGATCCTCGGAACCGAGGAGGGAGCACACGAAAGGTTGGATGGTGCCGCGGGTCGGCGCCGTTTGAACCGATACCGAGGAGGTCGTTGAGATTTTTCTTCGACCGTGACAGCGAAGAGAGCAAGCCGCGTGAAGAGTTTTCGATCACGAAGGTAGAAGGGTGGCGCGCCACCCCGAGGAAGTTCGCGGTAAAGGGAGGTGCGAAGGCGACCCGTCACTATGGGGGTCGCCGACGATTTCGCGCCAAGCTTCACCCAGAAGCCGCAGCTCAGGCAGGAGGACGACGGGAACCGGTTGATCTTCGAGTGTCAGCTGGTCAGCGCGCCGAAACCGGATATATCATGGTTTCGCGGCGAGACGGAGCTAAGCCCGGACGACAGGACCAACTTCCGGATGCAGAGCATCGGGACGAACAAGTTCCTGGTCGTTCTGGAGCTAGACGATGTCATCGAGACCGACGCTGGCCTCTACAAGGTCAAGGCCAAGAACAAGATGGGCGAGGTCGCGGCTTCGATTAACCTTAATTTCAGCCGTGAGTAGAGCCTTTGTCTATCGGTGCCACTCGACCTTACATTAGGCTCGTCACTCGAATCCTGACTCCCTTAACAGCTTACGCCATCTTTGTTACGAATACAACAATTTTTTTTTTATAATGTAACTATATTTTATTATAACGAGGAGGTTTTCGACTATCGTTACGAGCCTAAATGATCAGCCCAGTGTTTTAAGTCTCATCCGTGTTTAATCGAAATTTCCGAATTGAAATAAAATTTGTTTTACAGCCGTCGACGAGCCTAGGGAGAAGTAAGTCCGCCGATCTTACGGTTTTTGAACGACGAGATCGTTTGTCGCTTCTCTAGGCTCTATCTTTTAATTCTCGCTGATTTGTTTTTATACCTAATGCTTCTTATAATTTAATTTCTTGCGCGTTTCATTGTTCATTTGCCTCGCTTATTATGCTGTTTTTTTGTGTGTGTTTTTAGCTGCGGAGGAATCCATTAGAAGTGGGTGAGTGTTCCGGCTTGCTCTTCGCGAGCGTGTGCTTTTGTTTCGCGATGGATTTTTAGTTTATACACACTAACCGTCGTCGAAGATCACTGTGCCAGTGGTTCCCAACCCTTTATTGCACGGACCCCTCCCCGATGGAAATGAAAACTTGCATAGATCTCTCTACAGGACGAAGATAATCTCAGGATCGTCAGAATCCTCTGCGATTGTTTTAGTTTCACTTTTAGCAAATGTTTCGTTCCAAGACCAACTTATTAGCAACTTGGTTGAGAAAGCTTGTAATTTCTCTATGTGTATCAGACGTAATAGCTATCGTATAATGTCGCGAATGATGTAGATTAAGAACCCACCGATCTATGGGTATTGAAACGATCCAACGGACGATCGAGTCGCAACGAACGGTTTCGTTGATAATGTTTAGGTGCACATCAAATGCGGTTGAGTAAAAATAACCGTCGCGGAATGCTCGCTATTTTTGGGTGCGTTCACGTGCGCTGGCGCGCGCGCGATCACGTCCGATAAGAGGAACCCAACAGCTATGGCTCTTCTAGCTGACCGATCGCTCAATTTTCTTCCTCTGCCCACGCATAAGGGGCTGACTGGTCGACGTGAAAATAGAATCGAGAAGCCCTCTCCTTCTCTATTTTCATTCTCGTTCCTTTAACCGGCGACATTTGTTCCGGGAACGGATTTATAATTATCCGACGACGCTTCTCGCACGAATATTTCCATTCAAACGCGCCTCGTAGATCCCGCGATATTTTTACCGTAACTTCGCTTTCCCTTCGTATGAAATCGATCGCTGTTTGTTTTTCGTCGAAGATTCCCTCGAATCCCGCGGATAAATAGAAATTGGGTCGAAAGTTGCTTCTCCGGGGCATGACGAGGCGCTCGACGAGACACGTTATATTTTCGGATCGGATCGACAGACATGATTCCCTAGAATTTCTAAAAGTAACGCGAGCGTTTAACGCGAAACGTTCGCGAATATTAGGCCCCCGGCTTGGCTCGAGCGAACGTTCCGTGGAAAAGAAGCGAAAGAAACAAAAAAAAAAAAATGACGAGGACGAATGGAATTTTTCCGTCTGAAACCTAATCGACCGATCGACTATAGCGTGGAAGTCGGAGGAAACAGCTGCAGCCTACTTCTTCGCTAAAGTTAGTTGCCTGACGTCTGCTACCGCGCTTTCCTCTCGCGCGAACTTATTGCTTTTACGATCGGGCTCCATTTCTTTATTTTCTCGCGCCGTGGAAGGTCGCTCCGATCGCAACTGATTAATTTCTAACGCCTTCTCTATCGTCTGTTTATTTAGAAGAGACCTTCGCTCTTTGCTAGCTTTTAATACTGTCGTTTATAGCGAATTTATAATCAGGCTGTGGGTGGGAGGGTGGTTCTACGTGTAAAAACAAACAGAAAAGAAATAATAACATTCTCTCGTTCGAGTCTTCGTTTTCGAGGTAATTTGAAAAGTCGGATACAAGTGATATGACAGACGAATTGCTGACGCCGTCTGACCAGCGATCTATTTTTCTACTTGCGTCGAGTTACGTTCGCAGCATCGATGTTCTCGAAAACGAAAAAACTTTACTCTTTCTTTTCTACTCAGTTTTCAATGTAGAACCACCCTCTATAAATAGCATTATTAAAAAATAACAAAGGTGCAAAGTGTTGTACTTCGATTTGCGTTTAAAGATTCGTGCAGAAAATTCTGTAACGTCCCGTAGAATGGCGACAGTTTCCAGGAAATCCCTGTTCGAAACGTCTTGAATGAAAGGAGGGTGTTGAACCCGACTTTTAAAGTGGCTCTTATTAGTCTGTAAAACGAGCAATCGTTCTCTTCCTGCTAGGTAACAACGAGGCCACAGTGTGATATCGCTCGTTCGTAGACAGTGCTGTCTAAGCAAAACAAAAGTTATTCCTGGCATCGGGCTCCCGTGAAAATCACAGTGGATCCACCGGCGGAGTCGGCGAGCGTAGAAAATGGTTTCTCCGCGTTGCCAAATCTTGTCGCGGTTTTGTATCTCGTGGACGGATAGTCACGATGTGTAACGACAATAGTAACACGAAACATCCTTGTGCACACGACGTTTGTTGGCGTACGGATCGATCGTGCACCGTTAGTTTACGATCGCATAAAAATTTCGTTGCGTCTGACCCAGAGCCGACCTGTTCCACTGGCCAGGTGGCCGGTATCTAACATTGCAAGATCGTTTGTTTTAGGTGCAATAAAACATGACAGAGTTTTGTTAACACTAAATTATAGATGGGTGTGCCCGCGTGAATAATTCACGTTCAGAGGGTTCCCTCGATAATCTTATTTAAACGTTTCGATTACGCGTTTGCAGACAAATCGACGGCATCGCGCCAACTTTCGCGAAAAAGCCTGCTATCAGACAAGAGGACGATGGTAAACGACTACTTTTCGAATGTCGCATCACAGCCGATCCCACGCCAAAAGTTACGTGGTTTCACGATGGAAATATGGTCAAAGACTCATCGAGGCATAAGGTTAGCCAACTCGTATCGATTACAGCCTTTGTTCGTCCACTATGTTGCGAAGGACCTTACACAAAATCTATTTGTTTGCGTAACGAGACGTCGCGTTACAAAGTAACGACGTTAAATACTGCCAATTCTATATAGAACTCGGTTCACTCGGCTTCCAAGTTCGATTTAGCTTACGCGGATGCGGAAAGTTTTGAAGGAAATTCATATTTAGGGAGAGGGTCGATTTTGAGCAAGGTCAAGTCGTACTATGGTTGCATCGTAATTTTCAACGCCTAAATTCTTGATCAATTTTAGCTAACCGTCGACAAAGATGGCCACTCGTACTTCGCGACTCTGGAAATAAAAAATGTGACCGTCGAGGATGCTGGTAAATACAAGGTCACCGCGAAGAACGAGCTCGGCGAGTCTAACGCCACCATTTCCTTAAACTTCGACAGTAAGTGTCACATGAAATTCGCAAAAATGATCTGTCGCTACCTGTGTACTCATTTACCGGTGATACGCAGTTTACATTTGTTTGCTCACGCTTAATTTTCATATAACAGCGTTCGAACGATCTTTCTCTCGATGTTTACGCGCATATATGTTTTATTTTTTAATGCATACTTATTCGAATGATTATCTAAGTAAAACAAACTCGAAGTACCGAGTGCACAAGGTGCATTCCGAAACAAATGTAAACAGATCATCCGGCTTCCATCTTTCATCTCTTTTTTTTTCTTTGCATCTACTCATTCGGGATGTATATCGATGATCCTATCTACAACTCTACTTTGATCTCAACGCCCACCCCCCACTTTCTTGTCACGTCTACTTCGTCACCACGCTGTTTTATTATTTATTTTTTCCGCTCGTCCCGCCTTGTTTATTCTGTTATTTTTTTTTGTCCAATTTACTATCTCTCTTCCATTCTCTCTCTTTTTTTTTCATCCGTACGTATGTTTATTTTTTAATGGTTTATCTCGGTCGAGCAATGAGCACGTATCGATTGTCTGCTCGGCGGAGCGACGATATACAGCCCGGTTGAACCGTTGTCGATCGACTAAAAAGGAACAAGAGGACCGTTCGTGAGAGAGCGTAGACTGCAGAATCAGAGTCTAATTTAATGTCTGTAACGAAATGCTGCTTGAATCGCGTATTAATTTTCGATTGGCATTCCCACGCACCCGATCGTCTTAATTTCGATAAAAAAAAATCGGTGGAATTGATCGATAACGCGTAATAATCGGATCGGTGCACGGAATGCGAATCGGCCTCGCGCTGACGCTTCGTTAGGTTGCTGTAATCACGAACATTTTTTTATATTTTCATTCGCGGGAGCCATATGTTTGCCGTGTGGATCATCGACATGTCCGCCATCGCGATCATGCAATTATTAATCGAGAGTCATAATAAAAAAAAACAAAACGCACAAGCGCGCGCACACGCACATGTTTTTCACACGCTCACCTCACACGTTTAGATGTGTTTCTTTCGATTTAGCGATTAATCGTTTACTTTACTAAATGAGACTCGATCTCGTAACCGAAACAATTAGTAGACTGTTATTTGATTACTCGTTTAACGTGTTTAACCAACTGTTGCGTTCGTTGAGGATTTTCGTGGAGTGGTAAATGTACCGTGAGCTTTCTCGTAGACGATCTAAGAAACTTAACAGTAATTAATTCCACGTACACCGGGAATCTCTACTTTGGCGGCTCGAGAAATAGGTAATTCTCGAACGAATGCAAAACCAAGAAATTCTATATTTTTCGCTCGACAAAGTAGAATCGTAAGATACTCTTCGAGCATCGAACTCTCTCGTACACATCGATCTGCGTCAATTATCCGGGCACCGATCGCGTTAGGGAAGAGAAAGAACGAAGGCGAAACGCGTGCCTTGCGAACGAATAAAACAATGTCGATGAAAGCAACCTAAGTTACGAGATGTCGGCCTGGCAGGCGGATGTCGGACGATTCACCGTTGATCGTACTTTTTTCAATATCCGTTCGCACGGAGATAGAAGTAAGGTACAGTTCCGGTAACGCAGCGAGGATGGGGTGTGTGCAGCGTATAAAAAAAAAAAAAAATCGAATCGATACGTAGCTCTGACCTTGGATCGAAGGGCTTAAACCTTCCGCAACCAGGTTGAAGATATCGTCGACGCGATGCGCGTTAAACGAGACACGATAAGGATGCGAAGGGATTAAGCGTTAACGAAAAGATATTGTAAAGGGATGTCGACACGTAGATTCGTTTGTGTCAACGTAGGCGACGAGGCGCCCGTACCCGACGACGGTATTAAACCGACCTTCACCGAACGACCGGTAATAAGGCAATCCGACGACGGTAACACCATCACCTTCGAATGCCGATTAGTCGGCGATCCGAAACCGAGTGTCAAGTGGTAAGGATTTCGTGTTCCAGTGCACGCGGAAGTACGCCAACACGCGGCCCTTTTTAGCGCCCCTTCGTACCTCTCCACACACGCATGTCTCAGCGAACATAACGAAACGATCGATAGACGATTTTAATGTAACTCGACAGATGCGTAGAATTGCCAAAAATAATCAAAATTTACGTTCCTTATCGGTGGTAGATTTCTTTCTTGAAAACGCCTCAAGCTTTGACCGATAAAAGAATATGGAGTATCTTTGGCTGTTGTACAGATCCGCTGTAGTTAGATTAAAACCCGTACCGAGCACGGTATGTTTCCCTTGCAAGTATCCCCGAGTTATCGTAGTATCGAAATGAAAATGAAGAGATAACACAGAAAATAGTAGAAGCAGTATATCTTTCGTTGGCGAATCGTCGCGTACTTCCAATCGCGTTACTATCTGATCAAGCATTGAGCATGCAGCACGTTTTGATGCGCACGAATTCAGGTATCACGGTACCGACGAGGTGAAAGAAGGAGGAAGATACACCATGTCTTTGGAACTCGATCAGAAGCTCTACCACCTCGCGAGATTAAAGATCGATAACGTGGCGAAAGGCGACGCCGGCGAGTACAGAGCCGTCGCGAAGAACAAGCACGGCCAGGGAGTGGCGACGATTAATTTGAACTTCGAGGGGGGTGACAAGCTAAAGTATGCATCGACGACGTCGTCGAGACGGCCGATCATCGCGTCGCTAGACTTTCGGAAACAATAACAATTAAATTTATTCATTTTATTTCGAGTTATTGTATTTTTATAAAAAGCCAGTTTACGTATAAGAGATTCCGAAAACGTCCTAGCGACGCGTCGAGCGGAGAGCTCGACGATCGAGCGAGGATGAACCGCGGCAGATCCGATCTCCGCGCGACGGAGATCGATTTGTGTCTGACGTATCGATTCACGCAGAATACCGGACGGTAAGCCGCCGCGTTTTCCGAAGAAACCGACAATCCGACAGGAGGGCGACATCTTGATTATGGAGTGTATCCTGGAAGCGCACCCGGTACCGGACATTACCTGGTACCAAGGACAGAAACCGATCGCCGACAGCAAACGCGTCAAGATGTCACGCAAGGCGACCGGCAAGGACACGTATTTGCTCACGCTCGAGATCTCGAATCCGACCAAGGCCGACGGTGGAAATTACCGATGCAACGCGTTTAACAACTTTGGCGAGAGTAACGCCAACATCTCCCTCAACTTCCAAGGCAAGTCCTTCTCGATGCAAGAAAGAAGCAGTTCTCGTTGGTTCCTCCACACTTTCTATTTCACGTATGGATCGTTTCGCGCGAGAGCGACGTATCTCGGGGATTTCGATGAAATTGATACGCCTTCCGGTTTTTACTAATTAATAAATAATAAATCACGTTGCGCGTCAATTTCACCAAAATCCCCGACCTTTCGATCTTTTCCAACGCGGAACGATACCTTTACTCGAATGTTCGAGGCGTTTTGTTTTTTGTGAATCGGCCAGAGAGACCAACGAGAAGACCCCCTCGAACCCGTTCGTTCTGTCTCCTAGCACGTTTTTCCTCTCGGGATCGTTCCCCGTACGCGAGAACAGTGTTTCGCGTAATTGGCGCGCGCGTACGAAAAACGGTACAGGTTTTCCGGTTGCATCGTTTGCCGAGGGACAGGTAAGTACGTTGCGCTATCGCTAACTAATCGTGGAGTCCTTCTCTCGTTGCTTCTTAAATTCCCGATTCTGGTCTGAATTTCGAGAGAAATCGGACGGCCCCGAAAATTCAGACGAGGATCGGGGAAAGGCAGTTGAACTAATATCGTCGAGATTTTGACTAATCGCGAAAGGGAACCGAGATCGAAACCCTTTCTCGGCGGCCCGATCTCAATTTCCCGCGTCGCTGCGCCGGGAATTGCGATCCGGGGAGACGGTTTCCGACCGAGTACGCGGCAGCCGCCGTACCCCGACCGTTTTACACGCGATCCTGCCTAATCGTGGATCTTCCCAAGATGCAGAAGAAGGACCTGGTTTCGCGCCGACGTTCGTCGAGAAACCGCGTATCATTCCGAACGAAACCGGTACCTTGATCACGATGAAGTGCAAATGCAAGGCGAACCCAAAGCCGGAAGTCACGTGGTTCCGCGGGACCAACGTCGTCAAGGAATCCTCCAAGATCTCGATCAAGACGAAGACCGTCGAGGAGGACGTTTACGAATTAATCATGGAGATCAAGGTGAGCAACCATACAAATTTCTAACGTCGAATAGAGTTTCGATCATTGAGAATTAAAATGTCTGCAGGACCCTTCGGCGCCAGACGGCGGCACATACAGGTGTCACGTGCAAAACGAATACGGCGAGAGCAACGCGAATCTGAACCTGAACATCGAGGCTGAACCGGAACCGGAAGGCGACGGTCCGACCTTCGTCGAGAAGCCCCGCATACAGTCGCAAAATCAGGGCAAACTCGTAATAATGGATTGCAAAGTGAAGGCGAGCCCGAAACCGGAAATCGTGTGGACCCACGCCGGCCAGGTGGTGAAGGAGTCTTCGAAAATCTCGATCAGTATTATCCAGGAGAAGGAAGATATTTACTATATTAAATTGACCCTGAACGATCCCGGTCCAGAGGATTCTGGCTTGTACAAATGCAACATCAAGAACGCCCTCGGGGAACTGAACGCCAATCTTACGCTTAACGTTGAAAGTAAGCTATACTCCCATAGTCTTCTTTGAATTCTTGATCCTGACTCTGGTCGTCTATTTATCCCGCGTTTTTTATCTACGATTTCAGTTATACCTGTGATTAAGGAGAAACCGAAGGTCGTGAAGATCGTGAAGAAGAGGACTGTGATAGTGGAGTGTCACGTTCTTTCCAAGTTCACGCCGGATTGCACTTGGTTCAAGGAAACGCAAGCCGTAAAGGAGGACACCAGGCACAAAGTGCACGTGGAACAAGTGAAAGAGGTGCGTAACAACCGTAATGTCTCGAAAGATCAAAGAGAAAGTATCAAAGAGGAAATTTATTGCTTTCGTAGGGAGAGTTTGCTGTGAAATTAGAAATCGAGCAAGTGTCAGCCACCGACAAGGGTATCTACAAGTTGGTAGCTCGTAACGAGAAGGGTGAAGCAACCTCCCAGGTTGTGGAAGTGACGGAAATCATGGAGGAAGGCGAGAAACCAAAGATCGCGTCCGGTCTCAAGTCCGTGGTAAGTTCCACTGGCCCCTAAAATGTGCTGTATACGATCAACCAATGAAATGATTAAAACAAATATTTCCCATCTGGTTTACAGACGATCGAGGAGGGCAAATCGATCGAATTCGTCGCTAGTCTCTCGAAGCTAGATCGTAAAGTGACCATCACGTGGTACAGGTGAATTGATCAATCAATACGAACGGTACTGTATTTCATCCGTACTCTTGTTTAGACTGATTTATGTAATTGTTTCTGCAGAGATTCGACGGTAATAAAATCCTCCAAGGACGTTATGATATCCTTTAACGGCACGGATATGAAATTGAACATTTCGTCCACCACCACTTCGTTCTCTGGAACTTACAAGGTTGTAGTCAGCAATGATTTCGGCCAAGACGAATCGTCCGCTCGACTGGTTGTCAAGGTAAGAAATTTGGGGATCTTAAATACAATTTATCTTTCATTCGTTATTTAAAATTTGTTATTCGGATGGGAATTCTGTCCTGTCTCTGTTTAAAATCACCCCTCTGTCGTTCAGTGTTACAATTCCTCCTGTTATAACTTTAAAGAATCTCGATTGAAACTAGTCGATCCCCAGAATCGTTGATGTTGCTCCCTAAATTGAAACCCTCCAGTGACAATAAAACATGTTTTCGCGAAACGGTTGTTACCCCTGAATGTTGCATGCCATTCCTCGTGCATATTGTAGAAGAAGGAGGAGGAGGAAGAGGAAGAAAAGAAGAAGAAGAAGGTTGAAAAGAAGGAGGAGGTCAAGGAAGAAAAGAAGGAAGAAAAGAAGGAGGAAAAGAAGGAGGAAAAGAAGGAGGAAAAGAAAGTGGAGAAGAAAGTGGAGAAGAAGGAAGAAAAGAAAGAAGAGAAGGTAAAACTGTTGTCATCGTGCAAATTCTGCAATCAAAAGGGCTTACTCACATTTTGTGTCCCTTCTCCTAGTGTTTAAATCACCACTGTAATTAACATTCGCTACATTCGTCCCTTACATACACACTTCAAACATAATCACACGAACGAAAACTTAATTTCTTCCCTTCACGAAGATTTTGCGATACTTGTTCAGCAGATTAACTTTTCGTTTCGTTCGGTATGGTAAATCGGCTCTTTAGAAATGCATTTCGATATTGCGATGCAAAAGGTAATTAGCTCGCCCTGGAGCGACGACGAGGGGGACGATTACGAGGAAAGTATCGTCGAGGAGGAGGAGGAAGAAGAGGATGTGGTGAGTGTAATCGAATCCAGCGTCGCGGAGCCAATTACCGAAGTGCCAGACTCACAATCAGACACAGTTTCGCAAACAGAGGTACACAATACACACGCAACACAAAAAAATATATTCTCGACGTATTTCTTCACATTTTCCACAGAAACGCGTATCGAACTATTTTTTCTCTATAGTTTTTGCCACGGGCGATTCCTTTTCCCGTGAAAAATGTATCAAAATTTTTTTTTATTATTTTCAAGGATATACCTGACAACAAACAGAACGGTATCGACAAACCTGGCCCCAAGAAGGTACGAAACAATTTTTGTTTTTATTTTGAACACGAATTCTTGAACGAAATTATCGTTTTCATATGACTACGAGAGACTCGTCTACACTATGTTGATTTAGAAAAATACAAACCCTATATGGTTCCTTGTGATCGTTGAGTTTGCCAATGTTTTATGCCCCCTTTCGTTTGATTCAGTTCCCTGTGTGTTTATTATGGCATTTAATGTCCAAGCAGAACAAAATAAATGAATAATATTCTGTAGTTGCGCAGCTATAAAATATAACATAAGGTACTCTTAAGCAGTCGGTTGTAAAAGAAATAGAAACTAGTGGTCGAAATATATTTTGATCCCCTGTGATTGTTTCTAACGATATTGTTTGCCTTTTTGTTTCAGAAATTGGAAGTTCTTCAGGTGAGTGACACGTGTCGAACATTCGGAATTGGCAAAGTATGCGCTCGAACTATTAGATCGGTCTTTCTATTGCTTTGCGACCAATTAGTGAGCTTATGCGAACACCACACTGTCTTATGACGGTATTATTTATTAACGCTGTTATATTTTGGCGAGTTAATGCGTGGCTGATATACGAAATGCTTTTTTCAGCTTTTTCTAAACGAACTATTCTATCTCTTTCAGCTTTTTCTAATTAAACTATTCCTTCTCTTTCAGCTTTTACTAAACAAACTATTCTCTTCTTTTCAGCTTTACTAATGAAATGCTTATACTTTCCAGCGAAGCGTTTTTATAGAACTTTTAGTACCCTTTCCATAGAAGCTGGGCTATGAAACTTCAAAAACCTCCATTTTCCTTTGCAGCATGTTTCGCGTTGTGTTCTGTTTTCTTTAGAATTCTAAGTACACTTGCACGTGTTAAAGTTTGTTTGTGACTTTGTGTAAGACGTAAATAGTTTAGAATAATCAAGGTATGAATATTCGGGAATATAATTTTTGCTTGCCATAGTTTATAGTATTTAAACTGCGAATGAAAAATATTAATATCTGCCCCGTGTCTTTTTTCTACGTGTAGAAGAAACCGGAAGAGAAAGCCGTGGAAAAGAAGGAACCGGAAAAGGTAATTGTGTTTTTCGAATGTTTAAAATTCGCTCGAAGTGTAATAACGAGAATCTTGTAATTCGATCGAATGAAATTTGTGCTTACAGAAACAGGTCGTGAAAAAGCAAGAAGAAAAGAAAGAGGCAAGCATGAGCTTTCGTTCGAATAATCTATTATATTGGAATATTCTTGCCTACGTATTGGTACGACTTGATTCTTTGTGTTTCAGGAGACAACGTTAAAAGCGGAGAAAACGGTGTCTCGCAAGCAGTCTATCAGCAGAGTGAGTGTCGTGTCTACTGAATCGTTTGAAAATGATTGGAAGAAAACGTCATAGTAATTTGTTTATTATTGTTTCACTTGCAGGTCGAAGAATTGCGAACGGAAAGCCGAAGAAGTTCTCTGGTGTCAACCGAGGAAAAGGTTAAACTTCGCATTTATTTAAATAAACATATGCACACTCGAGGAATTCACAATTACCGCTAAGACACTTGGCTACCTCTTAGATATCCAAATTTTTATTTATTTTTTTTTGTACACACGTAGATTAGCGAAGATGGCTCCACGACACCGCGACGCTATTCTTTTCAAAAGGTACACGAGCACTGACCAATTAAACATACAATAAACATAATATTTACAACTGTTATTCCAAAATGAAACACATGGAAATTTTTTCGGAGGAAGGTTCCACCATTTGAAATGATGCACAATGCAACACTTGCAATGTACTAAATGAGAATAAGTAAATCGTGGTGCTAATAATTTTTTATTTGCGTGAAAACAGACCGAGGAGGAAGTCAAGACGGAAAGCCGGCGATCGTCCATCGTTGAGAAGAAGGTGACGGAAGAGAAGGTAAGAAACCACATTTTAATTAATATTATTCTGTTAATTGTTGTTTTAACTTCCCCCGTACTGTCCCTGTAAATTTGATCATTCCCGTAGCGAGATTAGTATGTGTGCTAACAGTTGTTCTTTGGTTGAGATATTAAAAAAAATCGAAACAATTTTGTTTTTATTACCGAAAGCGTAAGTACCTTGTGTTGTGTTCGACCTTCTCAAAAATGACATAAGAAGGCTAGTAGTATTTAGTACTTAACATTTGGTTTCTTTTTGTATGCATGTAAAAGTGCAGAGGATAGGGATAAAATGAGAATTAAAGAAAAGTGGGAGAATCTTACGAAGGAAAGAGTCCTACGATTTTTGTTTTATTATTTTAATATTTTAAACGGGTAAAAAGGTCTCGACGAAATTAGAAAACACACCCGTTCACTACACAAAGGTACACAAAACACACTAAATGCACTCGTTAGAGTCCCCTTTTACATGACTCGATTAATAGGAATTAAAATACAACGCATCCTTTCAGGGTGAATCGTACTCGACGTTTCACATGTTTACACGAAGATCGGAGAACGAGAAGGTAGAAACATTGCACAGAAATTGTCAAAATTGTTCACAGAGTGACATTGAAATAGGTGGTTTCATTTTGGTGAAAAAAAAAATTTCAAATCGTTCTGAAAAAATTATTCTCGGTTCCGGGGGTCAATTGCAATCATTTTTGGTCAATAGACATACCCTCGAAATCCTACTCACTTTCCAGAAAAAAATTCGAGTAGTCGACGGAATTAAAAAATTTCAAATCGTTCTGAAAAAATTATTTTTAGTTGTGGGGGTCAATTGCAATCATTTTTGGTCAATAGACATACCCTTGAAATCCTACGCAGTTTCGAGAAAAAAATTCATTACCGAACCTATGTCTGACCATACCGTTGATATGTTTCCCTGAAATTTCATACATATCTTTAAAACGTTATAACTTCTGAACGGATTGGACGATTTTAATATTTCAAAAAGCAATCAACGCGTATTTTAGTGAAGAATGTGTAGAAATTCTAAAAATATTGGAAAAGTTACTCCTTGACCCCGTAAAATGAGAAAAACTCCATAAAAGCGGTCCAATTTTCAAACGACCATAACTCCTACAATAGTGAATATATTTCACTGAAATTTTTTTCTGAAGTAGAGCTCATGGGTACCTGCAAAAAAGTACTGAACAATTTTTCTGTAGCGCGTCAAACAAATTTTTTAAAAATGAGAAACCAATTTTTAAGGAAAATCGACAGGGGGTAGGTGCCTAAATTTCTCGGCGAAAAAAAAAAATTTTAAATCGTTCTGAAAAAATTATTTTCGGTTCCAAGGGTCAATTAGAATCATTTTTGGTGAATAGGCATACCCTCGAATTCCTACGCACTTTCGAGAAAAAAATTCAGAAAGGTGGGCAAACATCGACGAAAAAAAAAAATTTTTAATCGTTCTGAAAAAATTATTTTCGGTTCCAAGGGTCAATTAGGATCATTTTTGGTGAATAGGCATACCCTCGAATTCCTACGCACTTTCGAGAAAAAAATTCAGAAATGTGAACAGACATCGCCCAAAAAAAAAGATTTCAAATCGTTCCAAAAAAAATTATAATTGGTCGAGGGAGTCAATTACGATCATTTTTGGTTAATAGACATACCCTCGAAATCCTACGCACTTTCGAGAAAAAAATTCAGAAAGATGGACAAACATCGGCGAAAAAAAAAATTTCAAATCGTTCTGAAAAAATTATTCTCGGTTCCGAGGGTCAATTACAATCATTTTTGGTGAATAGACATACTCTCGAAATCCTAATCATTTTCGAGAAAAAAATTCTTTATCGAAATTATTTTGTGTGCCCAGAAATTTGTTAATCACTTCATATGTAGATCCAATTATGTGGCTTTTTTTATTTTTTGGCATTGCCTCAGCCTCGAGTACGCTATATAATCGAAATTTTACTGTGTAAATTCGAGATCTCTTGTAAAGAGTAAAATATTTAGCTAAAGTGGAACCATCAATTTCAATGTTGCAATAGAAATCGGTCAGATCTTTAAAATACGTTTAAAAATCACCAATATTATTGTAGACTCCGTCCAAAGAGGACGTTAGGCAAGATGCGTCCGAACCAGAGAACGAAATCGAGGTAAACGATTTGTCGAAAGAAACTCGATCTAATATTATCGCTAATGGTAAAAATACTTATAGAGATTGATACTTGTAGGATATCTGGGCGTCGGTGCCAAGAGACCCCGAAATAAAACCCATTAGAAAGAGAGAGGTACAGAATGTTGCAAATAATGTCAGACTTCGCGAATATCGCGGTTCTTCCCCGTTCATGTCGCGACTTTTGTTTTCTAGGACTCCCCGAAATCGGTACCGGAACCACGAAAATACATTGCCACGGTAATAGTAGAGGTACATCGTTGTCTCGTGAAAAACCAAATATGTTTCGATAGTAGTAAAACACTTAAAATATTTTATTCATACTTCTCGGCGGTCGTTCTTCGTTACTTACGAGGATATGATTTTAGGAATCACACGACTCGTCACACAACCTTAAGCCACACACACACTGGCCTATCAAAGACGCCGAGGTACACGACACACGTTCACACATTCATCGATAGCATTAGCATAACATTAACATAAGCATTGACAATTATTTTAGGTCACCGTTACACCACGAATCAGTGAACACAGGAGTACACTGATTAAAAATGGCAAGGTACACGACACTGTCGATCGCATCACACGCGACACTATTCTTTCCATTGCAGTTTTTTTACTCTTTTTTTTTTTCTTAGGACACACTAGCAGCTAAATTTAAGCCACAATCGCACGAATTGGATGACGAAGTAGAGGTAGCTTCGAGCGATCATTCATATATTTTTTTAACGTCAAATGTAGATCGATATTATAGAATGGAAATATTATAGGATATTTGGGCAGATAAGCCGAAGGATCGCGATCTAGGATCTGTGAAAAAAGACGAGATTCAGCAGAAATCGATACACGGTACACGCGACACTGTAGTAGGACACATTTCTAATCGGATGGCGTATTTTAAATATCCATTCACGTTGAAATCCACCGCGAAGTTGCATAATGATAAACCACGCGATAAAATGGAGGTAGTTTTTTTTTAAATATTTATTTTCATGCAAGAGGAGAATGTCGATGACCGTATTTTTAATCACATGACACGTTTTAGGACACGTTAAAACGTATTATGAAGCCACGCGTTGATAAACCTCGCGATGAAATCGAGGTAGTCAATTTTTTTATCATTTTTTTTATGTCTAATGCCACGTAAGAGATCAATGTCTATTAACGAATCCACGTATTTTAGGATATTTGGGCGGATAGGCCAAACGATCGCAAAATGATATCTATTAAAGAACTCAAGGTACAACAAACAACTGATACACACATTACACATGGCAAAATAGTATACATTTTCTAATTACATAACATATTTTAGGACACGTTAAAACCTATCATGAAGTCACGAAATGAAATTGAGGTAGTTTTTTTTTTTTATACTTTTAAACAAAATATTTATTGTCATGCAAGGGGAGAATGTTAATGGATCCATCGTATTTTAGGATGTTTGGACGGATAGGCCAAACGATCGCGAAGTAATATCTATTAAAGAGCTCAAGGTACACTGAACAATTACACACATATTTACATGGTAAAATAGTACAGATTTTAAATCACATAACACATTTTAGGACATGTTAAAACCTATTATGAAGCCACGCGTTGATAAACCGCGCGATGAAATTGAGGTAGTCAATTTTTTTTTAATATTTTTAACGTACCATAAGAAATCAGTATTAAAAAACGAACACTTTTAGGATATCTGGGCAGATTGGCCACGAAATCGCAAAGTTAATTCTATTCGGAATACCGAGGTTCGTGTGTAACTGAAAAACAATTAAATAACTATACGGTTTAGTGTAACAATGATTTTACATACGTTAAATTCGCAGGACGAGCTAAAAGAAACGCCTAAACCATACATAGAAGAGTCGAACGATGAGATAGAGGTACTCGTAGCATGTTCTACTCGAATACTTAAATTTTCTCGCGATATACTCGCACGATCGAGTTAAATATAATCGGGCAAACAATTTTGTAGGACATCTGGGCGGATAGGCCGCAAGATTGCGAAATTAAACCAATTTGGAAGGAGGTATACAACGCATTTCAAAAGAAACTTTTCGATTTCCGCTGTTAGCGATTTAAACGATATTTAATAACACATTTTAGGACGCTCGGAAACCAAAATCGAATTACACGAACGACAGAACAGATTCCTCGGAATCTAAATCAGAACCACTGCTAGTTAAATCGACTGACAAACCAGAGGTAGAATAAAAAACGTATTCCCATATCCACGAACGCGTAAATGTATATTAAATTGATAAATACACGCTTTTTAGGAGGAGATTAAACCGAAATTAAAAACAACTCGTAAAAGAACCGAAAAGGACAAGGTACACGATACAAACATACAACACTTGACGTTATTACAGTTTTATACAATTTATTTAATCGTTTTAGAAAGAAGTAGCGAAACCCAAAGTTACCTCTCGCAAAATTGACGATGTGGGCAAGGTATAATTTTTTTTTTTTTTTGTGCAACGATGCGTATGTGTGTGTTTGTGTTTTTTTTAACTTTTTTTTTGTTTACGATTTTAGAAGAAAGAACCTACCACGAGACGTAGATCATCGACAAAATCAACGGACGGGTCTAAGGTACAGGGAACAGAGACACGATACTTGCATTCTTTATGTTTTATTATGTATATGTTCTACTTATGTTATTCTTATTCATTCGTGTGAATATTATCCAGGATCACGAACCCAAGTTAGACACAAAACAAAAGGACTCTGTTCCTGATGAAACAAAGGTACAAAATATTCCTTGCACAATGAATACACACGATTCTCTCAAACGTTATGTAATTATCGATATATTAGTTCTCATTTTCTGAAAGGAAATTGCTGTGATTTGGATTAATCGTGTCCATTTGTCGCATTAACGCAACACACGTGATGAAATGCAAGCGTATATTATCCTTTCCATATTTTTCTAGAAGAAGCAGGAGGTCAGCCTTAAAACGAAGACCGTTGGAAAAGAGGAAACGAAGGTACCCAAGCGATAATAATATTGTCATACGTGCATTTTCACAAACATGATACACTAAAGAAAGAAAAAAACGATACAAACTTTAATTCCACACAGTACGTTCACTCTCACAAATATACCTTACTCGATGCAATTGATTTGCAGAAGACAGAACCCGCTAAACCACAAACCACTCTCGGTAAACCCGAAGAGCCAAAGGTACACACAAAACACACACTTTTCACAGCATACGATGCTCAATCCATTTTTGCATAGATTCCTAAACATTGACAAGTACGATACACGAGACTGTTGATTTTTAGAAAGAGGAACTCGCCACGAAAACCAAGACTGCCATTGGTAAACCCCAAGAACCCAAGGTACATGAGATTGTTTTTTAAACTTATCCTTTTTTTTACACGAGCAACTTTTTTCGCGTAACACATTTCACGAAATGGACACTACACGCGACGCGTTCGTTTTTTTAGAAGGAAGAACCCGTTCCAAAACCCAAAACCACACTTGGTAAACCCGAGGAGGCGAAGGTACACGACAATACACCCTTAATTACACACACTTGCGTTGCAAGCATAACCACGACCCTCTACAAAATCCCTTTTTATTTTATAGAAGGAAGAACCCGTTCCAAAACCCAAAACCACACTTGGTAAACCCGAGGAAGCAAAGGTATATGACAAATACGTTACCTGGTGTTTCACGCACGAACATTACATAACATAAACACGATTCGTCACAAAGATCCTTGTTTTTAGAAGGAAGAACCCGCCCCAAAACCCAAAACCACACTTGGCAAACCCGAGGAAGCAAAGGTATATGATAAATACGTTACTCGGTGTTTCACACACGAACATAACAAATCATAAACACGACTCGTCACAAAGATCCTTGTTTTTAGAAGGAAGAACCCGCCCCAAAACCCAAAACCACACTTGGTAAACCCGAGGAAGCAAAGGTATATGACAAATACGTTACCTGGTGTTTCACGCACGAACATTACATAACATAAACACGATTCGTCACAAAGATCCTTGTTTTTAGAAGGAAGAACCCGCCCCAAAACCCAAAACCACACTTGGCAAACCCGAGGAAGCAAAGGTATATGATAAATACGTTACTCGGTGTTTCACACACGAACATAACAAATCATAAACACGACTCGTCACAAAGATCCTTGTTTTTAGAAGGAAGAACCCGCCCCAAAACCCAAAACCACACTTGGCAAACCCGAGGAAGCAAAGGTACATGACAAATACGTTACACTGTGCTTCACACACGAACATTACATAACATAAACACGACTCGTCACAAAGATCCTTTTTTTTAGAAGGAAGAACCCGCCCTAAAACCCAAAACCACACTTGGCAAACCCGAGGAAGCAAAGGTACATGACAAATACGTTACACTGTGCTTCACACACGAACATTACATAACATAAACACGACTCGTCACAAAGATCCTTGTTTTTAGAAGGAAGAACCCGCCCTAAAACCCAAAATCACCCTTGGCAAACCCGAGGAAGCAAAGGTACATGACAAATACGTTACACTGTGTTTCACACACGAACATTACAAAACATAGACACGACTCGTCACAAAGATCCTTGTTTTTAGAAGGAAGAACCCGCCCCAAAACCCAAAACCACCCTTGGTAAACCCGAGGAAGCAAAGGTACACGAACTCAGCACCCCAATTTTGGTGCAAATTCACTCGTAACACACGACTACACTAACTATCGCACACGTAATAATAATAATAATAATAATTTTCACGAACGTGTATCATCTAATACGTCTGCACCATCATGTCATCGCGCAAAGCACGTGTCATGGAGAATGCAAAATATATATTTTTTTTCCAGCAGAAAGTGTGCCTGTATCATAGTAACAATTTTTTTTCCAGCAAGAACTGAGTTCGAATCATCTTAACATGCAACGAACATAACAAATCATTAAATTGCAGCATCTCCGCGAATCGTAACCGTTTGGAGCTCTTGGTACTGCCCTGTTTAACGCTTTCTTCGTTTGTTTACAGTCAGAGTTGCAAGCCAGGAAACTCAGTCTCAAGCCTGGAGCTAAGGTAATTACTATTGCTTCAGTATAGGGTGGAAGCTCAATCAACGCGTTAACTTATACGCAATTGTTCATTTAACTTGCAGATCGAGGAGGAGAAGAAGACATTGAACAAAGTGGAACTAAAAGTGAGTATTTCGCTGATTCTCATCGCGTACACGTACACAAATACATCGGTGACATTCCCCTAATTAATGAAAGATCATTTCCTCCTCCGTTTTTCCGTGACAAACTGCCAACGATCATTTGGAATAAACGATAATATTAAACACAGCAACTGACAACGAACACGGCCGAGGAGAAGTCAAGACTTCGTAAACCACCAAAATACGAAATTAAATCCGACAACTTTCAAGCTGTCCAACTAAAGCCAGTTTCCAAGGGGCCTAAAAAGCCTCAGCAGTCTGAAAATGGCACGGTTGAACTGAAGGTATCTCTGCGAAAGGGAATCAAAATAATTATTCTCTATCTCTACGCATCTATATGTTGGAAATGTACATACAGCTCTTCTTCGTCTGTCCCCGATCTACGATCATTTCTACTTCTCACCTTTCTCCTAATTCTCTACGAACACACACACTTTCTCGTAATCTCTGTTATTCTCTCTTCTTCTCGTACTCACAGAATCACACGTCAATAATAATAACACTACATCTTTATTACCACACGAAGATACAAAATATTAATGTAGAGAATGTGCCCTTAACGCAAAGGGTGGCAATAAATCTAACACCGAACTCTTCGATCTTTTCTTCTTCGTATCAGTAACCCTTTCTTCCTTTCTTCTACTCCAACAACTCTCTACGCTTATTCTCAATGTCTCTTTTCGATGTTGTCGATAACAACGATACTATCTCTCTTATGACACTCTCGTTTTCTCAGACTCTTCTACGAGTCGTTTCTTTTCTTCGTCGCTTAATCTTTGAAAACGCGAAAGAATACGCGCAATAACAGGAATGATGGGTACTGCTATACTTCACAATACTGGCGACCAGCCTCCACTAATTATAATATAAACAGTACGGCGATACGTAATCTCGAATGGAGAGAGATCACTCACTTCGCAACGATCTTAATCACTTCTTTACTGTCGTCAATGTTCTTCTATCTAAACACGGCTTGAATGTTAACGCTCAGAAATACGAGAAAGACGTCCGAACCGGATCGCGAGAATTAATTATCGTTTTGATGGCGCGTAGAAAACCGAGAAGGCCGAGAAGGTCGAAGTGAAGAAGATGAAGGCTGCCAAGACGGCGAAGGAGAGCACCTACGAGCTTCCAGAGATCCCGGATTACGAGAGACCAGTCCTGGAGAAGCCCCAGGAATTCGATTTCGGCGATCGCATGCCTCGCGACAAAACCAAGCTCGACAGACCGGCCACTCAGGTGATTAACGAGTTTCCCCGCGCCATTTTTAACACTGTTCGTATTCAATAGTTGATTGGATAACAAAGATCTTTTTAAATATTAAGGCTTTAGCTTAGTACGAAGTAAAATTGAATCTAATCAAAGATTGAATCTCGAAAACAGTGCGTAATCTAATATGTCCACGCGTCAGAGTTTCACAAGTGACTAATTATGTTTCTTTTCACGCGGGGCGAGCAGAAATTCGAGTCTAAGGTGAGTAATCGTTCGTTATTAATACGAAAATGAGAAAACGATTTTGCCAAGCCGCTGTCCGCCGCTGTACCCAAGAAAATGTAAGAATTTTGCAATCCCCCGGCCAAAAGCGGTACGATCGAGGCCCGTCAAAATTTCGTAAGCTCGGGAGGGATCGAGAACCGGACGCGTAGCAACCGCTAAATCCCTGGAGACAGTGGCGTAAAAATATCAGGTTGTTTCGAACCGATCATCGGCATCGAACGCACGCGTGATCGGGACACGCGTCCTCGGGCTCGTATTTTCTGTTCCCGATCGAAGATCGTACGCAAATACCCGGCGACGGCCGTCGTTCGATCCGGCAGGTAACCGCAATTAACGCGAGACACCACGGCGGACGAGATCGAGCCTAATAATCGGACGAGTAAAATTCGCGGTTTGGCAACCGATGAATGTCCCGTGAGCGGGTCTCGCCTCCTCCGCTCGTTTTGCATACGGACACCGGGTCACAGAGGGGGGAAACTATTTTGGCAAATAGCTGATCGTATATCACCCCCTTCGGGTCCCCCAATTTTTCGACGTGGAAAACGAGGATGGAGAAAATGTCGATCGCTATTTTCGGTGTTATTGCGTGTCCGGCCCTCTTTGCCCGCAACCCTATCTCCTCCCTTCGATTTCCCGAGCGATTCGAGAGATCAGTTTCGATTCAGTCTTGATCTCCGGACGATCGTGATCGCGTTTCATTGTCGCCGTGAACCGCGGAAGGCTCTCGATAATCTCGATACTTGGTAAACTCGATCGCCGCCGCGCTCTGGCAGGTTGCTCCTTTCGTGTTTTCTAATTTTTTTTTTTTAAATAACGAAGGTGTTGATTAAACTTATGTTGGAAAAACAAGATTGAAATGTTCAAGTTATATGTGCATTATGATTGCTATTTTACAAATATTTGGGGATACAGAGAAAGTGGACCAGTGGAGAAGTTTATAAATACAATAAAAATTTCCAGTGGTCCACACTCTGCTCGTTCCAGTTTTTTGACAAATTTGGCTCTTTGCGTTTCGTCGATCGCGCCTGCCAGAACGATAAAGAATGCTATTGCTTCGGCTACTGCTTATTCCATCGAGTTTCGATCGCGAACGGAGCTGATAGTTTTTTCTTGTGATCGTAGCCGAAAGTGCCAGAAATCAAAGCACCCGAGGCGCCGAAGATCGAAGTGATCAAGGACGTGACCCCGGCTGGAAGCAGAAAGGGATCTCTGATACCCGGTAGCGGTACCAGCAGTCGACGTGGTTCATTGATACCACCCGAAGAATTGGGTCGCAGACCCAGTCTGATCATCAGTGACGAGGTATGTTACGAGCTATCTTTTTGCGACTCCAAGGTATATCGACTACTTTTCTGGCAATCGACCGGAGCGACGCGACGATATCCCTCGAGATGATCGAACGATCTCGAATTACGACCGTTTCCACTACTCGAATCTTCTCGTGCTCCATCGAGGATTATAAATAATCGATAAACGGAATATCGTCGCGGTCGCACGGTCTCGAACAGTCGGACGATTTGCTCCGAGACTCCGTCCAGGATCGAATGGTCTCGGATCAGCGGAACGAATTTTATCGCAATGTTTGTTAATCGAGATCTTTCTGTCAAATTGCCAAGCAACGTTCTTAATAGTCCGCGATGTCCAATGACTGCCCAAAATAATCACGTTCGGGCCTATTTTCGTGTAATTACTCACTAAGAAATTTTTGGTTTCGCGGGAGGCGACCGAGCGTGTCCAAAAGCTGAAATCGGCGGTACATCATAAACGACGACGTATGAGGTTTCAGAGGGATCCGGGGACATGTATCATCGCGTTTGGCCCGGTGTGGAAATTGGCTGAGAAAAGTAACGGTCTAACGGAGCAAATCGACTGACGTTTCGAGCGGAACGCTAGCGAGTTACCCACGGTCTCGGCTTTCGATACCGGAGCGATCGACTTTGGTTTCCAAACGGCAATCGATCCGATGCTCTTTGCTCTTCGATACTTCCACATCGACAGCACTTCTCTTTGTGGAACCAAACGAATTTATATCGAATCAGCTTCGACGTCTTCATCGAACATTCGTTTAAAAATGAATCGAGATCGTGGGTGAGCCGGAGCAAAAGGATCAAGACCCGAAAACCTCTAGAACCGTAGCCCGCGTAAGAAACTAGATGAACACGTAGGTAGATGACTGGCTACTGCTGGTTAGCCCTAGAACTGTTGGAGTTTTTTTTCTTTTTGAGTTTCGTAGTGATGTCGATGACATTAGTGACCCCACACGTGATAGTCTCTTAGATCTAGATAGCCAACGACGCTGGCCCCCCGACTCGTTTCGCCTAGGTAACGACAACGAGCGCGGGGCTGCGCGTCGGTGTTAGTGTCAGCAAAGCGTGAAAAAGCTAGTCTAGCATCCTGTTCGTGAAACGTCCAAACAGCCCAGCTTCTGTAAAACCACATATATACCCTCCTACCGAATCCCGATCTTCGCGACGAGTCGCGAAATGAACGCTGCTTGCTAGGAGCGACACCGTTGGAGTGATCCGTAGCCGAAAGGACTTCCGACGACGTGGAAGGATGTCGCTGAAACACGCGACCGGCGTATCGTCTTCGTCGAGCAATCTCGTACACGTATGCACGCGTGTTTTGACGAACGTTCGCGCGTACATGATATATACACACACTCACGCACACACTCGCATGCACACAGATTTATCGAAGATGTGCAGATTAGTAAACGACGGTTTGGTTCATAGGAGAATAGGAAGCTGCGACCAGGCGAGGTGGTGGACGAGCGCAAGGTGAGAGAAATCACTGAAAACGAGAAAAGCGAATGCCTCGTCTGCAACCTTACTCGACTACCAAAATGCACTTATTTCATTCTCACTTGTTCTTTTACTTTTACTTACACAGTATGTCTCACGCACACACTCACCGGAACGTTGAACGAAGAGAACCATTTTGCACCTGTGTCACGCACGGTATTGTCGTTTTTTTTTTTTCTCTCTCTCTCCACAGAATCCACGCACACCGTTTTCTTTCTCTATCTCTTCGTTCAATCCTGCCTGCTCATCGCTACCACTCTCTGTCATTATTTATCAGTCTACTCACCGAAACTCTTGTCCGACGAAATCGCGTCCACTCGTGCATTCGATCGACGATTGGTCGCGAGATCGTCGAGGCGAGTCGTGGCTCCGAAGTGCATCGCGATAACGATCGAAGATTCTGTTTTTTTGATACCTCGACGCGATCTTGGGAGCCTCGACTCGTGTCTATTACAATGTAATAATTATTGACGTAAAAAGAATGCACCATTGCACCATTGCATCAACGCACCACTGCACCTGGCACGGATCTGCTGCAACCGAGTCTATGCGCACTGTCTACTCAATGATTGACCACGATCACTATTTAATATTAATAGCACCAGTCACGGATCGGTGACAATAATAATATTAATTAATAATGGTGATAACTGGGATGGAGGTACGATCCGCGGGGCGTCTGGCGAGGGACGAGAGACTCGAGAACCGGCCGATCCTAAATCATTTAGCATACAAGGCTCCGAATCCCCTCTGGCATAGATCGCGGCTCGTAGATTACGTTTTGGCAAGCATTGTCGCGATAGGACAGCCATCGGCGTTAACAAATGCCTAGACAAGCGACAAACATTCGCGTCACGTGAATCCCCGAGGGGGTAAGCCGCTAACTTATAACGTATGTACGTGTGCACCGGGTAAGAATGCGTTTTAACAGCGGCACGAACACTTGTTACCCGCTGCCAACCGTTCGGACGAAACTATCAATTTTACACGGACGTCGGAGGCCGACTCTGACTTATGGTACCGTGCATTTAATACTTTGCCCGTCGATTAATCAAAAGCCACGGCGATCCAATGGACAACCTGTCGTTCTCGCGATTCGTTATTTCTGGCCGTGTCTCGGTTCACTCGTGCTCGTTAGGCGTCACGGATACCTCGACCGATTTTCTCGGATCCGCCGGCTCCCTTTTAATTCTACTTCGACGTCTTCTTCATCTTGGCGAACCGTTAGATTTACGGGCGACGTCGTGATCTCGATTCTACCAAACGCCCGGTCCAATTAACCCTTAAAACACGGGACCCGAAATTCCCTCGATTCTCGAGACGAGAAAGTCGGTCGACATTTATCGGGCAACGTCTTTCTAGATGATTATCGACAAAAATGCGACATTCCCGGTACGTTCGCTGATTTAATAGCACTTACGTCAGCTGGCGTGCACCGCAGATATTTACCGCAAGAACAATTGCACCGCCAATACTGCAAACGCACTATCGAAAGCCGGTAAGGCGAACCTGGAGTATTTCCACCGACCTTGTGATCGTCTTTCCTCGATTACAGTCCCTCTAGCCCTTGTGACGTTCTTTTTTCGACGCGTTCGCAACCACCGATTCTCGTCATTATGTTCTCGGTGGTAGCAAACGCGTCGATCCATGGTTTTCAACCTGTCTTTAACATCTCCCAATTTTACCCCGGTCTCTGTACGCAAGGAGCAAAGAAGACTCGCATCGACCATCGAAAACCGATTCCCCGGTGGCTGTAGTTCACCCAATTTTTTATTTTTTCGATATTTTTCAACCCCTCGCCCCCAACTTTCTCGGCCCACGCGAGAATCCCGTGTAATCGCCGTGACAACGAACGAACCATCTCACAGACATCTGACGTACGCCTATGTAATTTTTTGCAGTTGGGAAGGTTGCGGCCCGGCGAGGTTTTGGACGCCAAGGTGAGATTTGTGTTCGCTATAACACAAAGCTTACCTGCCATCACCTGCGACATGTTTCTATGTTTCTTACCCATTTTTTTGGACCTCTGTGTCATCCCACTACTTTTCTCAATATTTTTTGTATATTTATTTTTGTCCCCAGCCCCCCACCAATCGCCCCAAAGAGTTTTTGAACATTTCCTGCGGAGATCGCTCGAACCAAAAGTGCAAATCGCTAGTTTTCGACGAGGATCTTCCATCAAGTATTTCAAAGAGATATCATATTGAATTAATATTATTCTGATCCTTTGCATTTTGGACTTTAGCTTCGAACGATGATCGCGGCGAGAAAGTGCAGTTTAACAGCGAGAAAACTAAAACCAGCCGAATGTTCCCGAAACCCCCCAGGCGCAGGAAGCAAAGAAAATGCCGCATACAACCACGGAGCGCCGATAATTATTAATTCTGCGACTATACAAGTTTTTTTTTAGTTGAATTTTTTGGGGCTATCGCAGCTGCTGTCCAATCTCCCGCATATCCGTCTCTACCACATCGGCCTAATTCTGCGTGTTCGAGAGAGCACACTGACAATCTGACGGAAATCGTCATGTCTCGCCCTTTCAGACCCTACACACATCTTCGAGAGACCCGCCCAAAAAGAACGCAAAGATGCCCACCTTGAACTTTTTCTTTTCTCTGTCCTCACTCTCGTCTTCTTTTTGTTTCTTTTTTCATTTTCACGCACGACGTACAGTCCGGCCGTCCTGGCGAAGTGCATATGAAAGAGGTTAGCCCAAATTTACTGTTATTTCTCATACGTGTACGCAAAACTTGTATATATACGCGCGTTGTACCCAAAGACTCTGTATTTTTTGTTTCTTTTGGTTGCGTGTCGCAAAGCTCCGAATTGTTCGCCATAGTATGTACATACTTTTGCAAGGAGCGCGTTCGTCGAGCTTAGGGACGTTTCCGGGGGGCGAAGACGGGCGTTCGTGCTCGCTGGCCGACGCGATTGTTTATATTTATTTATTTATTTGTTAGTTAGTGGCCGTCGGCCCGTCGAGCACGGCGTTAGATCGTTCGCCGTCGAAACGACCCGCGGTTAGCGTAGACGTTTGCTTTGTTCGAGCGAATACTTTGCACATTCCAAACGTAGAAATTAGATGATGGTAAGAAACTTTGTTTGTTGAACGAGAGGTTATTAATCGGAATGCTTGAACGTGTAGAGATTCGCCTTTGTTTATTCTTTTTTGTGTGTAAATTTATGTACGTCTCATCGTCAATGTTTTAAGTAGTACGAGCACGTTTGGGGCCAGACGCGCTGCAGTAGTAAGGAATTGTTTCGATCAGGCAATCAATTTTTTTTTATATTAACCGCTGAGTCGCGTTCCAAATTGTTTTCAATTATCGTCAATGATCGATAACTTTTGTCATCGATTTTTTTGCGAAACTACTGTGGCGAATTTGGCGCCCGACGCGCGTGTCAATTAAAAACGAGTCTTGCTTGTTCACGTGGCAAACGACTGTACGTAGAGCTAATTTCCAACAATGAACAACGTATTTTTGTAAATACTTATCGTGCTCACCATATGTATCCGCGTAATCTACGAACACGGCGAACGTTCGCGGACAGTTTTCTTCTGTGTTTTGTTTTTAATCTGGACACCAGTCGCTAATTTTTTATCGCTACGAATGTGTATCTGTCCCACTGTGCGCCGTGCACACTTGTAAATAATCATAATCGTTATAATACGTCTGTAGTAGATAGATAGATCGTCGCGGTGCTCGAGACGACGGTGACTGAAAAACGAAAAGGTGGTAAAAATGTGTCGATAGCAACACTAATCTCTCATCGTTTCCCTCGTACTGCGTCTTCCGTTTCCCCTTGATTCGTTCCTCGAAATTGTCAATTGTGTCTCTCTCTCACTCTCTCACTCTGTCTGTCTTTCTGTCTCTCTTTCTTTGTTTCCCAAACTTGTTGATTGTTCTCACAATTGTATCTAAACGAAACACGAAATTTGTTTAACAAATTGTATCTAACAGCGATGGCGTGACGAAAATCGAGGAGTTCCGTAAGCGTCACGCGTTTACGTTTCAACGGATTTCTTTAACAGACTGGCGATGCAAATAAAAGATTCGCGAAAAGGACGAAGTTTGGTCGCTTTTCTAGCTTTGAGGACTTCGTGATCTCGATCGGACTGCTTATTTTTTATTTGCTCGCACCATGTTATATTATTCTAATTTGTAAGACGCGTCGATCGATGGCTCCGAGTCTCCATGGATTTCCATTTTCGTAATACCGTCGATCGACGCGTAGAATAATCGATGACAATACGGTAGAATTCCACTTGTTCCAACAGGTCGATTATTACTTTAAATTCTTCTACCATTTACACCAGAAAAATGTTCGACAAACCATTAGTTCCCATAAATAGAGTTCTATCGTATCGTCCTGTTGCCCTGACTTCTTATTTCGCAACGAGACTCGCTTCTTGCGTGTTACGGCGCCCAGAGTCGGTAAAATTTCATTCGCGAGCAACGAAACTAAATTCTAGATCCACTCGAGATCTTCCCTTTACGTTTACATTTCTAAATTCATGTATGAACAGTTGTACGCGAACGAAAGTTGCCTGACTCGATAACACGAACCTCGTACGAAGACGTATTTCTCGTAGAAGTAGGTTTAATCATGTGACTGATCAACTGCTGGCAATTGCTCGCCGAACTCTCGAGTGTTCGGGCATCAACGAAGCAGAACATTTCCTCCACGTAACTCAAACAACCTATTGTTTATGTGTATCCTATGTGTACCCGTATCATCTATGTATATGTCGTCCAAACCGCTCTGGTTTTTACTAGCGTTACAGATATGCAAAACCTGGTAAACGGAATTAAAATGAACCGTAAAATCCGGAGTGGTTAAACTGTTCAAGCGTTGACCTTTCCCTTCAGCTGACGTGCACTCGGAGGCCCTGTCATTGCACTCTAATAATAGAGGCTTGATTTACACGGATGAACGAAACCTAAATCGCTTTGATTATCGTTGTGACAGGGCCCTAGGAGTCAGTGTGGCTAAAGAAAAAAATTACCACGGAACCCGAACGCGACTCTGTCTCGCTAACGGAGGCACGCCAAGAAAGACGTATCGGCTGGCCTCGTCTAACGGCTTCGATACACCTAACGTCGTGGCTAACATTGTTAGCGGTTTAACGCTTCTTACTAACGAGGTGAATTAACTGTGTGATTAACGCGCGATTAATTGCTTGCACCCCACCGACTCAGCACGATGAGCACACCGTGTATCCGAACGGCGTCCACGATTTTCGTCCTCGAGTGTCTCGAATCTATGAACTATTTTATCGCTGAAACTCGAGAGTCGCAGGTAGGACGACGAAAATTGTGCGTTCGCCTGTTTTTTACGCCTTCTTGCTTTTCTTCCGTATGCTTTCGACGCTTAATAAACTAAAGAGAAATATTTCTATGCTCTGTTCGGGAGCGCGATCGTTGATATATCGATGGTTGATTGATGCAGCGTCGTCGTCCGAGCGCGGACGTTAGAAGACCCAGCGTGGCGGACCTCGAGAATAAGATCAATCAGCCGAGCACACCTCTTCGAGATGTTGGACCACCGGGACCACCTCAAATCGTCGATGTCCAGGAATCCTATTCCGCCGTCGAAGGTACCGATTCGTTCTATTTATCGTTAACTAATCATAGAAACTCAAAATGTTCGATATCAACAACGACGAAACTTTTATTTCTCAGACTCGACGGCGTATCTCACGGTCGGGGTGGAGGGCTCGCCGGCGCCGACCTTCAAGTTCTACAAAGGAATCACCGAGATCATCGAAGGTGGCCGATTCAAGTTCCTCACGGACACGGAGACCAATACGATCACCCTCTGCATGAGGAAGACGAAGCCCAACGACGAGGGCACTTACAAGATCGTCGTGAGCAACATCCATGGCGAGGACTCCGCCGAAATGCAACTCTACGTTTCCGGTACCATTCGCCTCGCACCCCCATTTCCTTCTCGAATCGAGAATTCTTCCTGAATTCATGTAATAATCCATGTAATAATAATGATTGTAGACGCCAGTGGAATGGACTTCCGTGCGATGCTGAAGAAGAGGAAGTACCAGAAATGGGCGAGGGAAGAGCAAGAGCAAGAGAAGGTAGACTTGAAGGAGGTGGAGAAACCGATGCCGACGTTGAAGAAACTGGATAAGGTGCGTATTCGGATTTTCGACGATCTTCGTCCGACGAAGAGAAAGAGGAATAATTACGATGAAAGAAAATATTGTAAATAATTGTACGGCATATATTGAAGGGGCTTTGTCTATTTTACATTGGTTACGCATGTCGATTAATTGTAAATCTGTTGCATTTAATTGGTCACGTTCATCGGACAGTTGCGATCGTCGTATAACAGCTCGACAACGCTATGCGCATACGATTATATGTTGCTTGTCGTTTAATTGGAAATTAGTCCAAGCACGAAGTCGGATACGGTAATCGGAAAAAAGTTACGTGCTCGAGTCGAAGAGATCGACGATCGTTTCGGTAAGTACGCACGACAGAGTCGATACGATCGTTCCCGATCGCAACAGAACGATTCGATGTCCCTTCGTATCCGACGGAAGAGCGATTTTAACGGTAGAATCGAATCGATCCAATTGGCGTTACTTCTTTTTTCTTGGCACTTTTCTTCTCTGTACGTTTGTCTTCGTAGTCGCTGCACGACAGCGAGATGCATGGAAGGAGCTGGTATCAAGACGGGGAGGAAATAGTGATCTTAACGGAGGGTGAGGAGGTCCTTCGAATTTCTCTAGACAAGAAGGGTGAAACTAACTGGAGCTGGCTCAAGGTTTTCAGGCATCATCCCCCCGTAGATATCTCCCAATCCGACTCTGACTCTCACCACTCGGACGCACGATGTACCCTCGACTTTCTGCAATTTTCGCGATCGTCGACGATCGTTCGTTCATTTCGCGCGATGGAAAGATACGCATCGATCGGGAAAAAATTGCGGAAAGATGAACACAATCGGTACGGTGGGCCCTCGACTTGCACGATCAATTTTATTACGAGGAAAGAAAAGTTCCAGCGGCGTAACTCGAGGGCTTGTCGTACACAGAAACGTATAATCGACGTATACTGGACCGACCAGTTCCGAAACATTGAAATTCGACGACAAGACCGACCGATTCCTCTCTAATTTACGCAGGCACATGTAAAACACAATTGTCACATGTACACACGTTAGTTTAGAGCTAATGCTGCACTCAAGATCGTATCACGGTTCACTCGTACCGCGTATATTCATGTAATCGTTAATCTTCATTAACCAATTTATTCATTAACCAAAAAATTAACGAATACTCTCATCGATGAACGATCATCGTTAACAAATGCATGGAGATAACGAACCGTATCGAATAGAAATCACTGTTCAAAAATAAGATTTATTAACTGGTGGTATGCATTAGATTCGCTCGGCTATGCGTCAGTAAATTGTGTGTAACCCGCACGGACTGTTGGCAGCAAGCATTATCTCTAAATGTTAAATGTTGTAACACGGATGGCCTCGATACGAATTCAAACGGCGTTCGATTCTAGCACGGGGAACGTATTTTCTATATTTATAGTATAAAGTTTAATTGCTCGACGTGCTAGAAACGGACCGGCAATTTGCTAAGTGGAAGTTACCTTGACCCTCTACAACCTGGATCGCGTTTCACTTCTGAAAACAAAACAATCGGATAAACAGATCGTTCCTTGACCTACCAAGATTCAAATGTATCGATAGGATTGAATTAGGGTCCACACAGGGTTGTAGAGGGTCGAATTGGAAGGTAGCTTGGAGGAAATCGGGGTCATCCAAAATTCGATATCGCTGGTCGTATATAACTGTGGCACTAACGTGGACGTGTGTGTGTGCCGGGCATGCAGGACGTCTTCGACATTCAGCGCAGGCCAAGTTTGCAGGAGCTAATCGCCGACTGGCCGATACTAGCGACGACGGTCAAAGAGAAGGTTCGCGAAATATCTTTAGCAACGTTTTCTTGATTCCACGCGCTAGATTCCACTTTAACCCCTTGGGCGATACGCACTCTGCGATGGACGAACGGCTGAAATTTCGTCCACGTTGCTGTATTTGTTAGTAGAGAAAACCGAAACGAAGATGAACGGGCTCGCCTCTAACAACAGTAGCATTAGAAACACTCATGACACCATGTTGGTACATCCACGCCACTACTTTTATTCACAACGGTTTCCCATACGCAACCAAACGTCCCTGGATTCATTGTACGCGCCTCGAAGATTCGATTTGTCATCGCGTGTCGCGTCCCCAAAGGGTTAAAAGCTTCGAAGGAGAGAATAAAACGCCTACACTTCCGTCCCGCAAGGCTTCAGTAATTACTAGCACATGTTCACAAAAACAGTCTCGCAAAAAGGGAAGTTTCTTTATTTTTTCAATAGAACGATTACATCGATCCGACGAAGGATGTAATCCGATGAAGATACACGTAACTTTGGTTTCCAATTAGTCCTCTGATCGATAGAATGCATACTGTTTGCGTTCAACAGCGCAACGATCGCGAGATTTTCCCGTCGCGTTTGTAGCTTCTTTGCTTCGGGTTGCTGTGCCGACGACGAAATTCTCGCGATCCATTTGATTTCTGAAATACTTGAAACCTGCTTTTGGCCTGCGCTTTGTTTTCTTAGAAGAACTCGGCTTCTCAAATCCTCACCCTCCCCCAACCACCCACCCTCCGCCACCACCCACCGTTGGAAACATTTACATTAATATCCGCGCGGATACCTTTACACGAGCAATCGCTAAACTCCAACGCAACATACATTAAAACAAACATTGTTTCTGTTGAAACGTGAAAGGTATACGTACGTGTGTTTATTGTGCTTAGTTTTGCTTGCGATCGGACACGCATAACGAAGAAACGTAGCCGATAATTTTCGATCAGACCTGTGACCGCAGACGAATTTTGTTGTTTTATAGAGTAGTGGATCTCGTAGACCCTCTCTGGCCGAATTAATTCCCGACTGGCCGACCCTGCACCATTTCACGAAGACGGAGGTTGGATCTCGTATTCCTCGACACCATGCTATATAATCTCACGAATTTTTTTCACTCTGTCACTTTCTCGCTCTCTATCAGTACTATTCAATCTCGATCTGTCGACTAAAATTCTTTCCACGAGAGTATCGAACACTCTCTGCTCTCTCTCTGTGCATCTCCTTCCGGTGGATCTCAACGCGCTATCAATGTAACACCTCCGCTGACCAGTCGACTCGTGAATCTTACGGCCCCCCCCACACACGATCTTTCCATCGACTCGATCATTTTACCAAAGGAGAACTAAAGAAGAGCTCAAGGTTCCCTTTGAAATTTTAATTTTGTCTATTTACTATTTTTTAATCATTACGTTAAGATAAAACGATCGAATCGGTTAAAAAATCGTCGTTTTTTAGCGGGCCGTACCACAGTAACTCTCTCTCTACATCCTACCCTCTGTTTTTTAATTTTTTTCACTCATGCTCTTCGTCTGTTCTGAATTCTTTCCTAAAAGCTGTGCCTACGAACGGTGTCTCTATAAACCAAAGCTTCGAACCTCTGTCGAATCTGTTCTCTCTCGTAATCTTGATCGTGGCGAGTCGCATCCTCCTCGGCGTCTATCGAGATGGAACTATTTTTGTTACCATTGATTTTTTTTCACGCTCCGAGGTTTTTGTTAGATCGTTCGAATCGCAGTCGTCCTCGACGCCATCGAAGCGATTTTTGGTAGCCGTCGGAAAGCTCGTCTCTTCGTCGACCGATTATATTTTTTGTCCGCTTTTTTTTTTACCGACGAATTTTGTTACGAATTTTGTCCCCACGCCTGGGACGAGAAACATTTGTGGCTGATTCTTTTGACCACGATCGCCTTCGATTTTTTCAATATCTTCTAACTCTTCTTCCTTGTATGCCTAGCGACGCTGTCGTTGTTGACAGCATTACTGGATGTAAAACGGTTGAAGCATTCGCGATAGATCCTCGATTAACGGGGCCCGTTTTATTCGCAGAAACCAGAGAGCTTCCTGAAACCGCTGGTGGACCAGTATGCCAAGGAGGGCAAAGACAAAAAGGTCGTCTTCGAGGCGAATTTCACGAAACCGAACTGCAAACCGAAATGGTTCTTCCGAAAAGACGTAAGTGATCAAAATCTCATGCACACTATTCATTATCGATTCTATCACCGCGTTTCTTTCAGGAACTGTTCCCTTCGGCCAAGTACAAATTCAAGAACGAAGAGGATTGCTACCAGCTCATCATTCTGAATCCCAAGGTCGAGGATACCGGCAAATACAGTATCGAAATTTCAGGAATTACGAGCACCGGTTTCCTCAATGTCGAAGGTTGGAGTTCATACTCCACTTTTTTTAATGAATTCTTACATATTTTTGACATCCGTGATGTACCAACAATCCATCTCTCTGTTATCCAGAACCGGATCCAACCTACACGTTCACCAAACCGCTTTCGAAGAAGACGAGCGGTTTCACCAAACACGAAGTACTCATGGAGTGTACTGTCAGCTCCAATTTGGCCCAAGTCTCGTGGTACAAAGGAAAAACGAAGCTCGAAGTAATTATCCTAATCCCACAAATAGTTTAACGTAATGTCAAGTACTGTGACGAACGGTGGATCGTTTCTTCCAGGAGGGCGACATGTACAGCATGTCGAAGGACATGTCTGGCGTTTGCAGACTGACTATAAAGAGTGCCACGCTCGAGGACAGCGGCGAATATATTTGTAAAATTAACAAACAGACCGACAAGACTGAGACGGTCCTCACTGTCGTTGGTACGTTCTCCTAGAAATTTGTGACGCGTGCACTGCGCTTTTTAGGGTCGTAAAATACCTGTTTGCTTTTGCAGAGTATCCTTACAAGTTCGTCAAGGTGCTGAAGCACCAGCAATTGGTAGAAAAGGAGACTCTAACCCTGTCCTGCCAGTTAGATGACGCAGGTGGCGAGGTGAAATGGTTCAAGGGTGACCAAGAGATCGTTCCCGACAAGAGGTAAATTTAGAAAGAGTCTCCTTTAGTTCCCAAGCACTCTGTCTAAAATTTCTCACGTACAATGTGATTATCTCGCAGGGTACAAATCAAGGAAGAAGGCAGGAAGAGGAAGCTCATCATCAAGGATGTGAAAGTCACTGATGCTGGCCTCTACTCCTGCGTGAGCAACGCCGACAAGACCGAGGCAGAAATAATCATAAATTGTGAGTTAACCGGAAGTGATTTCGATCAATTTATCAACCCATCCTTCAACCAATTAATCGGATATTTCAGACGCGAATCGCTTCAACAAGAAGTTGAAGGATACCGTGGCCGTGGAAAGAGAAAAGTTGGTGCTCGACGTGGAACTTCAAGATCAAACTGCTCCAGCCGAGTGGAAGTTCAATGGTGAGCCAATCGTGGCCAACGAGCGAATAGAGATCAAGAATTTGGGCGGTGGAAAACACCAACTGGTCTTCAACAACGTGGAAATGACCGACGATGGTGAGATCACCTGCGAGAGTGGACAGCTATCGAGCAGCTGCAAACTCACCGTCAAGAAGGGCGAGAGTAAACCTATCGTCGAGGTTCCGGACAAGGTCGAAGGTCCTTGCAGCGCACCACTCGTATTCGTTGTTCCCTTCAAGAGTAAGTTTAACATTCTTGTACACTTTGTGAACAAATTTAAACGATGCTTGTCTTTGCTTTTCCAGTCGAGGGCACGAAACAGAGCCAGGTAGAAGCCAAACTGATGAAAGATGGCAAACCGTTGCCGTTGAAGGAAGTCGAGGTGGTCGTAGGCGAGGATAAGATCACTTTCAAGATCAAGAAACCATCTCGCGATCAATCCGGCATGTATCAAGTGAAGATTGGCAACAACCAAGGCGAGGAAGTCAAGGATGTGAACGTCAACATGCAAGGTAATCATTTTCGCGTAATTTCCATGTGAAAAAACACTTTCTTTATAGATCAACGAATGACCAATTTCTCTAACTCTCGATCAGACGTACCGTCACCACCCACGGACGTCGACGTGAACGAGATCTTCCAAAACTCCTGCGTGGTGTCCTTCAAACCTTCCAAGGACGACGGTGGATCACCGATCACCAAGTACGTGATCGAACGTCTCGATCTCAGCTTGAAGTCGCAATGGGACAGCGTTGGCGAAGTGATGCCGGGAGAGAAGTGTGTCTACAAAGTTCAGGATCTGATCGCGAAGAAGGAGTACAAATTCCGTATAAGAGCAGTGAACAAATTAGGTTCCAGCGAGCCGGCCATGTTCGCCAAACCGGTCCTCGCGAAAGATCCATGGGGTACGTAAAACAGACACTCGTGGACTCGAAAATATTAATTCAAGTACGATTAACAACACGATTACTTGTATTCCATTCAACAGACGAGCCAGGTAAGCCCACGAACGTGGACGTCACCGACTGGGACAAAGATCACGCGGACCTGAAGTGGACGAAGCCGGAGAACGATGGCGGAGCACCGATCACGGGCTACATAATCGAATACAAAGAAAAGTTCGGCAAGGAATGGGTGAAGGGCAAAGAGATCGAGGGTGACGTGACCGAGGCGACCATCGATGGTCTCAAGGAGGGCACCCAATACGAATTCAGGATCAGAGCCGTGAACAAAGCCGGTCCTGGCGAACCTTCCGACGCCACGAAACCGATCATAGCCAAGAGCCGATTCGTCAAGCCGTACATCGTTGGCGATGGTCTGACCAATCTCATAGTGAAGAAGAGCCAAGTTATCAAATACGATATTAAGTACGCTGGCGAACCAGAACCGGAAGTGCATTGGTTCCTGGGAGACAAGGAGCTCGTCCAAGACTCCGCTGAAAGGATCACGATCGACAAATACGAGAGGAACACTGTCCTCACGGTGAGGAAGACCACCAGACCGGATTCCGGAAAGTACAAACTGGTTCTATCGAACAGCTCAGGCACCTGTGAGAGCATCGCTGACGTTGTTGTTCTAGGTAAGATCATTTATTTAACAACTTCAATCTTTTGGAAGGAACAAAGCTTGTTGGAAAGTATTGTGACACGTTCGTGGCTGTAAAATTTTATAGACAAACCGGCGAAACCAACCGGACCGCTGAAAGTGGAGGAGGTGCGTTCCGACCATGTGAAAGTAAAATGGCAGAAACCCGCGGACGATGGAGGTACAGAAATTACTGGGTACGTTCTGGAGAAAATGGACATGGACACAGGACGATGGGTTCCCGCTGGAGAGGTTGGACCCAATGAAGACAACTTCACCTTCAGCGGCCTGACTCCCAAGAAGAAGTACAAGTTCAGGGTAAAGGCAGTCAACAAGGAGGGCGAGTCCGAGCCATTAGAGGTGGATGAACCCATCCTTGCCAAGAATCCTTACGGTAATCCTCTTGCACCGATTCATCTTGAATCGAGTTATGACGAGGATTGATAACAATTAACCTGTTCTATTATCAGACGAGCCTGGCAAGCCTAGCAAGCCGGAAATATTTGACTACGACAACGTCAGCGTGTCCCTGAAGTGGGAGAAGCCAGAGACCGACGGTGGAAGACCGATCACTCACTATACCGTCGAGATGAAGGACAAATTTGCGGTGGATTGGGTCGAAGTAACGAAAACTGCCGATGCTAACCCGGAGGCGAAGGTGGAGGGTTTGAAAGAGAAGATGATTTATCAGTTCCGAGTCCGCGCCCACAACAAAGCGGGCCCTGGCCAGCCCAGCGAGCCCACGGACAACCATCTTTGCAAGCACAAGAATCGTAAGTCTATAAATTAGCAGCGCATCGATCTTTAAGACCAATCTTTAAGCCTGGAGTCTATAAACGGTCAATGAAACGATAATTCGTACTATGTTTCAGTGAAACCGAGGATCGACAGGAGCAACTTCAAATCGATAATCATAAAAGCTGGTCGCACGCATAAGTGGTCGGTCGACATCACCGGTGAACCGCCACCAGAAGTCAAATGGATTTGGAGGGACAACATCCCCCTGACCAACACCGAACGGATCAAGATCGAGAACGTCGATTATCACACAGACTTCACGATAGTGAACGCGATGCGCAAGGACACTGGAAAGTACACCCTCATCGCTGAGAACGCCAATGGCAAGGACGAGGAGACTGTGGAACTCACGGTTCTCGGTAATAGATCAAGTTTTTGTACATTACTTTATTTTTATAGATTATTTTAGGGAATATGATCGATTCAGAAATTTGTATGTCGTTGTTCGTTCTCCAGGAAAGCCGGACGCGCCTAAGGGACCGTTGCAAGTGACGGACGTGACCGCCACATCGGCCAAAGTGAAATGGGAGAAACCGGAAGACGATGGCGGTGTACCGATCAAGGAGTACGAAATCGAGAAGCTGGACACGAAGACGGGCAAATGGGTCAGAGTGGGAAAGGTCCCTGGAAACTCGCCGTTGACGGAGTTCGAGGTGACTGGATTGAATCCTGGCAGCGAGTACAAATTCCGCGTCACCGCGGTTAACGACGAGGGCGATTCCGAGCCTCTCGAGAGCGAACGCCCGATCATCGCTAAAAATCCATTTGGTAGGTTGATGGAATCTTCGTTTGTAAGAGCTGCTTATCGAGTAAATCTACTTGTAATTTACAGACGAGCCCCACAAACCTGGAACACCAGAGATCACCGATTACGACAACGAGTCCATAAGCTTGAAGTGGACTCCTCCTGATTTCGATGGCGGAGCGCCGATCGAAAAGTACATAATCGAAAAGAAAGATCGCTATAAGCCGGATTGGGAGAAAGCGATGGAGGTTCCTGGTAACCAGCTCGAAGCTAAAGTGGCCGACTTGAAGGAACGAGGAGAGTATCAGTTCAGAATTATCGCTGTGAACAAAGCTGGACAGTCTCCGCCGTCAGACGCGTCGAGAATGCAGATATGCAAGCACAAAGCTCGTGAGCAATTATTTTCTATGTTTATACGATATCTCAGTGATTTCTCGTTAAAAATTCATGATCGCGTTCGTTTCTTTCAGTGAAACCGAGGATCGATCGTACAAACTTGAAACCCATCACTGTACGGGCTGGCAAGATGATCAAATACGACGTGGATGTGAAGGGTGAACCGCCTCCAGAAATCACATGGTACCACGCCAATATGGCGGTCAAGTCCGGTGAAAATATCGAGATCGTTAACGTCGACTATAACACCAAGATTACTATTAGCGATTGCGTCCGTAAAAACACCGGAGTGTGGAAAATCAAGGCTGTGAATCCTCATGGCGAGGACGAGGCCGAAGTCGAGGTCACGATACTTTGTAAGTTTCCAAGTATTCAGAAATATTTCACTTCGTTCCTGGGTTTTATATCGTTGATGGTTGAAACTATTAATGTTTTCTTTCGTGAACAGCGGCTCCTGGAAAACCAAAGGGTCCTCTGAAGGTATCGGACGTGACGAAGGGCGGCTGCAAGCTCAAATGGGGCAAACCGGAAGACGACGGTGGCAAACCCGTTACCGGCTACCAAGTCGAGAAACTCGACAAGGCCACTGGAAGATGGGTACCGGTTGGACGAACCTCGGACACCGAAATGGACATCAAAGGTCTCCAGGAAGGCCACGAGTACGAATTCAGGGTGAAAGCCATCAACGAAGAGGGTGAATCCGAACCACTGGTCACCGACAGCACGACTCTTGCAAAGAATCCTTATGGTAAGCTATTCCTCGTGTGTTCGACATGTTAAATACAGAAAATGCATCTTGGATGGTATGAAAATTGTAATGGTGAATGATCGCAGACGTAGCCAGTAAGCCTGGTGTACCAGAATTCGAGGATTGGGACGTGGACCGCGTCGATCTGAAGTGGGAACCACCGAAAAACACTGGAGGCGCGGCCATTACGGGTTACATTATCGAAATGAAAGAGAAACCGTCCACACAATGGCAGGAAGCCACGGTGACCGATTCGCCGCAACCGAAAGGTCGGGTTACCGGTCTGAAAAAGGGCTCGGTTTACCAATTCCGTGTTCGCGCTGTTAACAAGGCTGGACCATCGGAGCCTAGCGATTCGACCAAGCCACACGTCGCCAAGGCACGATACTGTAAGTATTTTCAATTAATAATTGCATTTTTTTTAAGACTCCCTTCGTTGAGAATCGATTAAATATCAATGTGTTTGTTCGATTCAGTGAAACCACACATCAACCGCGACAAACTGCAGCCCATAAAGGTGAGAGCAGGTCAATCGGTGCGACTGGAGGTTGACGTCGAAGGTGAACCGCCACCAACCGTCACTTGGAACTTCGCTGGCGCGGTTCTGCAAACCGGAGCGAACGTCAAGATCGACAACGAAGATTATCTGACAAAGATCCACCTGACCGATACCAGTCGCAAGTACAGCGGCAAATACACCATCAAAGCGGTGAACGATTCCGGTCAGGACGAGGCTGACGTCGAGATAACCATCCTCGACAGGCCTGGAAAGCCCGAGGGTCCGCTGGAGGTGACGGACGTCCACAAAGAGGGATGCAAGCTGAAATGGAACAAACCGAAAGACGATGGCGGTTTGCCTCTGTCCAGCTATGTGATCGAGAAGATGGACGCGACCACTGGTCGTTGGGTACCCGCTGGTATCATCGATCCTGAGAAAACGGAGCACACGATCACCGGTTTGGAACCTGGACACAAGTATGAATTCCGTATAAAGGCGGTGAACGAGGAGGGCGAATCGGAACCTCTGCAGACGGACGCTGCTATCGTCGCTAAAAATCCATATGGTGCGTGATTTCAAACATTCTCTGCTTAAAAGAAACAACGATTTTAGAGATTCGAGGCTTTCACGCGTTGATATTTTATTCCAGATGTACCTGCCGCTCCTGGCCTGCCGGAGATCGTCGACTGGTCGGAGAACATGGTCAAACTTAAGTGGGAACCGCCCATAAGAGATGGTGGTGCACCCATCAGCGGATACATTATCGAAATGAAAGATAAACTTGGAACAACTTACGTGAAGGCCGCAGAAGTCGAAGGGCCGAAATGTGTTGGAACTGTAACCAGATTGGTAGAAGGAAATCAGTATCAGTTCAGAGTCAGGGCCGTTAATAAAGCTGGTCCTGGAGAACCTAGCGAGCCTACCAACCCCCACACTGCCAAGGCTCGTTGGTGTGAGTATCAGCTCGATCAGAGTATTTGGCATTGTTACAACCCTATTGTAAACGTGTAATTGGTAATTTTGCAGTGAAACCATTCATCGACCGCACCAATCTGCAACCAATAACGGTGAAAGTTGGCCTGACGATGACCCTAGATGTAAACATCATCGGAGAACCTCCCCCAAGCGTGACCTGGTTCATCCAAGACAAAGAACTCGTGTCCGACGACACGATACGTATCGATAACATCGATTACAATACCAAATTTGTCATGTTGAAAGCCAAACGAGTTCACACCGGAAAGTACACCATCCATGCGAAGAACGAAGTGGGCGAAGACAAGGCTGACGTCGAAATACTGGTCATCGGTAAACCGACCAAGCCTAAGGTATGTCCTCAAAATGTTTCTGTCGTTAGTCCATTTGAACAAAGGGAAATTAGAACAAAATCAAATATAAAATTATCGCGCAGGGTCCTCTGGAAGTGTCCGACGTGAACAAGCACGGTTGCAAACTGAAGTGGGAGAAACCGGACGATGACGGTGGTGTGCCGATCGAATACTACGAAATCGAGAAGTTGGATCCTCTGACTGGACAATGGATACCGTGTGCAAAGTCCGTAGAACCGGAAGTCACGGTGACCGGCCTCCAGGAGGGCAAACCCTACAAGTTCCGTGTGAAGGCGGTGAACAGAGAGGGTGAATCCGACGAACTGGAAACGGAGAAGTCTATCGTAGCCAAGAATCCATTCGGTACTCATCAATTCGTGTATTATATCTTTGTGTTATGGGAACATCGAGCAATGGCTAACGAACGCGATCTTTTCAGACGAACCTGGCAAGCCTGGACGTCCAGAAATTAAGAACTGGGACAAGGACTTTGTCGATCTCGAATGGACGCCACCCAAGGACGACGGCGGTGCGCCCATCGAGAAGTACATTATCCAGATGAGAGACAAGGAAGGAAGGCAGTGGATAGACGTTGCAAAGGTTCTGGGAGATCGCAACGTCGCCAAGGTCACCGATGGTATCGAGGAAGGTCACGAGTACGAGTTCAGAGTGGTCGCGGTGAACAGAGCAGGACCTGGGGAACCTAGCGACACTTCGAAGAGCGTTGTCGCCAAACCACGGTTCTGTAAGTGGAAATATTTTATTTTTTACTACTGGTATCTGGAACACTGTGATCAATGATCTTTGTACGCTCAGTGGCTCCACGCATCGACCGCAAAAATCTACAGAAGAAAGTCATGCGAGTGGGACAGATGCTACGAATGGAGGCGGACGTGCAAGGTGAACCGCCACCAGCCATCACGTGGATGCTCAAAGACACCGTGCTGAAGAGCATGGAACGACTCAAGATCGAGAACGAAGAGTACCACACCACATTCATAATAACCAAATGCCAGAGATCCGATACTGGAACGTACACGGTTATCGCCAAGAACGACAGTGGCACCGACCAAGTGGACGTTGAGATCCAGGTAGGTTTTATTTCTTAATTAAATTAATGTTTATTTTTTAATTTGTCTCAATCTACATCCTCTCGTTGACGACTTCAGGTGTTGAGCAAACCCAGCAAACCGAAAGGTCCGCTCGAAGTGTCGGACGTGACTGCAGAGGGATGCAAATTGAAATGGGACAAACCGGACGACGATGGCGGTGAGCCAATAGATCACTACGTGGTCGAAAGGATGGACGTGGATACAGGAAGGTGGGTGCCCTGTGCCACGAGCAAAACTCCGGAAGCGGACGTTACTGGTCTCAACGAAGGCAAGGACTATCTGTTCCGAGTGAAGGCTGTCAATTCTGAGGGCGAATCCGAGCCCTTGGAAACGGCTATCCCCACCACAGCAAAGAATCCTTACAGTGAGTATAATTAGAAGTCTTCGTACTTGGAAGATAGACAAGTTTCCCCTCAATATTTATCGTGTGTTTAAAATTGCAGCCGAGCCCGACGCGCCCAGCAAGCCAGATCTGAAAGACTGGTCCAAACACCACGTGGACCTGAAATGGAAAGCTCCAAAGAACGACGGTGGAGCACCGATCGAGAAGTACATAATCGAGAAGAAAGATCAATACGGTAAATGGCAGAAGGCGGCTGAAGTTCCTGGAAACAAAACGGAGGGCCGTGTAGAGGATCTGGTGGAAGGACAGAAGTACCAATTCCGCGTGAAGGCGGTGAACAAAGGTGGACAGAGCAAGCCTAGCGAGCCTAGCGACAGCTTGGTCGCCAAGGATCGCTACGCAGCGCCGAAGATCGATCGCACGAACTTGAAGGACATCACGCTCAAAGCCGGAAACCACATCCGTCTGGACGTGAAAGTGTCCGGTGAACCGCCACCGACGAAAACGTGGTACCTCAACAAAGCCAAGCAGGAGTCTGGTGGCGTTCTGACGATCGAGCTGGAAGATTACAGGACGAAATTCATAGTGTCGTCGACCTCCAGAGCTCACTGCGGCACTTTGACCCTGAAAGCAGAGAACAGCTCCGGAAAGGACGAAGCTTCGATCGAAGTTTTGGTGCTGGACAAGCCGGGCAAACCGGAAGGTCCTTTGAAAGTGTCCGACGTGCACAAGGAGGGATGCACCCTGAAATGGAACCCACCGTTGGACGACGGTGGCACGCCATTGGATCACTACGTGGTCGAGAAAATGGACACGGAGACGGGAAGGTGGATACCCGTGGGACGAACGAAGGAACCCAACATGGTCGTGGAGAATCTGGCGCCTGGCCAAGAATACAAATTCCGAGTTTCCGCCGTGAACGCGGAGGGCGAATCGGAACCCTTGGAGACGGATCATGGAATCGTGGCGAAGAATCCATTTGGTTAGCGTCAAGTTCTTTCGCTCGATCGAAGCTTCTGTGTTTCGAACGGTGGATTAATTGTTGTATCTTTTTGTAGACGAACCAGGCCCGCCTGGCCGCCCAGAGGCAACCGATTGGGACAAGGATCATATAGACCTAAGATGGACTCCACCATTGAGCGATGGTGGATCTCCAATCACCGGATACGTGATCGAGAAGCGCGAAAAAGACAGTCCGCGATGGATAAAGGCTCTCGAAACCGGACCTGAGTGCAAGGGACGCGTCGACAATCTCGACGAGGGCGTCGAGTACGAGTTCCGCGTCAAGGCCATCAACGCCGCTGGTCCTGGTGAACCATCGGACACCAGCAAACCCATCACAGCCAAGAGTAGACGACGTAAGGACTATTATTTGAGTATACTTCTCGATAAAGAAGTACTTGATAACTAACAATTTTTGTTCGGTCACAGTTCCACCGAAGATCGACCGAAAGAACTTGCGCGACATTACGGTACGCGAGAACGAAGGATTCCACTTCGACGTTAAGATCATCGGTGAACCGCCACCGGACGTCACCTGGGTGCTCAACAACAAGAGCATTCAGGTGACGACTTTCCGTCGTATTCAGAATGTTCCGTACAACAGCAAGTTCTATAATGACAAACCCGAGCGCAAGGACAGCGGTATATACAAGATCACGGCGGTGAATCAGCACGGTTCTGACACCGCCGAGGTTGAAGTCACCGTTGTCTGTAAGTATTCCCCCGTTTCCTAGCTTCCACGAAGACGTTATTTCATAAGACAGCGGTCCTGGAATCATGAATTGTTTACAGCCAAGCCTGGCAAACCCGAGGGCCCGCTCGAAGTGTCGGACATCCACAAAGAGGGATGCAAACTGAAGTGGAACAAACCGAAAGACGATGGCGGGGAACCTATCGAGGGATACCTCGTGGAGAAGTTCGATCCAGACACTGGCGTCTGGTTACCAGTTGGCAAGACTACAGGGCCGGAGATGAAAGTAGAAGGACTGACACCTGGACACGAGTACAAGTTCAGAGTGAAGGCGCTTAACAAGGAAGGAGAGTCGGAGCCTCTGGAGACTTTCAGCTCGATCGTGGCCAAGGATCCGTTCAGTACGTATTTATAAAGTAGACAAAATGAACGTTTAAATCGTACGAAGGTGTGTGTAACTTTGAAATATTCCTTCAGCCGTCCCAAGCCCTCCGGGAGCACCGGAACCGGTCGATTGGACCGCCAATCAGGTTGAACTGAATTGGAAGGAACCGGTCAGCGACGGAGGATCACCAATTACCGGATACATTGTCGAGAAGAAAGACAAATACAGCACGATGTGGGAGAAAGCTCTGGAAATCGAGACACCATCTACCAGGGCTATCGTCCACGGTCTCATCGAGGGCAATGATTACCTGTTCCGTGTGATTGCTGTGAACAAGGCCGGCCAATCAGAGCCTGGCGACTCCAGCAAGACATTCACGGCTAAACCACGATTTTGTAAGCAGTTTTAAACGTTTAACTGTTTAAATCGAACGGTAGAATCGCATCTCATAACACCAAGTTGCAAAGAACGTAATTTATAACGTCCATGGCGTCGATCCAATTGTTTTTCATTATCATATCGTATCCCTGACACGAAACAAGAGCGTATCCTCGTCGCAAATATATCGCACATACTTTGTACGAATCTGTTCGCAATGGTACTGCACCAAACGCTCTATAAATAGTCCGATTTTGGCACCTATTGATCGTTCGATCACGTATAAATTGTATTGTTTCAGTGGCACCCAAGATCGATCGACGTAATCTGCGGGATGTCACTCTGTCGGCCGGATCGTTGCTGAGATTCGATGCAAACGTGATCGGTGAACCGCCACCACACATCGATTGGCGATACGGCGCGATACCACTGCACTCCGACAGAAAAGTGCAGATCGACAACACGGAGTACAGCACCAAGTTCAGTATTCGTCCAGTGTCTCGCGACGACAGCGGCGATTACACGGTCACTGCCATCAATTCGTCCGGAAGGGATTCGGTGACCGTACAGGTCGTCGTCACGGACAAACCGATGCCACCGGAAGGACCGTTGCAAGTCTCGGACGTTCACAACGAAGGATGCAAACTGAAATGGAAGAGGCCGAAAGACGACGGAGGCACCCCTATCGAATACTATCAGGTGGAAAAGTTGGACCCGGAGACTGGATGTTGGGTCTCGTGTGGCCGATCCACCGAACCTAGTAAGTCCAATCCTTTCTCACAGATAAGATTTAAAGATGCACGTAGTTGATGTTTCGTAACAGATGAGTAAAACTTTTGTGTTTGCGTAGACTTGGAGGTGACTGGACTGACACCGGGCAAGGAATACTTGTTCCGCGTTAGCGCAGTGAACGCAGAGGGAGAGTCGAAGCCCTTGGAGGCGGAGCAAGCTATTCTAGCCAAGAATCCATTCGGTAAGTCGGAAAACTACGGATAACAAGTTCCCCAGTTTGAGTGGTTGGTCAAAACGATCGTTTGAACGTTACAGACGAACCGGGCAAGCCGGGTGATCTCCGAGCCACCGACTGGGACAAGGACCACGTCGACCTGGCTTGGACCCCGCCTACAAACGATGGAGGATCACCGGTTACCAGCTACATAATCGAGAAGAAAGATAAATACGGCGAATGGGAGAAAGCCATCGAAGTACCGGCGGACGAGACATCCGCCACTGTCCCCGACTTAATAGAAGGCCAACCGTACGAATTCCGTGTACGAGCTGTGAACAAAGCTGGCCCCGGCGAGCCATCGGATCCGACGCCAACGATCATTGCCAAGCCGCGAAACCAAGCGCCCAGGATCGACCGTACGAACTTGGTGGAGGTCAGAATCAAGGCTGGTCAGAACTTCAGCTACGACGTGAAGGTTACCGGCGAGCCACCGCCAACCACGAGATGGACTCTGAACAAACGAGAGGTCAGGCCCACGGACCGTATCAAGGTGAAGCACGTGGACTACAATACAACTTTGAGCGTCAGAAATGCCACCAGAGCAGACTCTGGCAAATACGTGCTCACTGCTGAGAACATAAACGGTACCGACGAGGAGATCGTCAAGGTGACCGTCTTGGACAAGCCTAGTCCGCCTCAGGGACCGCTCAGAGCCTCCGACGTGCACGCTGAAGGATGCAAATTGAACTGGAAACCACCGGAAGACGATGGCGGGCAGCCAATCGATAAGTACGTCGTGGAGAAGATGGACGAAATAACCGGACGCTGGGTACCTGCTGGAGAAACCGACGGACCAGCCACGTCTCTCGACGTGGAAGGTCTTACTCCGGGTCACAAGTACAAATTCAGGGTCAGGGCTGTTAACAAGCAAGGCAAATCGGAGCCGCTCGCGGCGATGCAAAGCGTCGAGGCGAAAAATCCATTCGGTGGGTGAAATCTAATTGATGTTCTATTAGCTTGGTAATCTCTAGACTTTGGACTGCATAAAATAAATGATCAATTATTGTTTCCAGACGAACCAGGAAAGCCTGGCACACCAACCGTCAGCGACTACGACACGGACTTCGTCGAGCTCCAATGGGATCGTCCTCACGAGGACGGTGGTTCACCCATTACCGGTTACATAATAGAGAAACGAGACAAATATAGCCCGAGTTGGGAGAAGTGCGCGGAAGTTGAGGGCGACGTGAACCGCGGAAGGGTCAACGACCTCGTCGAAGGCACCCACTACGAATTCCGCGTCAGGGCAGTCAACAAAGCTGGTCCCGGCGAACCCTCGGACGCTTCCAAGTCGCACTTGGCGCGACCCAAGAACCGTAAGTTCTTACATGGTAAAACTTTATATGAAGCTAGATCGTTGTAAACTATCGAAAACTCCATTTTCAGTTCCACCAAAGATCGACAGGAAGTACATGCTGGACGTGAAAGTGAAGGCGGGTGGTTTCTACGACTTCGACGTTCCAGTGATCGGCGAGCCGCCTCCGAGCAAAACGTGGACGTTGAAGGGCTCGGTGGTGATGGCGAACGAGCGTATTAAGATCACGAACGAGGACTATAACACGAAGGTCCGCGTGATGGAAGCCAGACGTTCGGATTCCGGCGTCTACACGCTAGAAGCGAAGAACATCAACGGTAGGGACGTCGCCACTCTGAACGTGAACGTCCTGGACGTACCATCGCCGCCGGAAGGACCGTTAAAGATCGATGGCATAACGAAGAACGGCTGCAACCTGAAATGGCGACCACCGAAAGACGACGGTGGTTCAGAGATCCAGTATTACCAAGTGGAGAAGATGGACACGGAGAACATGCGCTGGGTACCGGTGGCGGAGGCCACGTCGACTTCCGCTCACGTGGATCACCTGATCGAGGGACACGATTACCAGTTCCGCGTGCGTGCCGTGAACAAGCAAGGAGAGTCTATGCCACTCACTGGCATGGACACCATCACCGCCAAGGATCCTTACGACAAACCGGACAAACCTGGAGCACCGGTCGCCACCGACTGGGACAAGGATCACATCGACTTGGAATGGGCACCGCCCAAGAAAGACGGTGGATCGCCAATCACCGGATACATCATCGAGAAGAAACCGCGATTCGGAAGTTGGGAGAAGGCCGTAGAAGTGGAGGGCAACAAACCGAGCGTCAGGGTCCCCGACCTAGTCGAGGGACAGGAATACGAGTTTAGGGTAATCGCCGTCAACAAGGCTGGCCCTAGCGAACCTTCCGAAGCTTCCCTGCCTATAGTCGCGAAACCACGATTCCGTAAGTGCATTTTCAATCGATTAAAATATACTTATCCAGAACCGTATCCTCCATAATACTACTGTAATGTTCTTTGCACAGTTGCTCCATCATTCGACCCTCACGCATTGAGCGACTTGGTCGTAAAAGCTGGACAGAAGATCAGCTACATCATTCCAATCCAGGCATCGCCCAAACCTACAGCCACGTGGACCTTGGACGGAGCGATAATCATGGCCGATTCTCGCCACGAAATGTACACTACCAATACAGAGACCACCTTCGAGATCCAGTTCTCCGTTCGCTCAGATACTGGTCGATACGCTTTGACTTTGGAGAACGAACACGGAAAGTTCAGGTAACTTTCGTTCGATATTGCGATTGGTTGCTTCGATGGAAGGCGATTATCGAATGGAAACTACTTGTTTCAGCGCGAACGCGAGAGTTACGGTCCTGGACAGGCCCTCGCCGCCCCAGAAGCCGCTCGAGATCACCAACATCACCAAGGAGGGTTGCCACTTGGCCTGGAGACATCCTCTGGACGACGGAGGCAGTCCCATCTTGCACTACGTCATCGAGAAGATGGACTTGTCTCGAGGCACCTGGTCCGACGCTGGCATGAGCATGGTGTTGAGCCACGAAGTTGCTAGGCTGACGCATCGCAAGGAATATTTGTTCCGCGTGAAAGCCGTCAACACTATTGGAGAATCTGATCCGCTCGAGGCATCCAAGAGCATCGTAGCTAAGAACGAATTCGGTCAGTATGCGAGATAGGACAACAAGGGTTGAAGGGTTCATAGGTTTATTACGAATTTAATTAAATTTTAGACGAGCCTGATGCTCCTGGAAGACCACAGATAACAGATTGGGACAGAGACCACGTCGATCTGCAATGGCCAGCACCTACCAGCGACGGTGGTTCCCCGATCACCGAGTACATCGTCCAGAAGAAAGAAAAGGGTAGCCCTTACTGGGTGAACGCGGTCCACGTTCCTGCGAAACAGACGAACGCCACCGTCCCCGATCTGACGGAAGGACAGGAATACGAGTTCCGTGTGATCGCTGTGAACGCTGCTGGACAATCAGAACCATCTGAACCTAGCGATCTCGTCACCGCCAAGCCTCGTTACCGTGAGTTTCGTATATCTGTAATTAATTCTAGACCAAAGCTTGAAAGATAGATCGTAAAGTTACGTGAAAAATGGCTGGACATTTCAGTGGCACCGAAGATCAAGACGCCGTTGCAAGACATTCGAATCAAGGCAGGACTCATCTTCCACGTCGACATCGATTTCGTCGGCGAACCCACGCCGGAAGTTACTTGGACCGTTGGAAGCAAGGAGGTGCAGACCACCGACAGGACAACCGTTACATCGATCGGTTACCACACCATCGTCCACACGGTGAACGCCCAGAGGTCCGATTCCGGACTGTATCACTTGTTGCTGAAGAACAGCAGCGGCATAGACGAGGGTAGCTTCCAGGTGATCGTTCTCGACAGGCCAGGACCGCCAGAGGCTCCTCTGGAGTACGAGGAGATCACCAGCCAATCGGTCACGTTGTCTTGGAAGCCGCCCAAGGACAATGGCGGTAGCGAGATCACGTAAGATCATCCGAAATATACAGAACAATTTTAGCAACTGGCCCAGACTAATTTTATTATGTCTTCCAGTGGATACGTGATCGAAAAACGCGATCTGACCCACGGTGGTGGCTGGGTTCCAGCTGTAACTCACGTCAATCCGAAATACAATCACGCCACGGTTCCAAGGTTGCTCGAAGGTACCACCTACGAGTTCAGAGTATCCGCTGAGAACCTTCAGGGACGTTCCGAACCATTGACCACCGACCGGTCGATCGTCGCCAAGAACCAATTCGGTAACTTGTCTATTTTAACCCCTTGCATTCCAGGGATTGTTTTCAATACGAACGACCAGCAGCTTCAAGGTTCGTTTGCTTTGTTTATTCAGTCGCTCCCGGTCAGCCTGGCAAACCGGAATGCGTCGACGCGGACAAAGATCACATCAAGATCAGGTGGGCGGCACCGATCAGCAACGGTGGATCGAAGATCATCGGTTACGACGTGGAGCGTCGCGATCGGGCAACCGGTCGCTGGCTCAAAATAAACAAAGAGCCTGTCAGGTACGCAGAGTACTACGACGACCACGTAACCGAGGGCCATCAGTACGAGTACCGTGTCACGGCCATAAACGCCGCTGGGTCCGGAAAGCCCAGCGACACTTCCGCGGTCTTCATCGCGAAACCGATGAAGGAGAAGCCCAAGTTGAATCTCGACGCGCTTATCGGACGCAAGATCAAAGTCCGTGCCGGAGAACCGATTAATGTTAACATTCCACTGACCGGTGCGCCGACTCCAACCATCGAATGGACCAAGGACTCTAGGCCTCTCTTGGAGACTCTTCGAATAACGGTAAGGAAGGAACATAATCACACGGTTTGAACAAGGATTTACGAACCAATATTTTCTACAATAATTTCTATTATTTTTAAGACCGAAACGAAGAGCGACCGTACGAACTTGTCCATCGAGAAATCGGTCCGCGAAGATGGCGGACTGTACGTGATCACAGCATCGAACGAGCACGGAAGAGACTCGGCGGATATCGAGGTGATCGTCGTCGACAGGCCTGGACCTCCTCAGGGTCCGCTCCAATACACCGGCACGACTCAAGATACCGTGTCTCTGTCTTGGAACAAACCTCTGGACGACGGTGGATCCGACATCACCAACTACATCGTCGAAGTGTCGGACTACGGAGCCGATAATTGGCGACAGACGCCTGGATACTGTCCGCGAACCAGCTACACTGCCAAAGGACTCACCGAGGGCAAGAAATACGTGTTCAGGGTGCGAGCAGAGAATATGTATGGAGTATCTGAACCCTTGGAAGGGAAACCAGTCATCGCCAAGAGCCCGTACGATCCTCCAGACGCGCCCAGCCAACCCGAAATCCTTGGATACACCCCCAACAGTTGCAGTCTCTTCTGGAACCCGCCCCTCAATACCGGTGGCAAGCCTATCACTGGTGAGAATTTTTATTCTCTTTCTTTGACCAACTGCTTTGCCGGTTATTGCTAATTGTTTATTATTTTGACTATTGTCAGGATATTACGTGGAACGTCGCGAACGTGGTGGCGAATGGCTTAAGGTCAACAACTATCCAACCCCGAACACAACGTTCACGGTGCAGGACTTGCACGAGGGTTCCAAATACGAGTTCAGAGTCATCGCTGTCAACGAAGCCGGACCTGGCAAGCCCAGCAAGCCTACCGAACCGATTACTGCTGGACACCAACGTTGTAAGCACCCGGAACAGAAAATATCTGTCTCGATTTTGATATTAAAATGTTTCTGTTTCGGTCTATTAAACATTGCGTTTCCACAGTGCGTCCTGATGCTCCCGAACCACCCAAGCCCGACAGAATCACCAAGGATTCCGTAACTCTGAGCTGGCGTCCTCCGCGCAGCGACGGCGGTGCCAAGATAAGAGGATACATTATCCAAATGAAGACCAGACACCAAGACGCGTGGGACGACGTGAATGGTGCACTGATACCCACGAACGTTTACACGGTACCGAAGCTCACGGAGGGCGAGGAATACCTCTTCAGGGTGATCGCCGTGAACGACGTAGGCAACAGCGACCCGAGCAGACAGAGCAATCCGATCGTCATCGAGGAACAGCCCAACAAACCCGTCATGGACCTCGGCGGAGTTCGCGACATCACCGTTCGCGCTGGAGAAGACTTCTCCATTCATGTGCCCTACATCGGCTTCCCCAAACCCACCGCCACCTGGTTCGCCAACGACGTCATCAAGGACGAAACGGACTCGCGCGTGCACCAACAGCTGGCTGACGACTTTGCTAGGTACGCTAAACCTTGAAAGTGATCTCAAGTTGGAATTGTAAAAGGTGTCTAAATAATGTTTTGCCTTTTGTAGTCTCGTGGTGAAGAATTCAAAACGTTCGGACGGTGGACAGTACCGTCTGCAATTGCGTAATTCTTCCGGCTTTGACACGGCCACGGTGAACGTTAAAGTTCTCGACAGACCTAATCCACCGGTGAACCTTCACGCCGACGAATTCGGCGGAGATGCGCTCACGCTGTTCTGGAACCCGCCGAAAGACAATGGCGGTGCAGACATCACCAACTACGTCGTCGAGAAGAGAGAACCTAAGGGAACTTGGTCCAAGGTCTGGTCAGAGGATTAGAAATTATCCTTTCTTGCGTTTCCAAAGATTATAGTAATACAAATGTAATATTTTTGCTGATACGACAAACAGGTGAGCAGCTACGTCACAACACCATTCGTTCGAGTGAGGAACCTGACTGTTGGAAGCGTCTACGAGTTCCGAGTGATGGCTGAGAACCAGTATGGCACCTCCGATCCGGTCACAACGATGGATCCGATCAAGGCCAGACATCCGTTCGATCCACCAGGTGCGCCTGGAACACCAAGAGGCGTCGAGACGACGGAAGACAGCATCACGATTACTTGGACGAAGCCTCGTCACGATGGAGGATCACATATTCTTGGATACGTAATCGAGAAACGTCTATTGAGCGAAGATAAGTGGACGAAAGCCACCCCGTCTCTCGTTCACGAGACTACTTACAGGTACTGCTCTCGATCATGTTCCCAAGTTGCGAATGGTACGAATTTTCTATATTCTTCCAGAGTGACTGGGCTCATCGAAAACCACGATTACGAGTTCCGTGTTGCGGCCGAAAATGCTGCCGGCCGTGGACCGTGGAGTTCCAATTCTGACGTGATCAGGGCCAGTGCACAACCTTGTTAGTATCCCCGAGAATTCTAATTATGTAATTATCACCATAGAAGGTTCGTAATAATTAATGGAATCGCTTCCAGTCCCACCGAGGATCACGTCCGACCTCAGCATCCGCGACATGACCGTGATCGCCGGAGAACCGTTCACGATAACAGTTCCGTTCAATGCGAACCCAAGGCCAAGGCCAAGCTGGTCCATCAACGGCGAAGAGGTTCTCACTGGAGACAGGATCAAGTTCGACACCACGGACGTTGCTTCGCAATTCATCAACAAGAAGGCTAAGAGATCCGATACGGGAACTTACACGATCTATCTCACGAACACTGTCGGCACAGACTCTGCTTCGTGCAAGGTTCTCGTTGTCGGTAGGCATTTGCTCCCCACGAATCGCGAGAATCGATAAAAAAAAGATTCCAAATGATTTAATAAAAAAATTCTGTTCTCCAGATAAACCATCCCCGCCGCAAGGTCCTCTGGACATTTCCGATATCACCCCGGAGACTTGTTCACTGTCCTGGAAACCACCCCTCGACGATGGTGGTTCACCTATCACGAACTACATCGTCGAGAAGTTCGACCCGGCTGGCGTGAGTCTCCATTTTATTTGTAATTTGTATCAACGATAATCGGAGGGTACGTAAACGATGCGAATTAATTCTAGTACTGGGCGAAGCTGAGCAGTTTCGTAAGGAACACCCATTACGACGTGTTCGGCCTGGAACCAAATCGCAAGTACAACTTCCGTGTCCGCGCGGAGAACCAATACGGAATATCGGAGCCGCTGCAGGCTGACGAACCGATCACCGCCAAATTCCCATTCACGGTGCCAGACTCACCTGGACAGCCACGCGTCATCGACTGGGACACCTCGAACGCCACTGTGGTGTGGACCAGGCCAATATCCGACGGTGGTTCGCGCATTCAGGTAACCATATCCCCTTCTTATCAAAAAACAACCGAGTAAGCATGATCGATAATCCTATTGTCCTCCTTCAGGGTTACAAGATCGAATTCCGCGACCCCGCGGATGACGCCCAATGGCGAGTGGCGAACGACTACCTGGTCAAGGACACCACTTACATTTGCTATAATCTTATGAGCGGACACGAGTACGAGTTCAGGATAAGGGCGAAGAACGCGGCTGGTTTCAGCAAACCCAGCCCACCCTCGGCGCCGTTCAAGCTGAAGAGCAAGTTCAACGTGCCCTCGCCACCTGGCACGCCTCAGGTGGTCAAGGTCGGCAAGAACTACGTTGACCTGAAATGGGAAGCACCGGTTTCCGACGGCGGTAGCCGTATCACCGGTTACGTGATCGAGAAACGAGAAGTCGGAAGCGCCTTATGGGCCAAATGCAACGAGTACAACGTCACCGACACGGAGTACACCGTTATGCACCTGATCGAGCGCGGTGACTACGAATTCCGAATATTCGCGGTGAACGCCGCTGGAAGGTCGGAACCGAGCTCGTGCACCACTCCCGTCAAGGTCTGCGAGGTCGTGGGTGGCGAGAAACCAGAGTTCGTCAGGACTCTGCCTGTCAGCCAGATCATGCCCCTTGGCAAGACTCTTGTGTTCGAGTGCGAAGCCACTGGAAATCCTCTGCCGACAGCCAGGTGGCTGAGAAACGGCAGGGAGATCACCATTGGTGGTCGTTTCCGCGCAGAGGCGTTCGACGGAATTTACAGGCTCGTCATATCCGAAGTTATGGCTGCCGACGATGGCGATTACAGCTGCCAGGTCTCGAATCCGCTCGGCACAGCCACGACCACGTCCAGATTGAAGATCGGTTCGCCGCCTCGTATCGAACGCATGCCAGACGATCTGTACCTGGCCGAGGGCGACAACACGAAGATCAAGATCTACTACAGCGGCGACCAGCCCATGGAAATCCTCCTGAAGAAGGACGGTCACAAGATCGACGAGACGCCGCACATCAAGTACACGGTGTTCGACGAGTACCTCATCATCTTCATCAAGGACATTCAGAAGGACGACGCTGGTACATACAATCTCTCGATCTCGAACGACAGCGGCAGCGTGAGCGGTTCGTTCAACGTGTACATCACCGGGTTACCCGGACCACCCACTGGACCCCTGGACGTCACGGACATCGACAAGCACACTTGCACCCTGTCGTGGCATCCTCCGAAGGTCGACGGTGGTCTCCGTGTCACACACTACGTGGTCGAGCGTCGCGACGTGAGCCACACTCACTGGATTACCATCTCGTCCTTCTGCAAGGACACCTCGTTCATGGTGCAAGGGCTGACCGAGGGACAGGAGTATCTGTTCCGTGTGATGGCCGTGAACGACAACGGAATGGGACCGCCGCTGGAGGGAACGAACCCCATCAAGGCGAAGGCACCGTTCGATCCTCCTGGTCCACCGGGAACGCCCAAGGTCACCGAGGTGGGAGGCGACTTCGTGAACCTCTCTTGGGAGAGACCCGAGTCGGACGGTGGCTCCAGGATCCAAGGCTACTGGATCGACAAGCGCGAGGTCGGCAGTCAGACATGGCAGCGCGTGAACGTCGCCATTTGCCTCCCAACGCAGATCAACATCTCCAACCTGATCGAGGGCAGGCAATACGAGTTCCGCGTGTTCGCACAGAACATTGCCGGCGTAGGACCCGAGTCCAAGGCCTCCACGTCGGTGAAGATCACGGATCCACAGGCGGCCAAGCCTCCGGAGGTGATTCAACCCCTGCACAAGGTCAACTGCGTGCAGAACCACAACGCAACGTTCACGTGCAAGATCATCGGCACCCCGAAACCGACCATCACGTGGTTCAAGGGCGCTCGAGAGATCGTCAGCGGATCCAGGTACAACATCTACTCGGAGGGCGACGTGCACAACCTGATAATCCACGACGTGTTCGGCGAGGACGCGGACGAGTACTTCTGTCGGGCGGTGAACAAGTGCGGAGTCAAGTCGACCAAGGGCGAGCTCCTGATCAAGACGCCGCCGAAGCTGAACGTACCCCCAAGGTTCAGAGACACCGCCTTCTTCGACAAGGGCGTGAACGTGGTCATCAAGATCCCGTTCACCGGCTACCCGAAGCCCAAGATCACCTGGGTGAGGGAGGGCGAGACCATCGAGTCCGGCGGACACTACACCGTCGAGGTGAAGGAAAGACACGCCGTGTTGACGATCATAGACGGAACTCGAATCGACTCCGGACCGTACCGCATCACCGCGGAGAACGACCTCGGCCAGGACACCGCGATCATCAAGATCCAGATCAGCGATCGTCCGGACCCGCCCAGGTTCCCTCAGATCGACAACGTGGGCCACGATTCTCTCGCGCTCAGCTGGAAGCCGCCACTTTGGGACGGCGGAAGCAACATCACCAACTACTTCGTCGAGAAGAGGGAACACCCGATGACCAGCTGGATCAGGGTTGGAAACACCAGGTTCTGCTCGATGGCGGTCACCGGACTCAGCCCTGGCCACCAGTACGACTTCAGGATCTGCGCGGAGAACATTTACGGAAGATCCGATCCCAGCGAGGTGACGCCGCTGATCACGACCAAGGGCACCGTCAAGAGGGAGTTCAAGCAGAAGGAGTACAAGGTGGACGAGACCGGGAAGAAGATTCGCGGCAGGAGCGACGAGAAGCCGCGCGATTACGACCAGTTCGTGTTCGATATCTACAGCAAATACGTGCCGCAGCCGGTTGAGATCAAACACTTCTCCGTCTACGACCGATACGACATCCTCGAGGAGATCGGAACCGGTGCGTTCGGCGTGGTACATCGGTGCCGCGAACGCGCCACCGGCAACATCTTCGCGGCCAAGTTTATTCCGGTGTCGCACGCGATGGAGAAGGAACTGATCAGGAAAGAGATCGACATAATGAATCAGTTGCACCATCCGAAACTGATCAACCTCCACGACGCGTTCGAGGACGACGACGAGATGGTCCTGATATTCGAGTTGTGAGTACCTCAGCCGACGGTCGGCGATCGCGTCCGTTGAGAAGTTCTAGCTTCGTTCGTAATCTCGACCTTTTGTTTGTTCAGCTTGTCCGGCGGCGAGCTCTTCGAAAGAATCACGGCGGAGGGTTACACGATGTCCGAGGCCGAGGTGATCAACTACATGAGACAGATATGCGAGGCCGTGAAGCACATGCACGAGAAGAACATCATACACTTGGGTAAACGATCTCTACTTGCGTTAGCTTTATGCACAAACAAGCATAGTCGACGAAGGTGTTGAATCATCCTTGCGTTTTCAGACATCAAGCCCGAGAACATCATGTGCCAGACGCGCAACAGCACCAACGTGAAGCTGATCGACTTCGGTTTAGCCACGAAACTCGATCCCAACGAGGTGGTGAAGATCAGCACCGGAACCGCGGAATTCGCAGCCCCGGAAATCGTCGAACGCGAGCCAGTCGGTTTCTACACGGACATGTGGGCCTGTGGTGTCTTAGCCTATGTTCTGTAAGCAAAACGTTCGCTTTGTTGGAAACGATTTTTAAAATGCACACATATCCGAGTAACATAATTTTATGGTAGATTGAGCGGTCTGTCGCCGTTCGCCGGAGACAACGACATCGAAACTCTGAAGAACGTCAAGGCCTGCGACTGGGACTTCGACGAAGAAGCATTCCGCGACGTTTCCGAGGAGGGCAAGGACTTCATTAGGCGATTGCTCGTCAAGAACAAAGAGTAAATCTAGATATAAACGAAGCAAGTAACTTTCTCGAGGATATAGATATTGCATCGCGTCCTGTTGCTTTTCAGGAAACGTATGACTGCTCACGAGTGTCTGGTGCACGCATGGTTGACCGGAGATCACAGCGACCGAACTAAAGCGATCTCGAGCAGCAGGTACCTCCGCTTCAGGGATAGGCTAAGGGCCAAATACGAGGACTGGGACAAATACGTTCTTCCGATCGGTCGACTAGCCGAGTACTCCTCGCTCAGGAAGCTGCTGATCGACAAATACAAGATTTACGATTCCTGCTTCGGTGAGGAACGATGCACGAACTGCTCGTTTATACTTTTTAGACCGTTCGATCTAAATTCATTCGATGGATTGCAGATCGACGACAAGCGGCGCCGAGGTTCGTCATCAAACCAACGAGCGCATTCGCGTACGAGGGCCAGAGCGTCAAGTTCACTTGTCGCGTGATCGCCACGGCTGACCCGACCCTCACGTGGTTCCACAACAACCAGGAACTCCGACAGTCTGTCAAATTCATGAAACGGTACCACGGAGACGACTACACCTTCATCATCAACAGAGTCAAGCTGGAGGACAGAGGAGAGTATGTCATCAGGGCAGAGAATCATTACGGTTACAGGGAGGAGGTCGTTTTCCTCAACGTGCAACGTACGTCTCGCACACTCCACTTTTACGATATCGTTTGAGGCTTTGCGTGACTCTCAAGGGCCTCGAACGTTATCAACTATCATGAAGCCAAGCTGCAAACGTCTCGACTGTCTTCTAACGATCCTCGTTTTGGACTTGCAGCGCTACCAATTGAGATTCCGAAGTACAGACCGGAACTGCATCCAGTGCGAAGAAGAGAGCCACTCGGTTACAACGTCTGGTTGGAGACGATCGAATCGGCGCCAAGCTTCACCTTCCTGCTCCGACCTCGCGTCATCCAGGTCAGGCAAACATGCAAGCTCCTCTGCTGTCTGGCTGGCAATCCACCACCCACGGTTAAATGGTACAAGGACAAAGACGAGCTCTCCAAGCATCATTACGCGATGACGCACTCGGACGGCGTCGTGACGATGGAGATAATCGACTGCAAGCCAGAGGACAGTGGCAAATACCGTTGCGTGACCACCAACAAACATGGAAAAGACGAGACCACATGCGTCGTTATCGTTGAAGGTATAGTACAACGGTTGGGACATCGTAAGAAGTAACGAATTTTAAGGAAAAGCTTAGAGAACAAGCGAACGACACACTGTGGCGTAGAACGTATGTATTTTTTTAACGTTTACGATGGACTCATGGTATATTTATTTGTAGGCACTGGAGAAACCGAGGAGCAAGTTAAATTAGCACACGACCTCCTACATTCCGGAGGTAGAATCACGTAACGAGTGAAGCCCTGTCCTGTTTGCGATCCTTTTTAATGCACTGTTGCGGAAGCGAGTACCCTTTTGTTCGCCTGCCTTCCACGTTGCGATATCCATTAAACGTTTCAAGGAATCACAATCCGACGCCCTTTACTCGCGCATTTAGGGTAAACGTACCAGTAATCGACGCGTTAAGGAAACTGTAAGACTATATCGCGCTAAAAAAACTATCAAATTTGCAAGAAATCATTCACCGTGGATGTTTTAAGAATTTTTGAACCCATGTTTAGCTAGATGCTCGATGTATAAAATTGTGAAAATTATTGGAAAACTTGGACGAACTTGGTCTATCGTTTCTGGATACTCTGGCCAAGTTTTACCTAAGATTTTTCGTTTTTTAAACACGGATATATTGTAAATGAAGAAAATGATAGTACAGTAGCCCTTCCCTTCAAGACTAAATTTTTTCCTCCCCCGCCCCACAAAACGCTAAGTTATCCCGCCTACATTTTTTTTTGACGCAAGAGCTTGAAAACTGCTTTTATTCCCTAATAAAACTTAACATATTTATATTTTTTAATAATTAAAAATAAAACAAGGACTTTGAAAACATAAAGAGTATGACTTCAGAGTCGCAAGGGGTTATAGAGGGTTGTACGTAAAATGTGCATGTCGCTATCTGGATAAACCAATATGGCCGACCTACTTCTTCGTTGGGATAGAGTTCCATTTTTCGTTTCATGGATTCACACGATATTTAAGCGAATTTCTAGCAAAATAAATACCGACTGTTCGATGGTTGATGTTTTTGAACCGATGAAACTAGTCCTGGAGCATGCTACTCGATCAAAAGTCCTAGAAGATCCGATTATTAATACGTTTACCCTATCCGACTTGCCCCCGTAGACTAACTTTTGTTTTGCTCCATCGTTTGACAATAACTTCCATCCAGATTATGTCGAGTAGTTGCTTTGTTGGTTTGCACCAACGTTCCCCATTTTATCGGTAATAATTAACGAAAAAATTGGGAATATAGTGGTGTGTTTTCGACCTCGAAAAAAGAGAAAAATCGCCGCCTATGTTTGACGAACGAAACAACGTCTTTCGTAGATCGAAGATTTATCGAGATGCCGCTGAAACCGGCTCCACCGCCGATCATAACCGTTCACAAAGCCGGTGGATACAGCGGGTATAGTTCCACCACCACGCAGGGTCACACGAGCAGTTCATCGTCCAATTACAGTAGTTCCACCAACAAGCAAAATTCCACGACTTCCTCCTCCTACAAAGTAAGGATTTAAAAAGAACAAACGTATTTTATCGGGTCGAAGACACTCGATGCATCGGATACTTTTATTTTAGGCCACAGACTCCAGTACGGACAAACGAAGCGTCAAGAAATACGGCCTTGACGCCACCGGAAGCCCATCTCGTTCCAGAAGTACCACTAAAGAATTAGCTTGTAAGTAAAATAATCTTCATTGAACGATCCGTACGATCGAAGAAGATAAGTACGATGAGAATTGATCCCGTAGATCCTCCAGACGATTCGATGAGAGCGCCACAGTTCACGAAAAAGCTGAGCGATCTTACCATCAACGACGGAGAACAGTTAGAACTTAGCGCGATGGTCGACGGCGATCCGGAGCCGCAGGTCACCTGGTCCAAGAACGGCAAGGTAAATTAAAGGAATTTCGTCCAACCTTTGCTGGACGAACCATTCTTCAGGCGCCATTTTAAAATAAAGTATAGGGTCCTTAATGTTGCATTGAAATTGTCCTGTAGACGTTGAGCTCGTCGGGTATCATGAGCCTGAAATACAAAGCGGGAGTCGCGACTCTTGTTATCAACGAAGTGTTCCCCGAAGACGAGGGCGACTACACTTGTCAAGCGAGCAACAGCATCGGTACCGTAACTACCTCTTGCAAGCTGACGGTAAAACGTAAGCAAACAACATTTAAACCACTGTCAAAAATGGTCGAGTAAAGATATTATTTCCTACTATAAAAGAATGGAAATATCTTTTAGCGAGCGCGAACGCATCCGCGAAGAAGAAGACCGACGACAAACCTCCGAAGATCGTGGACCACCTGACGAGCATGTTCGTAAAAGACGGAGAGGCGGTAACGCTGAGCTGTCGAATAATCGGCGCCCAGAAGTTCGACGTGGTCTGGCTTCACAATAATAAGGAGATCAAACCAAGCAAGGACTTCCAGTACAGTAACGAAGCGAATATCTATAAATTGAACATCGCCGAGATCTTCCCCGAGGATTCCGGCACTTACACCTGCGAAGCGTTCAACGACGCAGGGGAGAGCTTCTCGTCGTGCACATTAAACGTACTTGGTACGTACACATACATGGTTCTCGCTGGAAATGATCAAAATTCATATATTACGCTCGTTAATCGCTATTGTTATGCTCGCAGTTCCAAACGAGGAACCGAAGAGCCCAGTCTTCACGACATTCCCGCAATCTGCAACGGTAGGCGAAGGCGAATCGGTTACGTTCACATGCAAGACTGAAACCGCGCCTTTGAAAGGTAAGGAAATGTTCAGCTATGCGTTGCAGGTGACCGACTAACATTATTTTACTCCTGATGTACAGTGACGTGGTTGAAAGACGGAAAAGCGATCCCGGAGACTAGCAGCAGGTACCTCTTCAGTTCAGACGGTGACAAATCGTTCGAGTTGCGTATAAAATCGTGCACGGCCAGCGACGTCGGCCAGTATGTTGCTCGTGCGATCGGCAAAAAGGGCGAGACGAACGCCGCATTCGCCCTAAATGTTACCAGCGAACAGTGAAATCGTTGATTTCGATTACGTAAAAAATCACAATACGACAAGGTTTGGGTGAGATCCATCTATTTTTTACCGTCTTATATTATCCAGTAGCTATGTCGGGATTCGTAAATCTGTTGATTTTTACGTTCTTCTAACCCGTCTCTTTTCAGCTTCTACGATGTTATCGGGAGAACGATGATTAGAAATGAAAAAAAAAAAAAAAAAAGAAATGGTAAAGAACAGAGAAAAAAATATTAAAACGGACTGTAAAAATTTGTGACTCGCGAGCGATCGCGACGAATGGGTGGTTGTTATAAGGTTCGTGTATAAAAGAGAAATTGAAAAACGATTGTATTCGCACTACTCTATATGTAAATTATCATGGAACGCTGTATTTTCTTTTTGTGTGCTTATCATATCGCAAGAAACACGTGTCGTTGTATGGTGAACGAAGAATCTAAGGCGTCGAACAATACACGGATAGCACGCGCGATCTATACGCTAATACGAGCTTTGCTGTATACACGAATTACCATATTTTAAGTAAACAATGATGCATAACGGCGGTATAGAATTGAAACGATAAATCATTACGGTTTGTTCCGGCAGGATAACCAGCATCCTCGAATATATTACATCTTTTTAACATCTTGTCTTGCCGGGACGACTGTACGAAAATAATTAATACTGTCGAAATGTACGTCCTTATTCCATGTAATCGTACGCACTGTCGTGTTATACTTGTTTGAAGACTGCTTCCGTTACAAAATTTACGATAAATAAAATATGATTCAAATATAATAGTTCGGGTATTTATCTTCCTCGCTATTGTTTGCACCGCAACGTTTGAAGATAGAGATAAGTAAAGAAATCAAATAAAAATGACACTTGACTCTGTAAAAAAAAACTTTGCTTTATATATAAGTATGAAAGAGAAATATTAAATTACATAATATTGTACAAGGTGTCAGGATCCATGATATTAAAGCATCCCGACTTCGGAATAGAGAAATTTCGTAAATCTCTTCTCGTCTCGGAATTCAGATATACAAACTGATATTTATCATCGCCTCCATCGTTTAATAACATTATGCCGATATCGCTTACATCCGCGTACCTTAATTGATACAAATCATCTTCGTGAACGGTAGACTTCGAACGACTTAATGCTAGTAGAGCAAATGTATTATGCTCTGCATACTGTTTTAAATATTTTTCTTTCTTGCAATCCGTCGACATTGTAAATTTTACAATGTCGATTCTCGACAGAACCGGTTCACCCAAACGAAGAGCTAGTGGAAACATGAAATATTATTAAAGAAACACGTGACAATCGTATGCACTCTTGTCTCTGATGCTTACTGAGCAAAAATAATGTCGCATCATGCGCGAAGAACTCGTCGACTCGTACGGAGGAATACCTATAATTCAATATAGTCTGCCAGTAATTACCCTCTAAATAATAAATATAAATGGTCGACAATAATAAAAACAGTTTTCCGTCCTTAACGCAGTAAGGCTGAATCTCGGTAAAACTTTCAGGAACTTTTGCACCTTTCTTCCATTCACCTGAAATTATACAACATGCTTAAAATCGTATAAGCAAAGAAATTGTATAATTTCATATTACTCTTTACCTGTATGAATATCAAGGATATCGACCGAAAACAATTTCAGCCTATGCTTTCCCACACCACCCACTATTGTTAATTTATTTTTTAGAAATGCAACAACCATGTGTCTCCTTGGAATTGGCAACTTAGCTTGATAGTACCACTTTTTAGATATCAGGGAGTAACGCCAAATAATATCATTAAATTTTCCAGTCCCTAAACCCATTTCTCCACCAACTGTATATATGTTGAAACCTATAAATATATTCCTAAAGTGGTTTAAATGTCTGAAAGTTCTTCTTCCAATTTAAAATTAAAAATGTTTATACCTCTGCTAGCAACTTGCATCCCCATTATTGAATTTTCTGAGCACTGTTTGTGTTTTAATTCTGTGCACTTAGAAAATACATTATGGTTCCAGATGTACAAATATGGATCTTTCTTTGTGCATTCGTACATTTTATATACAACAATGCCCTGTATGAACTTGAGCTGTCTTTCACATTTTATATCTGGAATGTCTGACCTCTAAAATTAAAATATATCGAAATGCACTATGAAAATACTATGTAATAATAGTACAACTATTACCATATGATGCTGTATCCATTCATTTCTCACAAACTGCAAGTATTCGATAGAAGCCCTCACATTAACATATTGAAGCAACAGAGTAATGTTCTTTTTGGACAGTTCTACGAGCGAAGGTAAAGGTAGTTCCTCAAACCGGTCTAAACATGTGGCAAGACAAATATCTTGTAGTACTTTTACATTCAATTCTTGTGCCAATAACCATATATCGATTAATTTCTCTGGCAGCAACCAATTTATGACTATAATATCTATGGCATCGTTTGTTAATTCGTCGACTACGAACAGTACACTCAATTGTAACAGACTGAGTAATTCTGTAAAATTTTTATTCACAAATTTTGTCATAGAAGCCTTCAACGAATGACATTGTATTTCTACGCGGTCCATATCATCGTGAATCCATTCGACAAAATTCTAAAAACGGAAAGGATTCGATTTCACATACGGGTAAGAATGATACGAGATGTTTTTATATTAATCATGACCATAAGAACCTCTAAAGTAGCTAAAGGAATATCATAATTAATAACATGTTCCTTGTTATGAGAATCATTAAAATTATGCGAGAAGAGAGATGCAAAATAGCAGCTTTTACTCGCAAGTTTCTCTTTATTTACTTTGATACGACAATCATCGAGTATCAGTGTCAAAGTCTCCATCATAACGATTTCTCACAATGTAAATATAACTCATCAAGCAGGTATTGTCTATGCCACCTATCCAAGAAGAGTTTGTGTTCTAATGAACCAAACACTGACCACGTAAAAAATCAGCATCTATAGCGCACTCTGTGCTAAAGAACAATAACTCTGAGGATCATATTTAACCCGGTCAGTAACGTCGGCAATTTTGCTTCTGATGCGACATCGACGAAAGTTTTGATCAAAAATTATTTACGCATTGTACGATCGTATGGTTCTAAAGACAAGATTCTTTTACATTACTCACATTAGTAAAACTAAAATTAATTTACTAAAGTGAAATTAAAATTAGATAAACTAAATTCGAAGACGCGCGGAGACAAACATTTGAAACTAATTCCTTGATTGGTCCAAAGAAATGCTCTTATTTACCATTACTATTGACTTATCTTACAGGGTGATTTCGACCAATTTCGTTTTTTAAAATTCTACTTCGTTGTATGTAAATTTTGTATTACGAATACGAATTTACGCTGTAAGCTATAGTTAAATTACGATTCATTAGATGCCTTTACCATTTTTAATATGATCAAAATTTTGTTACCCCTTGGTCCACTCCCTGGAGATAGTGGAGATGTGTCATCGAGTCTTTGTATATTGGCAGCATTGGTGCTTCTTTCCAGATGGTTTCTCCAGTGACTATATTAATTCGTAAAGTTAAAGTCGAAAAGAGTGGTTTTAAGCCGGTACGCGTTCCTGAAATGAATTTTTAAACTTTGGTAAGATCATGTACGAAGACCGAAAGGATCTCGTGCTCGAACGACGTTTATTTTCACGCCGATAGCATTGTTCGTTTGTTCGATATTCTCTCGAAAACACACCTCCCGTTTAACATCGGTAATTCCAAGAACTTAAAGTAAGAAAGATTTATTAAATGCTCTCTTTTCTGATCGAATTGTACTTGGAAAGATGCATACTCTAGGTTATTTTGTAACAATCTTTAATCGTCAATTGCATCTATGCACATGTTTCTACCGTAGTATTATTGGGTGTGCTTCCTTGCTTTCGTCGTTCTGTTTTTAAGTTGTTAAGTCATTGTACGATACTGCCGTACTTATGTTGTTCGTCGACAAATTAAAAATACAAATAATTGAAGGACCAATCTTGTTAAAGTTCGCACGAACTTGGTAAAAATTGTTCCTCGCAGAGTACGTGTTTGCATCTAACGATCTAGTTAAAAATTAAGTACGTGTTTGCTTCTAACGATCTATTAAAAAATTAATATCAGAATCTTATCAGATTATAGATATAAGTGACTGAACAAAGAATCTTTGCTCGAAATTTCTGAAAAGACGGTCCAGCTTTTTTGTGCATTTTCGCAGAGTGTAGTTAAAATTTCTGTAGGATTAATACTTGTTAACCCCACATTTAGCATTTGTCTTATTTAATTAACCATAAACTCTGTTATGCTCGTTTGTCGTTGAGGTTAAAAATGAACTTTTATGTTGTAGACAAGAAGCGATTGTAGCTTTGTGTTGAAAGCTTTAGTTCACGTTGAAATAAAAATTACATAATGACAGAGTATAAGCTCGTAGTTGTGGGAGCTGGAGGTGTTGGCAAATCTGCACTTACGATTCAATTGATACAAAATCATTTTGTAGACGAATATGATCCTACTATAGAAGACTCTTACAGGAAACAAGTGAGTTTTTATATTCATCTTGAATAATGACAAAAGTTTTCTATGACTAATAATGGTGATATTTTGTATAAAGGTAGTCATAGATGGGGAAACATGCCTTTTAGATATATTAGACACAGCTGGTCAAGAAGAATATAGCGCGATGAGAGATCAGTATATGAGAACCGGAGAAGGATTTTTATTAGTGTTTGCTGTAAATTCAGCAAAAAGTTTTGAAGTATGTAAATTTGTTCCATACTTAAATTGTGTTGTTAATGCCTTCATTCTTTTTAAACAGTTTAAAAAGTGGCTTGTATATGTTTAATGTTACAGGATATAGGAACATATAGGGAACAAATAAAAAGAGTAAAAGATGCTGAAGAAGTACCGATGGTACTGGTAGGAAATAAGTGTGATCTTCAGCAATCTTGGGCAGTAAATATGACACAAGCAAGAGAAATTGCCCGTCAGTATGGTGTGCCTTTTGTTGAAACCTCTGCAAAGACTAGAATGGGAGTAGATGATGCTTTTTATACTTTGGTAAGTAGACATATAAAACAATACACAAGTGCTTGCAAATTTGGAACATGAAAATAGAAACTAGTTACAGCATATGATAGACTTGGTATAAATTTTCTCAAATGAAATACAAAACAATAATTTGCATAGTTGCATGACATATTATTACTCTGGAGTGGAACTTAAAAAATTGTAGGTCAGGGAAATACGGAAAGACAAAGAACATAAAGGTAAAGAGAAAAAGAAACGCAAGGGGGCAGGTAACTCGAGCCGTAGGAGACATCGATGCTGTTTGCTTTGAATCACTGAATAACATTAATTCTCTCGTTCGATACATTAATGCAGAAATAATTTGTAAAAAGCATTAGATTATGTTCACTGTACGCACATTTTTGCAGCTTATTCTATAGACTATTATAATAATTTACAAGCACAATTTTTTCTATACATTGGGAGGGAAAAAAAGAACAAAGTATGTAATAGTGTAATGTTGCATACATTTTTACTCTTGAAGTTGAATTTCATAAAATACATTGTTTGTTCCACAGTTTGCCATATAACTCTTAATATTCCATTAGCAGAATAATTTTAACCCTTGATTGCATAGAACAGTCAGGATCAAAACAAATTTTTTCAAACCATCCATTCGTTTTATCGTTAATTACTTTTAATTGAACGTACGGAAAAAGTATTATTCCATAAAGGAATTGCATAGCTTTAGGTACTGTGGATGGATAAAGAAACATATAACTCATAAAAGTTTACAACTCACAACATGAACTTCATAGGTGTTTTATTCAATTAGTTCATAATTTTAAACTTATATTTAATTCGTTAATTAAATATATTTTTAACGTTTACTTTTATACTCCGCTATGCGTGACAAAAAATTCTATTTGCCCAAAAAAAGAAAATAATAAGCCATAAAACTCAAGGAAATAAAGTATGGATAACTCATTTTGTGCTGTGATTAAATAATCTTAAGCATGCCATGCTAGTTAGGTGTTACTGTGATTAAGTATGCAATTTTAACAGGAACGCCTATTTACCAATTTAAGAGTACATAGGTTTGTTCGTGTTTCCTTTTCGAGTGCAATTAAAAAAATATACTTGATATTTGTTGTATAGGGGATGAAATATAAGACCTTACGCATATAGAAAATGCCACAATGAGTAATTAGTTTCTATACTAATGTTTTTATATGTTTACATTAAGTAAAAATTGGTAGGTACGAATTTATTTCGATCATTTATACAAATGTAAGAATCGTTTTAATCGATCATTGTTGTTTCAATGTAGAGTTAGAAAACTCATCTTGTTATAAAAAATATAATTTAAGGATTACATTACCTAGAAAACGTAAAACTTTACATTGATATTTGAATGTCTAAATATACTACTACTATTACTACTGTAAAAGGATATCGCATTTTATCACGTTTGTTTAGTTCTTTAATCAACTGTTTTTATATCATAATTTAATTTTGATAAATTATATGATGAGAAGTATATAATTTCAAAGCACTGCAAATATTGCTTGTAAACTTAGCTTTTATTATGAATATATACTTTAATATTTGTTCAGACAATAATGTCATCTCATTTTAACGAGACATGAATTTTTAATAAAATATACAAAATTAATTTTGCTTACAAAACCAACAATTGCGAAGATATTTTGTGGGGTGTTTATTGTCTCACTAAAATGATCATGTCTTGGATCTCACCGAATTTTTCAAATAGACAATCCTATACTTCGATCTTTTAATCCTTTCCAAGTGATCTTAACATTCCAACAAGTTGAATTTTCATCATCCAAAATATATCTAACTTCTTTTTTGTATAATTGGTATGTATCTATCACCTTTGTTTATGGCTAGTTTCATTAGATCTATCTCTCTTATTCAATTGTCCAAAGATTTTTTAGTCTTCAAATCTCGATTGCTGAACCTAGTTGCATCTACTAATAGTTAATAATAAGCATCCCAGGCAATTATGAAATAAGATCATTTGGAAGATCTTTTCATAGAGGGTCAATTTGTAGACTATGGAGGCTGTAGCTAGGTACTTGAATTTACACGCGTTTAAATTTGAATCTTTTGGCCTAAGTATTCAATAGTAAAGATAGAGTGTTCCCAATTTTTCTTCTTTTTTAATTACATTACAGAAAGCATGTGTAAGGGATGTACCAAGGGATGGGTGTGCACAAATGTGATGAAATCTAACATCACCCCAATAACTAACATTTTTATTCTTATGAATTATGCCCTCTATTTTGTTCAGTGTATGGAATAAGGTAGTTATCAATATCTGTAGGTTGTATTTCTGATCTGAATCTAATTCTTTGCCAAGGAAATAAATTTTATTTCCTTCTAACACCATTGTTGTTGTAGGGAATAACTACTCTATGAACTGAGAATGTTAAGAACACATAAATTGCAACGTCCTAAATTTTGAACAATCAAGGGTTAAATACTTTGCTAAATGATTTAAATAGTACAATTTGCAAATATTCTCGTATATGTAAACTCGTAAATTTGTAATTCTAGCTTTTTCAAATATTGAAAATGTGTATATATAAAATTACACAGCATAGGTGTTGTTATGTAGTTCAAATTTGTAATAAAACTTGGTACAAAGTGTTCTTTATATTCATTCTGTTTAGAATGATTGTTTTAAAATATTAATTGTAGGCCATCTATGCTGTTTAGTTTTATGATATTAAAGGAGCAATTGACAAATCTTTCACTAATTGTCTTCTTACGATGTTTTATATGACAAAAAGTCGAGATTATCTAAATCAAACGGCCCTAAAATATAATTAACATTGGCTGTCGTCTACGAGTTAACTCATAGCTGACGATTTGTCACCGGACGTCGCCTACGAGTTATCTCGTGAAGATGTAGTGTCTGTGCGAAGCATAGTGGTCAGGGGTCATTTCACCACACGAACCCAACGGCAGCCAACGTGTTAAAAATTACATTTTTAAATCAAAGTTTATACATCTGTGTGTCATATCCAATTAAGTTGAAGTTCTATTGTTCATCAAAGTTCTAATAATATATATATAAATACGCGTACCGAAGAAAGTAATTAAGCGCATATTACATCAATAATTTGTATTTTTTCATTCAAAAATGTGTTGTTAACAAACTAAAAGATATCGTGCAGGCGTATTTATGCATGTATATTAGCTAGTGCAGACATTGTGCCACAAACACGCATATGGCGGGAAATGTGTTCCGACTTCCAATTGGCGGAATGTGTCATCAATGTCGTTTTACCAATCGGAAGCCCGCGTGCCACTGGGACACACTGATCAGATTTATATGCGTGCTGGCTAGTGTGCATACATGTGTTCAATGAATTAGTTCACCAACGTACAGTTCTAATACAAACAAATGTAATGATAAACGATTATTTTACATTAATAAACGTCCGCGTTCACTTAGCATTTGTTTCTGAAATGAACGTAAAAGGAACGTGTAATTTGGGTACACCTTGTTCCTTATTAAAAAGTAATCTTATTTAAAACAATTTACGTCATAATCATATTATGGATTACTGCATAGTATCATTTATACACCGATGAACACTATAATACAGTTTTTGAATGTATCAAATATTATTATGCGAATGCATCTTAATTTTTTTTACTGGAAAATTAATGTATATTTTTGTTAACAGATTTTCTAAGAATCTTTGTATTAACTGAGTAGGATTATAAATTTAACATAATATTCATCATTTAATGGCATGGTAAAATTACTACAACGATAAAAATGTAAGAAATAGTTTATAAAATAATTCAAAATAATAAAAAAAACCATTTATACGCATAAAAGACGTAATTTTTTACCCGCTACGAATAAATTAAATTAATATTTTCTATCGGAAGTTCTTCATAATTTTATTTTTTTTTTAAATGGATCAGAATGAAAATTCGTAGAAATATGTACGTATATATACAAAGTTAATATTTTATTTATTAATAATAGAGGTTAAAAAGATATATATTATTTTTCCGAAACAATTTCCAATTGTTGTTTCTCTTAATTCTAAATATGACAAAAAGTGTCTGTCTTAATAATGTATACGATTTCAGATAAACAGTTAGTGTAACGGACAAAATTTAAAAAGATCGTTAATCTAGATTAATTTATCTATTGGGTGAACCATCGTGGAGCAAAGATTTCAAAATAGAAAATGGCGGTACTTTGATCGGAAGTAGGTACTTGTTAAGTTCGTCGATTTTTTCTGAAATCGGATAAAAAGTGAAATATTTAGTGTTTTATGCTGATAGTGGTTCACTTTCTAGATAAATATGTTTTCTATAATGTGTTCAAGTTTCAAGTCCATTGGCCAAGTAACTTTTGAGGTATGTATCAAAAACACTACGCCGAAAAATGTTTCGATAAAAGCGGTTTTAAAAATTAAACGTACGGTAATAGAACATATAGAAAGTTTAATTCAAAATCTTTATCATTTCTTTTTTTCAAGATAATATTTTAATGAAATGATCAAACTACCCCTTTAAATTAATAAAATTAGCAATTTTGAGGAATGGGGAAACATATGTATTAGAGTATTTTTGGTTTAATTGCATTTATTTTCGAGCACCTAGGTAAATATAAAATCGTTATACGTCTATATGATTCTGTATGTCACTATATCACTGTCATGTGTTGTTTACTATACGTATAAACTATTTTCTAATTACATACGAAATGGTAAATGTAGGCTTGAGTGTATACAATAATATATATGGCACGTCAGTCTGTACGTTTAATTACTTAAATCACTTAATAATTATTATTAAATACTACTGCGTATCTGTCATCGAATCTTATGAATTGTTTGTTACGTTTGGCATTGTTCATAATGAATAGTTTTTGCACTACCGTATCATTTCCATATATTTTTGTTTGTGTTTGCTTAACATTTCAGTCACAGTCACCAATTGTTTTATCGTTGGCTAAAAAAAGTATGTGTCAATTAATTATTCATACCCTTATGAATTATACAATTTGAGATATATCTCTGTCAGTAGACCAAACACCCACCTGTGTTTTTGATAGAACCTGAAGTTCTTTTAAATGAGAAACACAAATATGATGTAATGTTGCTAAATCTCTTGCCGTGTCTGATACACAGCTCTTATTTCTTGGATCTGCACCTTCAGATTCTGGTTTCTCAGTTACATTCTATAACGTAAGAAATTTTAATTAGTTTCAATTTAAATTTCATCACGCGCGATCTAAGACAAATACTGATACTTACGGATAATTGATCGAGAAAGACAACCATTCGTTCTTTGTTCTTAAGAATAAATGGATTTACTACTTCCATGTATGGTTCTTTACCGCCAAATTCTACCAAATTAGCCAAATTTTGTAAACATTTTGCGACCATTACTAAAGATCTATAAAATTTTTTAACAAGAATTTAAAAAACAATACATGTAATTACAAAATTTCTTACGTTTAATATAAACCTACCCTACCTTGCAGCAGCTGGAGGTGGTGGTTCAGCTATTAAATTAAATGACCTAGGATTTAATATGGCAGGGCAGAGTAGGCGTAAAAATATAAATCCACTGACTACTCGCGTTCTGACTAGTCTTTCGTGTGGCCATTTGGCAACAACTGCTCTTTGCAAACATCCACAAATATATCTCAAAGTCCTTGGGCAAGCGTCGGGACTCATAAAAATGCTCAATGTTACTTCATCTAAAACCTATAATAACATTGATTTTAAGTTATCATTTAGAATGGTTCGGTAGTAAAAAAAATTTTGTTCTTACCTGCAATAAAAATTCTGCATTACTGCATGCATCCTCTGGAGAATCCATTTTTGTCGGATTCAATTCACAGCTTTGCTTACTTTCGATCAATTTTACTATAGTATCGCGTAAAGCGGCTTTCAAAAACGAGGTACAAACTGATTTCATGTATAAATCCATTAAAGTAGTCGTGAGGCTAGCAGCCCTAAACAAGGTCGGTGTTTCATCTTCTTTATCCACCTAAATAATACATTAAATACTTGTAACAGACGTATCATCTATTGAATCGATTTTCTGTTGAGAGATATAAATTAAAACTGGCTTACTTCTGCTTGATTTAGCGATCTCAAAAGGTCGGCTTCTTTTCTTTCATGCCTAAACATATACGTTGTGCATGTTATTATTATACCATTAGAGAGAAGGGAAAACAATAATATTCGGCTTATTATGTATCTTTGTTAATACCTAAATATTCTAAGTAAACTATTTGCGAGTGGTACTCTATCCAAATGACATACATCCGCTAATGCTCTAACAACGTGTAATTCTGGGTCTAATAGCAATTGTTGTAACGGACTGTATTCTTCTGGAGGCATCGCTAGATCGTGCCGATACCTATAATGTTGCAAACGTAGAAAAGAGAATATAGTGATAGTTGAAGTTCTAAATATAAATATAAACAATTTCATCCACGGTGTACCTTATACGTAAACGTAATACGCCCCAGTCCCCTATTGGAGTTAGTCCTGATAACGGATACCATTCGTCCATCTCCTCTCCATTGGTTAAACTTGCTAATTCAACAGTCAATTCTGCAACTTCTGTGTCTTTACTACGTTTACCTTTGTTGTACAGCGTTAAAGAAAATGACATAACATCGGGTGGTACATCCCTGTTAAATAATGTAAAGTAAAAAAAAAAAGACAGTATAAAACGTTTACGCGAAGTATCAGCACTTTCGGTAACCAATCATAATACGTACTCTAAAATGAATTCCTCATCCCAGAGTGGATGCAACCCAGTCTTAACTTTCGTGCGAGCAACTTTTACATTATTTAGAGCCACTATGATGAATGGGTTTGGTACTAGCTTATATGGAAGTCTATGTGCGTCTAAAATGTGAAGATGTAATGAACGCAATTCGCGAAGACGAGCAACTTTCGGAGCACGCGTAAGTTGTGATACACATAATGGTTTCAAGGCATTAATCCAGTCTAAAGCATTTTCTGAATTTGGAGCAGCCAAGTATGTTATCGTGGCTAAACATGGTAAAGCACGCTCAACTAATTGAAAGCAATGAGGTCTATCGAACACGCTTTCATGAACCTAAAAAAACCTATATTTCAAGAACGAATCTCAACAATAATTGAACTGTTATCATCCTTATATATAACAAATACTTTTACCACGTACATACGTCTTTTAATAATGTTAGTATAATTAAAAGTATTAGATACATATGTCTAAAATAACAAAGTTTGTTAATAGATACTCTATTTGGTTAAAAAATTGTATCTACCTGGTACAAATAAGCACAGCTCAAGTCGATAAGACCCTTAGGTTTGGTCCTTTTCGGATTGTCATACAAATACAAATGAGTATCCGTAGCATCTACTAAAAGTACAAAATACAGGGCTTTCCATTTTTTGTTTTTCTCCGATTTCTTTTCTAGATATCCTTGCATTTTTATTCCTTTATTTTTCTTTGCTCCAGATTGTTCGCGGCACTCCCTAAGAGTCGCGTATATCTTTTCTGCGTGTTGTACCTCTCTATTAACCCTTACACTGCCATCAGGCTCTGTCACCATTGCTTGAACCAAAGTGTGGCCTTCCACTATTTGTTCTTTTCGGTATCTGGAAACGCAATGTTGCTAATGGTGTACTAGTTTCGAAGTTATTTTACATTTTTTTTAAATAAGTATTATACCTATTTATAACAGCATCAAGACATTCAAAAGTTCTGCCACCCATCAGATATCTTACTCCCTTTTTTTCAATTCTAAATCTTTGAATTTGATTGTTTATATGAAAGAAAAGCGAATAATCCCCTGGACTGTTATCCGAAGGCCTAACCTGCATAATAGAACAGATGTATATTTTTAAATGTTATGAGAGACAAAAAAATAAAACAATATAACAATTGACACCAAAAAATTTAGACAACTTACCAAAAAACTTCCAGGTCCTGCTTTTACTAACATATCAACAGCTTCACTTTTAGTGACATTAGGATGAAACCAAGAAAAGACAGTATTGGGATCTATGGAGTCATCCAAATCCTCAACTAATTCACGAAATATCAATCCCTGTTCACCAGTTCTGTGTGCAGTAACCCATAGCCAACCATCTCCCATATCATTGTGCACAAAAAATATGTCACCCTTTTGAAAGCTTAGTTCATCTGTGTCAGGCATTTTTGTGTATGGCAGTATCGCGACAATTCGTTTTTTATCATTTACTGGTTCAGGGGGTGGGGTAGGATGTATAAGTCTTTCTCTCTTTAAAAGATCCGAGCAATGAGTATAATATGCAACAAGGTCTGATAAGCTATTGAATTGTCTGCCACCTATAATAACAAGTATCTTCTCATTAGTTTGCCCATAAATTATGATTCCAAACATTTATTGGATTCCATGTAATTTCTACCATACCAATGTAATAATCTCCACATACAGCAGTGATTCTAAAGTGATTAATTCCAGTTCTGCCCAAGTAAGACAAAACATAACTTCCAGGCTTTCTGTCACTTTCACGTACTAAATAACTACCCATTTTATTTGCATCCCACAATCTTTCCTCGGCTGTAAATCTATCTAATCTACCATGATACCACCTATAAAATAATCATATATAGAATATATGATGTTTATACTAGTTTAAAGGTAGATTATAAATTTTATTAAAAATAATTATTGCATCAAAGGTTTTTATTGATTTGTAATCTCACTGATTTTCTGGAGGTGCTGTTAATAATGTTGTATTAGCACTATCAGGTTCCTCTGTGTCTTGTATATCATCTGGTATGTTTTCAAGAAAAGGATCAAATTCATTTTCAGCATTCATAGATTCATTTTGTCCACCATCTTCACTGCCAGTGCTAGGAGATCCTCCTTTACTGTTGTGATCCATCTATAAGTACAATTAATAAAAATAAACATTACATAGTCTCAAGGATTCTAAAGAAATTTTACACTATAAATATGTTAAATACGTTTTCGAGATGTAATAAGGGAAAATGTTCGGAATCCGCGAAGAAAGAAAATACTTTTGTTTTCATAGATAAGTGTATCATCATATATCACAGTGCTCCAAATATAACATATATTTTTGTCAACAAAACATAAATACCATTCGAGGATGGCTGCTTACGATTCTCCAACATCTACGGTCTTTTATCATTTCTTTTTTGCCGTACACAAACTGATCGAAAATATCGTCCTTAAACGATATCGAAAACACCTCTCCGACAAAATATTTTAATAAACAGTTCGGAATTTACGGAACTCGCTGGATATTTTTGAAGTTATTATAAATCTTCGTACATGCAATATAGTCCCCTTCTTCTTATTTTCCTTTCTGGACTTTACAGCGATGATACAACAACGGATGAATAATCTGTGATGAATAATACCTCGTACGTACCTTAGCACTGTTCGACACGCTCGGACCTCCACGCACAAATTCTGCCATTTTCGGTTCACACGCACTCTTTCACGCACACACGTTTATGAAAAAAAAAAGAAATTTAAAGTATTAATCGAACGGCATCCGTTTTATTGCAATTCTCCTTGCCACGATTATTTACAAAGATAGCTTGTTATTGATATAAAATGTATTGACGTTTCTCAGCAGCCATTTTATTACTGCACGCGGCGGCTGTAGGATACAGAAGCCAAGGGATTTTCTTTATTTCGTGCAAAGCTTTTAAAACTTTACCAAAAGGATCACGGCATGCTTTTAAGATTGCTCGTTTACCGGCTACGGCTCGAGGGTAAGCTGTATACAGTGAACGCGGCCGAGATTTTCATAAAAGTACTTTTATAAATAGTGCACCATCGACAATGCACTTATAGAGAAAGTTAAGCCTCAACGGTGATGACGATTGCAATCGTTATTAAACATTATCAATAGTATTTCTAGTTAACGCAAAGTTTAATTTGAAAAGTTACACAGAATAAATGTATTCGAAAATAAAGAAAGCATCGGTAAACGTTCAAACCAATACACGTGATTCGATAGTAAACGCTAGTTCCTTTTTATACTTTTTCGTGTGTTGCGTGCCAGCCCATTGGAATGGCGGAATTCTGTTTTTGTGCGCGTCAAGCCGAGTGACATTTGCATGGCAGTCGATTATCCATAATACTTCCTAATTATCTGCATTTATTGTCATTAAATCGTAATGGTAAGATCGTGGTTCCTATATTTGTAAATTACAATTTGTATGATAAGACGTATAACCAGAAACGAGCAAAAGATTCGACCATAACCTATATGTTATCAAAACATGTGCGTAATAATTCAAACAAATTTTATTAATTACGATTTTGGTGTGGCATGCAGTCCGCCATATTTAATTTACAGAGTTTGCTGACAGTAATCCTGTTACTAATATGTACCTGTACTTATGTCAAAGCTATTGTGCCCAGTTTGTTGGACAAGCGAATGGGGAAAGTTGGGTATGCGTGAAAAGATTGTAAAAACGATTGTAAGGTATGAAAATTTTATGGTATTAATAATGTTTAATAAATCAGTATCCAGGGTGCATTTTGGAAGTGTGCTAGGATCGGCGAAAGAAAGAGCCAATATGTGGCAGTGGGTTGCGTCGTGATGGCCTTCAGTATTCTGTTTTGGTCATGAATCGGGTGTAAGGATTATAAGACACTAAGAAGTGCCTTATCCGTTACAATGTAATGGTATATTGGTTGTAGTAAATGCAGGTTTTAATAAGAATAAAAAGTAAACCAGTTTTTTTACTATAAATGGTTATATTTGTGTCCATTCAAGATCCACAACGGTAAACTTAAAATAAAAAACAAAAAAAAAAAAGACAGAAATGATACACGTCTGTGCTACTTGCATGGTATGTTTTATTTGTCAACACGTTGTTTTCTTCAAAGCTATATAATTATCCAATTTGAGCACATTTTCTCTTCGTATTCTCATAATATATTTTTTTTTTTTTTTCTATAAACAACAACATTCTTTTGATATAGTTATTGTAGAGTCGTTATATTGAGCAGTATTTTACGATATACAGTATTTGTTAAATAGATATATTTAACATATGTGTTCTTTCGTTTATTTCGCGGATATACTACTATTTCAATGACGATGAACCACACGTTGCGACTAAAACCTGGTACTCTGTAAGAGAAGACATTCGTGACGATGCGCAATACGTATCGGTAGAAAGCTACAAATTTCTCCGTTCGAAACTTTAATTTAGCAAGAAACGTCGCGAGTTTTTTACCGATACCATTTTGTACGCTGATTTTTACAGAGCTAGATACGGTTTACGGTATTGCGAGGAACATTAAGAAACACATAGAAACCACAACCTATTAGGAACGCTTATTGTCGATTCCCTAACAGAAAAGTGTACTCGAGGTATATAATTACATAGCAAATGATTCTTACGCTAAAAACATAACAAGCTATTTGTTCATATACATATAGACACATAGTAATTAAAAAAATAAGCGTTACGCGTTGAACGACCAAACTAATTGGTCCTTCCAGGCAAACTTTTCTTCCTTATTAAACTTAATTCTTACTTATGGAAAAAAAATAATAAACGTAGTATCCCCCTAGTTGTTTCAACCACTCTCTTTAAAATAAATTAAAAGGATCGGTTGATACGACTAAAGGAACACTACGTTCGCAGCTTTTCTTACGTTCGATAGAATCTATGTAACTCTAGAAACAAGCGCGTACATTGTGCAATCGTATCGTTCGTATTATAGCAAATTCCTCGCAAGTTAACCACGCCGATTATATTTATACTGTGGTCTCGTTTAATCGTTGGCATATGAGGTACGTTATTTGCCTACTGGTAATTAAAAAAATACGTAAAACAATAAAAGTAAGGTCTAATATCTTTCTAAAATATACAGTACGGTACTATACGTCCTACGGATATGAATCTGACTTAGATATGACACGTGTACGTTCGTTAAGATGCCACTTACGATCTCGCTCCCCCTTCCCCTATCGTACCGTTAAACAAAGATATTATTTTTATTACCCCTTACGTACAAATTAGTATGCTAATTATTTGTCTGTGTTCGAGTGTAATCGAATAGTTGCTTAAGGTGGGTCGACTCACAACTTGCCGTGAACCTTTTGTGGAAAACTGTATATATGTATGTACTTAATTAATCGTTGACAATAATTATTACGACGTAACGATATATTAACGGATGTTAATTTTTTTTTCTTTTCTTTTTTTTTTTCATCGGATCGCCACTGCCATTGCTGAAATAATTTCAAAACGCGAGTTAATCGGTAGTCCCTCTTTCCATATTTTCCGAACGATGCTCTCGTGAATGACACTGGTGGCCCACTTGAGACAGACACCCTGCATGCGGTAAGGCTTTCGACGCTAACATTATAAAAATTACACCGTAACACCTACCAAACTCCACGAACGAGAAACGATAGTCCTTCAATTGAAAACCCTTGGCTCCGTTTTTTTTACTCTTTTCGTTGTTAAAAAAATATTCGACAACGTTACAACATTCGGTCCAACTAAAGTACACATTTCGCTCACGAGCACTCGTCTATTTCATCCGCGTTCGGGAAACCGGGTAAAAGGCTCATAAAAAATACCTTCGTAAGCGTTTTTTTTTTCTTTCTTTCTTTTCTTTTAAAATTCGCAACAATTTTCTGCCCACGGTCCACGTCCGCGGACGGGAGATCGATTTTGCTCGCTGTATCGTCGCCGGAAGTAGTACTTGCGCGCTTCGTCGTCGCGAAACGCAGTCGGAGCTTGTTCCACCCCGTCGCCACGCACCTTCTCCCCCGTTCCCTCGAGTTCAATTAAAACTTCAGAGTTCGCGATTTCTTCTCTCGGATCGTTTGTTCGGAAATCCCGCTCGAAACTGCAACGACCACACTGTGCAGACTCGAGATGCACGAGACGCGTCTTCTTATTTCTCCCTCGTCGGACAGAGTCTCGACGTTCGTCGCTGTTACGCTACAGCTCGACAAACGTTTATCGTAAACCGAGGAAAACGAGCAAACAGAACGCGTAGATTCGCGCGCTGGTGGTCTTCGCGTAGGCGCCACTCTTCGCGTTCGGATTCTCGCGATTATGGAACGCGTCCTCGTCTTTGATGAACGGCGCCCGCGGGTCCATCGTCGTGGACGTGGTCGCGTATTTGTTGTAAACGATCCTCGACGTGCTCTTCTGCATGGCGGGCGTGCTCATCTGATGGTACATCCGGTTGATCGACGTCACCTGCGCGACCTTCGACTTCCCCTTGCTCAACTTCTTCCAATTCGTCGACGTGGCTCGTGTGGGTGGCGTTTCTCGTTCGATCTCTGCAACAAAATTCCAATTATCCTTAAACAGACGTTAGGTATCTATTTGCATTAGTTTCGAGATATTGAAAATCACCGGGTTGCCTATCGTCAGGGGCGTTTCTGACCAAAGGAAATAATAGGTAATTACAATTTATTGATAGTCAGGATGCGCACAAAACTTCATGATCTATCAAATATTTCAGAAGTTTGGTGTAATTGTCTACAGAAACGCAAACTTAGATTGGGTTTGAATTTTCACATAAAATGGTTTGGCCATTGTTTTTGTAACGTGTAAATTATAAACAACATCGCGTGTAAAGCTCGAAGAGTTCACACGGTACCGCGGAAAGAATACGATAATTTAGCACTTCAGAGTGTAGCAAATGAAATTTTTCTTTCAACGATCCCCTCCGCTGCATACGCGATGAACACATTTACGCTTTTTTTTTTCTCTTCTTTCTTTCCATTTTCTCGGTAAATTAAAGCATAAACGAGGATTTCTCCGTTCATTTTGCCACGGCAAAAAGTGCTGAACGACTGTCACAAGGGAAGCATTCAACCTCTCTCTCTCCGATTTTAATTTACTTTTGTATGGATGGTGGATTACAGATTTTTATGCCCAAAGTATCGCGTGCAATATTTCACGTATAATTTTCGGGATATACGAATATCGATTTTTATAACATTTTGGAAACATTCCAACGATATTAAGAACCAATTATAGTGAGAACACCCTCTATATTATAATACCATGTACATGTACGCGTTGGATGTATTCGTGAAGGCATCCAGGCATAAGGGGATTTTTAAGTGTGGCATTAGGCATTAGCATCGGTAATCTCAGACACGACAGAGACGGATGTTGATCGCGCGACGAAATTGGTTATCCGGTGGGTTGGATAGGCGCACGGTGACGCTAGAAATATCGAATCGAGACGGATATCGAAGTGTCAGGAATTTTATGTAACCGGAATCGGGATGGGGGGAATCCCGTGATTCGAAAATTGACGCGTTCGTTGATAGTATACGTCGACTTACTGTACAACCTAACGGTGGCTTCGGCTCTTCCCATGCTTGACGACGCCGAACACGTGTATTCTCCCAAATCCGTTTCCTCCAAGCGCCTTATCTTCAGCTCGATCGTTGTCTTCCATTCCTCGTCCGGGTGTCTCTGTTCGTTGACTTCGTATCTACCGCTGCGTCGACACATCGTTTAGGATTTTTACGGTAATAATTTATTGCACGGGTGATCCCATCGGAGCATTCGGATCAGAGGAATTACAAACGGTAGTCTTTACTGAATTGGCTCGGTGAATTTGGAAAAAAGTCTCGAAAGATCGCGAAAAGAAACGAACGGAGAATGTCTACATACTCTCTAATGAAGACTGGTTCCCTCCCGGTCCACAAGTTGATCGTTTTCGGATAAGCTTCGATCAAGCAGATCAACGACACGTCCGTGTTCAGAGGAGAGCCTAACAGTTGGTCGGCGACCTTCGCGCTGGGCGGGACTGAAATTTTCGATAGAGTTTAGGTTCGATGGAAGTTTCGATAATTAGTTTTGTTCCATCTTGAAACGTCGGGCTGTTATCTGGATAAGATACGATTGTTTTTTTTTTATTAAAGCCACAACGGATAAATAGGCGGACGGAGCCCCGTCGAATCGATATCAGGAATCTGCATCGCTAAACGACGCTTAATTATCCCGGAAGGAGATATTTTATTGAAGTTTCGCGTATTGGGTAAAGTAGTAATCGACTGCTTAAAAGTACTCACAGTTTACCCTCAGATAAACTCTCTTGCTGACTGCCGGAGGCACTTCGTTTCCGGCTATGCAAAGATAAGCTCCCATTTGCCTCCTGTCTACCTTGGTTAATTCCAGTTTCTCGCCGGACCGGCTGTCCACTATAAAATCGTGCATCGTATGAATATCTCGTTGAAAGCTCTCGTATACATATCGCTGGCCTCGCGCCAGCGTTCACGCGTACACCAAATTACACGCGAAATACGTCCTTTGCGTTGAAACAACCAGGCCGACCGGCCACCTACCACTACTACCCTAAATTTCACCTTTGGGAATCGTTTACACGACTCGTTAATAGCCGCCGTCACCGTTTTAAGAAACGACCGCCGTATTAACCAACGACAGAATTTCTGATTCCGTCCAACTGTTTCCATTCTAGATAAAATGTTAAATTTAAATAATCGAGCTTTTAAATCGTTCCCCTCGACGAGTCATATTCGAAATGACTTTTATCAAATATTCAGATACGATGGAACTCATCTCTCAATAAAATTCCTAATATTTTTTTTTCGAAATATATTGGAATTTGTCAAATTTTACGTTCTAGTTCCCACGCATTCTGGGGTTTAATATCCAGCGATCGTGGAGAGGAACGTAGCCCATTTGGACAGTCATACTATAAATATTTTTGCGCAATAGTCGTCTCTAGAAAATAAAAAATTGTCTACCCAGATTTAATTCTGTTCGAATAAAAAATCTATGGTTCGTTCGGGGCCCGTGTAAGAGCCGCCGGTGTAACGTCGACGATCGATGGCTTAATGAGATTTCGCGAGACGAATGTTTAGGAAATTTCGTAGGCGGAACGCCCAGTCGCATCGTTACGCGTTATTATCGTTTAATTGTGCGTATACGTGCGTTGACGAGGCTTTCGAAATAAATGAAACGCAATGAAGTGCATTATTATCGAGCGACATAAATCATCGCGGCGTTTCGCGATTCCGATAAAACGTGTCACGTGCCTAATGAGATCCATCGAAAATGGGAGATTCATTATTCCCGTTGACGGTTCACGGACTGCCGGTCTACGGATACTTTCGTTAGAGGGTGGACCGGGCCCAAAATATTGCGTATCGATTCGCCGGTAACCAGGCGAGGAAATTGGTTCCATTAATATTTCGTCTGATTAACGAATTTCCCGTTCGTTCGTGCGAAAAATGCGCCGAACGTGGAACGAGCAGTCGGTGAATGTTGGACGACCACCTGGAGGGATCAACGCGCGAAATCGTCAAATTGCACGGTGCCCGGAGAATTGCGATGTAATTGCACGTAGCCGAAAGATATTGAAAGTCATCGCGGACAAACTAATCCCAATTCGATGGGACGTGTTCCGTCGTAATTGCTTTCGATCGACATCACGTGGGTCTCTGCGAATTTACGACGTCTTCATGTTCCGCTAAGCGGATCCCGATGGTGAATCGTATCGCGTAGACACCTTGGATAATTAGTTCTCGAAACTGGCACGAATCGCGACTGGCGGCGAATCTACGATCCGAATTTTAATTACCATTCGATCGTGCAACTTCTACCCTCGGTGTCTCGGTATTCTCCCTCTGTTCGATGTCGAAAGTATGTTTACAAAATCCGCTTACGTATCGGGGAAGAATATTGCGGGCGAGATCGAAAGATTTTTGATCGAAAACCGTATATGGGAGAACAGCGGGCACTCGAGGTGCAATATTCGAGGACAGTTCTTCGCTAGACGTTTCGAGTGGGGACCAGAATTAATAAAAAGAAAAGAATCGAACGTTATTTGTCATCGGATACGACGGACGCGAGAGTTCTCGAGGCGAGATAAAAGCGTAATATCTTACCTGGTATCAGCTGATCGTGAGGACCCCTCATAAGTATGGAACCACTTTTCTCGCGTCGCCAGAACACACGAGGCGGCGGTCTTCCAGTGGCGTTGCACGAGAGGGTGGCATTCTCGCCCTCTGAAACGGAAACCTCACTCTCCGAGGTGCCGGAACTCAGTATATCCGGCGGAACTGAAAGAAAACGGTCGGTTCTGTTTTCTGGCGAGCCTCGGCGCTGAAAACAACGACTGTCGCCCGGTGCTTTCGTTTCGTTCAAGGGGATGCTTCCATTTTTACGTTCTTCCACGAATTTTCCTTTTTTTTTTACAAAACACATATGCATTTACGATACCGTGCAGCTTTATTGCGTCTTGAGAAATCGCCGTCGTCGGGTTTAGAAACGAGTTTAAAGTTTGACGTGCACTCAGCGACCGTTTGGATACTCGGTTCCTCAAACTTGCATAACTTGAGGAACTTTTTGGACTTTGATGTCTCGCCGGGATGCTTTTAAACCCCTAAACTTTTGGAACATGAAAGAAATCTGTCGGTTACTTTCGATTTATAATAAAATTTACGATTCTGTACCATTCGAAACAATATTAAATTACCAGAGGCAGCCATATTGGGAACGGTGTGCCGTTTACTAGAACGATAATAAATATTCGCGCGCGCTCGATTCGGCAAAGGCGTACATGTATCGCGCACGAGCGACGTAAGAAAGTCGAGCGGAACCTTCTGAAATTCGTTCCGCGTCCCGATCCGACGGAAGTTTCAAATTCAATTTGAAGTTGTAGTTTCGAAGGGGGCTGCCGGACGGCGTTTCCGCGCGTATTTACAAAGTCGCGTCGGAATTTCCACCGGGGGGACTGTGCTCGCGTCCGAACCGAGTCGAAATCAGGTTAAAACCGCTCTCGTCGTGCCCCTTCCGCGAGGAAAATTAAATGCCGCGTGCGGCCTGGCCAGCGGGAGGGTACATTTTCGCGATGAAATCCCGGTTTCTTTTGAGAGGAGTGCATCGGGGCTATTTCAATTACACGCGTTCAACTTGGACAAATATTCTCTGTACCGGGCAGGGTTCGGAGTCGAGATACGTCGAGAGTAGAAGGATGGGGGTTGGCGTCGGCGTCGGCGTCGTCGTTGGGTTCCGGTACGGTGGAAAAAAAAAAAAAAGAGAGAAGGAAAGCTCCGTTTCCTGTGTTTCCCCACAAAGGAATTTCATTCCATTCGGGCCGATCGCTTTTTCGAGTTGAATGCGGCGTCGGAGGTACGCACACTCTCGATGAATTCTCTTTCTGGACCGGTGTCCGCGCGCACGCGATACAAGGGATCGCGTGCACGTGCATCGTCGCGGGCACACAGGCCACCGCCGGTAATATACGCGCGTATGTATAATGCAGTGGCGATAGAGGCGTCGACGGGGGTAGAGGGTGAAACGAATAGAAGGCGAGCAGCGAGCAACGCAACGTTACGGTCCGTTCTGGCGGGTCCCATTGAAATGTATTCTAGCCGCGGCGAGGCGTGCATATTTTCCACCCCTTCGAGAGCCAGGCTAATCGAAACTGGCGCGTGCGTGCGTGCGTGCATGCCGCCTGTACGTGCGTGCCTGCGTGCGTAACGTCTCTGCGACCGCAAACGCTACAACTGTACCTGACCGTAGGAATGCGGCATAACGCGCAATTAGGCATACCTAGGACATCCACGCATCCCAGCTGGCTCAACATAGGGTTCGTGTTCAGTTGGCACATGTAGCAGCCTCGGTCAGCTTCCCTCAGTTGGCGGATATGCAGCCGCGAAGTGGCCTCCTCCTCGTCCTTCGATTGGCTCTGATTCTTCGTCTTCGCGTTCTCCACCGTGACGAGGAACCGCAGCGAGTGGGTCACCGTTCGCTGATCCATCGACAATATCGTCTGGTCCTCCATCCGAAGCCATCCCACCTGCGACACCGCAACGAAACCTCTATTATCACCAAAATCGAACCATCTTCATCCCTAACCTCCATTTAACAAGACTCGGGATCAACCCATTAACCGAACCGTTCCTGGAATATTCATTTTCTTAATCTTAACGGGCTATTCTGGTCCGACACCTTTATCAGAACTGGTTTCGAACTTCCAAAATTAGAAGACTCGCGACCTACTGACGATCACGGTGGAACGAGTATTCTCGCGTTGCGTATAAAACTATTTCAATGGTTAAAAAATGGTTATTTGTAGCACTGGGGAGGGCTGGTGCAATTACTCCTTTGCAACCCCTGGGTACGTCACTGTTTATTCCCCTCGAGCTTTCGCCTACTTTGAATCCAGCGCCGACTGTGCACGGGAACACGCGCGATTCGCCACGCTTCGGCGAATGCACCGTATGTACGTATGTATATTATAACAGTGTTTCTCAACCTATTTTGGCTGCTGGCCCGCTCCCGAATTTTGTTTACGTCTAACGTTGCGGTTCCCATAAGCAGTGACATATTCTCTGCTCGAACGTGCTATCAAACGATACGTCCGACCGAGTTGCAATCATTTTTAATTCGTAATAAAATATTAAACGGACCGATAATAACGTACGTTGCATCTTTGAGAATTATTTTACTTGTTGTCCTATTAGATTATCGCGGCGAATTTGTCACCCTAACAGTTAGGGTAATCGACGCCCTACTGTATTTACGAAACGACTGTGTAACGAAGATAATGTGCCCAGAGCCTCGTGCAGACCTAATTGTGTTAATATTAGCACCGTGTGTGTACGTATGCATAATATTCCGCGTTCTGAATACACGTACACGCATCTACGTTCCTACATACACGCAGTTAATTATATTGACGTTTCTATTCAAATATGTATATATTATGTCGCGCGCAGAATACAGGTTATAAGGGTGTACGGAGGTGAGTAAATAATCGGTAACAAAGCAGAGTGCTGGACGAGAGGAAATATAATGACCCAAACAATTTCCAGCCTGATTCTTCTTTATTCAACGCGGTAACGTCGACAGCCTCTGCTTTGCTGAGCTTTTCGCGTCCGTTCGCCGGCGTGGAATCTCGGGTCAGCGCGAGAACTTTGCACGGAAAGAGATTTTCCTAAAAGAGAACCGAGCGAGAGACGTCCTCGGCGCGATCGTACGACCGTGTGGAAATGACAAACGTTTGGGACTGAATAGAAGAGATCGATCGAGTGTTTAGATTAGAGTATCGGTTTCTAGAAGAGAACGGATCATGGGTTTCGTAAAGTCCATGTGTACTTTGGAACGGGAGTGTGCGGAGTTCGTTTCGAACAGCAGGGTACGATAGGTGGGTCGAAAGTCAATTACAATCGGAGATTTAGAGAATCCGAGTATGCAAAAAAGCTTTTCATTGTACCGCTATAGAAGCTGCAGGAGCTTAAACATTAAGCTGGTAAAGTGTTACGTTTAGTATATGTTTGAAAAAATATTATCACAACTGATAGTCCCCGTTGGGTGATTCGACCTTTCGTACATTCGCGCTCATCTCGCATAAATCCCCATACACATATTGTTGCGTTCGTTTCACCCCTGCTCACACACGTGTCCCATGAGATGCAAGTTCGACCGTGCAACAGACTCGCGATACACCTTAGATAGCGCTAATGCCTGCGGCATGAGTCAAACTTTGCCCCAAATCGCGACAAGTCTGCATCGAAAAATCGTTATTAACTCTTTTTAATTCTAATAGATTGTCTGTCGTTTTAAAGAAAAAATTAGTATGGAGCGTAGATCTCTCGCGAGGAAAGATCTTTAGGGGTGTAAACGGAGGCGTAGGATAGGAGGGCTCGAGTCGATATTATATCGTATGTGGCACCTTTGTGTCTTGCCGCGTGTTTATGTGCTACGACGTCTATCCACGTACGATACGTGTGCCCCACGGTGCGCCTCGTCGGCCACGTATGGCTACCAGCAGTAATTGCTTTTAGGCAAGCTGGACCGGTGTGTGTCACTGGCACCGCAGGAATCAACCTGACGAAAGGTTCAATTTAACGTCGTATCGCGCTGCCCCTTTGCCCCGCGGTCCACTCCCGCATCTCCTACGCGTTATCTATAACGCTACACTTGGTAATTAATCCGAAGCGACTGTCGTGCACGTCCCGTATGTCCACCTATATGCCCCTATGCTTCGGGTTAGTTAGACGATGCTCCGTCGACACCGATCATCGTACCCACGCGCGCCACCTCGAGAAACTGGCCAAGAGATTCCTCCAAGACACTTTGCATTTAGTGGACGAAAGTAAATCTTAAATAGTACAGGTACATACAACTTAAAATCGAGTTTTTCTTTATTAAATTTTACGTCACGATGGAAAAATATTTGCTAATACCGTCAAACGGAAGCGTTCGAGTATCAAGAATCGAGAAATATACGACTTGAGCAGAAATAACACCGTGTCAAGTCGTAAAGACTCGCGAATGCTCGACGCAAGTAGAAAGATCGAGCAATGGTCAGACGCGCCGGACTCGATCACGCGCGAAAGGAAAGATTCAAGTGTCAAGCTGAAAGATATCATCAAATATATCATTGAGAGTGTTTCCTAATTTGACTAGGAGAGGATGGCCTAGCCTTTAGCGATTAGGCGAGGTAGGAGTCGGACTTTGTGCAAAACCGACCGACGCACTAGAAAGTGCATTGCTCCGAGTAACATGTTTTGAAGCTGTTCCGGAGATTTCGAGTGTTCGAAGTTCTTAGCGCCTCAGGGCGATTAGCAGTAAATAGAATAGTAGCCAATAGTCTTCCAACTCCAATGATCTTTCTTGCACACTGTTTTTCACCGCGAATAATATTCTGTGTTCGATAGCTTTGGAACATGTACTAACCTATCACTTTTTATTTTCAGAAGCTGATGGCTGTCTGATATCGAGTCCTCTGTAGACGCATTCCAAGTCTCTGAAACCATTTACGGTGCTACACTTCAAGGTAAAAACGAATTCTTTAATTTCTTTCCATTTACGATGACTTAAAGTGCAAATGCGATGGCACCCACGCGTCACTCGAGTTCTTATTCAAACTTAGTGCCATTCGTGCAGAGCAAGATCAGATTAGACCGGGTAGATACGACTCTCGGATCACCCTATCAGAAATCTTCTCCAAGTTGTAGAGGAATAAGTTTCGCCTTGCGTCTTGTATCCACATCGCGTTAAAACGAATCGATCTCGAATCCTGTTCCGCGGGATTATATACTTGCTCTGTATCGCGACGAGACCATGGGTTTTAGGAGAAATCTACTTTTAACGAGAACTGTATCGCCGAGCGGGAATTGAGAAAAATCGCGAGGCCGGCCGTCGACGGGGCTGGTGGTAATTACGGGTCTAATTAGGTAGCTGGTCATTTTCTTGGAAGGTTCCGAAGATAGTGGCGGCCGAATGGAAGGCCCCGACGGGGGATAATCCGCGGCCGAGAATAAGGTATCGACGCGCTTTTGATCGGTCCAGATAAGAAAAGGACGAGCGAGGAAAAACGAGGGGGGAAAAGGGATGGTCGGTCGCGTTTGAATTCTTTCGTTCGTCGGGGGGAGGTACAATCGATAATGTCTTAAGTACTCTGTCACGGGGGAACAACAGTTTGTCCCGCGCAGAACGAGAACGGAAACTATTACGTCGCCTGCAGAGTCGTTATCCCGACGACAAAGATAACGTCTCTCGTTCGATCCTATTCCGGGATAATGTTCGACCATCCCGCTGGAACGAACTCCTTATCCGATAAAAAGTTTCGCCGATCGAAATCGGATACCTCGCGATCCCTTGCGTTTTGCATAATTTCGAGAGTCGCGCACGGCTATCGGGGATCTAGCGAGTTCTCGCGGACGGTTCGCAGACGGAAGCTGACATTTTATCCCAGTCGTGGAATCCTCTGAATCGGAAGCTCCGAAGTGGATGGGCGACGAGTCCGAGATCTGATCGAGATTCGAGGGTATCTTTGTTCGTGGAAGGTTGCCGGGGAAATCGTCGGTCTTAGCAGATACACTGGTTGCGTGCTGGCTCTGCAAATTGCATCCCCCGTCGACGTACGGGTCTGCTGGTACCCCGGACACGTCTCCCGCGTACCTCGCGCCGGAAAACGAACCGCGAGATTCCTCTGCGAAATCCCGGAACAGGTTCGACGGCTGACACACATTATCCGCCGAGTTACGAAATTCCCTGGCGGGTTAGGCGTGTGCCCCACCACTGTAATATTTCGAGAGACCCTGGGCCACGAATCTACGTTAGCGCTAAGAGATTGCTCCCCATACCCTTTTCCTGGGCCTGCCTCTATCCCTCTTCCTCTTCCGTTCCATTGTAATCATGGAAACAATCATTCTTCGCTCTCCTTCCATCCTATGGTTCTTCGCTCTAACCTCGACGATCTCGCTTGCTCTCTCCCTGTCTCTCTCTCCACTCCCAAAACTTCCTCCCCCTTTGGCCCCGCGCGCGCCCTCTCGCTATCTATATCCGTCCATCTTTCTCGTCCTCTTTTCGCCTCCGTCGCGAATTTCAGGCTAACGTCCCTGTCTTCGTTCCTCCGATAGGGTACCGTGTGGATCCATCGGTGGTGATGGTGCTGGTGGCTGGCTGGTGGTGGTGTGGCGAGCTACCCTTTCGCTCGCCTCCGCAGCAATCACCGATTTGTCTGAATAAGCCCCGGGCAAGTATATGCTCATGCTTACCCCGGGGAAACACCACTCCGGCCAACTCACACCCGTCGTCTCTTCTCCCTCCCCAACCTCATCCTCCTCGTCCTCCTCCACCTCCTCCTACTACTACTCCTGCTGCTGCTGGTTCGCCCCCCACGGCGCTCTCTCAACATCAGCCCCCTGTACTTCTCTATTCTAGTTCCCACACCCTCGACCAGTCTGGCAGCGACTCCATACCCGAAAATACTCCGGTTCATCGATGCTTGATGGGAAGCTCGAGGAATAGGCCGGCTGATGGGGGGTGGGGGAGCAACGGAGTTGC